AAGCAAGGCAGGAGTGGGAAGGGCCTCGGCTCAGCGGCAGAGCACCTGTCCCAGGTTTCATCCCCAACAGCATCTCCCTGTAAGCCTCGGAGAGACCCTTGCCTGAAAGCCTGAAGAGCCCTTGCTGCCAGTCAGTGTGGGCAACATTGAGCTATATCAGCCAAGAACCTGACTCAGTGTAAGACAACTTACTCTGTTCCCAGCAAAAGGTGTTGAAACGATTTCTCATTTTACTCTGAACCTAGATCATCCTGGGGTTTTCCGCTAAATGTTAACCCTTTCCCCCCTTTTTATTTTGTGTCTCCCTTCTTATTTTAGGCAAACCCGTCTCGGATCAAAGAAATCAGACTTAACAGATTTGATAACAAGGCAGTTTGGGGGCACAGACGCACCCATCAGGGTACGCCTCAGATTTGGGGAGGGGGTACTGCAAGGGGAATTCTATAGGATCCTACCCTAAGCTGCTTCAGCCTGCCCCCCTCCCCAGCCTTCAGTCTTTGCAGCAATTGAGCAGCCGGGGGGGGCTGAATAACCATCCTCTCCACCCCACTTCACCCCACATTTGCTTTCTAGTTCACAGGCCCTTTATACAATACACCAACTGCCTCCCTCCTACTCTTTAGCCAAGACCCTCCAAGAGGACGTCTGTGCAAGGAGGGTTGAAACCAAGTCCCCCCCCCCCCAGCAGAGTGCCTGGCTATTTGGAGGGGGGGCATCAACTCACAACACTGAAAGACTGTGGGGCGGGCCACGATTTTCCACGGTGTAAGATGCTGTCCTTCCTGAGAACACATCAATATTCCCCCATGAAAGGGGCAGACAGGCTACCAGGGCGGCTGGGAGAGAAGTCCCCCCCCCATCTGTTTGGAGGAACACAGACAAGCCTCATCTAACTCCCCCCCCTCCAAATCTCCCCAGGCACAGGCTGACTCTGGACTACACAGAGCAAGCAGGGAGACTCTGGGTGGAGATTTTTTTTGGGGGGGGGACTTGACTTCTTCCTGATCCTTATCCTGCTCCAGGACAGGATTCCTCCTAAAACTTCAAGGCCCATCTGGACAAGTAGGATGAAGAGTTTGCTGCCCACTCCCCCCCCAAAATAAAACCCCCAAAGAGGGTATGAGGCAGAGTGGTCTTGGAGAAAGAGCCCTAGCCTGGGAGGGGAGCTTATAAATTGGAGAAAGCTATCAATGGCTACTAGCCAAGATGACTATGCTATCCCTCCAGGGATGGAGGCAGTAAATGCTTCTGAATGCCAGTTTTGGAAGCCACAGGAAGGGACGGTGCTCTTGTACTCAGATCCTGCTTCCATGTTTTCCCGCAAGAGTCAGGTTGGCCACTGTGAGACAAGGATGCTGAGCAAGATGGGCCATTGGCCTGACACAGCAGGGCTCTTCTTATAATAATAATTATTATTAATAAATTTATTATTTATACCCTGCCCATCTGGCTGGGTTTCCCCAGCCACTCTGGGCGGCTTCCAACACAATATTAAAATACAGTAATGGATCAAACATTAAAAGCTTCCCTAAAGAGGGCTGCCTTCAGATGTCTTCTAAAAGTCTGGTAGTTGTTGTTCTCTTTGACATCTGGTGAGAGGGTGTTCCACAGGGCGGGTGCCACTACTGAGAAGGCCCTCTGCCTGGTTCCCTGTAACTTGGCTTCTCGCAGTGAGGGAACCGCCAGAGGCCCTCGGCTCTGGACCTCAGTGTCCAGGTAGAATGATGGGGATGGAGACGCTCCTTCAGGTATACAGGACAGAGGCCGTTTAGGGCTTTAAAGGTCAGCACCAACACTTTGAATTGTGCTCAGAAACGTACTGGTAGGTCTTTCAAGACTGGTGTTATGTGGTTTCAGCGGCCGCTCCCATTCACCAGTCTAGCTGCCGCGTTCTGGATTTGTTGCAGTTTCTGGGTTACCTTCAAAGGTAGCCTCACATAGAATCATAGAGTTGGAAAGGACCCTGAGGATCATCTAATGAGGTTTCTAGCTAGCTACTTGTCTGTCCTCATCCCCCACCCCCTCTATGTCTTGATCTGAGATGGATTCTCTGTGTCACTTGGTGTTTTAACTGCACTGTGCCAGTTTCTATTGGAGGAATCTGCAAGCTTCTGAGTAACGCAGAACACCTTGGCAGGCAGAGGTGTAAACATCTTACAGGGCTGTTCTGAGGATTACAGAGGTAGATATACTTGCATGTGTGCATTCTTTCTCTGTTGCAGATGGAAGCTGAGAGTGGTGTGCTTAAGGCTGCTAGTTGAACAATCTTCTGTTCTGCCTGTCTACTCAGAATTAACTTTGAGATGTTTTCAGGAAAGTGCATACAGCAGGGGTTGGGAATCTCTTCCCACACCCCCAGGTGTAGCTGAACTCCAACTCCCATAAGCCCCAACCAGCATGGTCAATAGCCAGGGATGATGGGAGTTGGAGTTGAGCAACATCTAAAGCAGTGTTTCCCAAACTTGGGTCTCCAGCTGTTTTTGGACTACAGTTCCCATCATCCCTGACCACTGGTCCTGCTAGCTAGGGATGATGGGAGTTGTAGTCCAAAAATAGCTGGATACCCAAGTTTGGGAAATGTTGATAGAGAGGGCCTCAGGTTCCCCATCCTTTGAGTATAAAAAGGCAACACTAGCAAGTTTGCAGCCGAGATCATATTTGAATCCAGGACTGCCCGGATTCTAGATCCACCTTCCAGCTGCTGTGCTACTCTCACTGTCAAATGTAAATACTTTTGGAGCAGAAAGAATTAGCCAAATCTCTCCAAAGACTCCTTTGGGCTTTCCCCAAAGTCTGCATACTAAAGCGTGCTCTTTCTCTGTTTCAGAACATCTGGAAAGGGCCATATTGGTCACTCCTGCCATAGACGGATGTCAGCTTTGAGAGTGAGATTGGGTTATTTATTTTTTTGAAGGGGGGGGAAAATCAGCTTTAGGATGGAGAGAATGCCAGGACGTCCTCATAGGGACAACCTTCTTGTCATGGGAGTGCATGGTTTGGATTGACACCATAATAATTTTGGGTGCCAAACATCCAGATCCCTGTTTGGAAGCTTTGGACCAAGCACATCAGAAGAAGGAAGAACCTCCTGGTCAGGAAGACCTATGATTTGGGGACATCTCAATGTTGGGGGTCCAGAGTTGTGCCCCCTCCAATTCAGGCTATCATGTACTTTGAGTGCTGATTGTGGAAGTGGGAGCCAGGAAGAAGGAACTGGGACACCAGCAGACCTCAGCTCACGCCATAATAAAATGGGTTAAGTCTTTCTAAAGACCACCAGACTTTTGTTTGTTTCAACACATCTCAGGGGCTGAATAAGGAACTGGGAGGCTCTTTAGCCTGGCTTGGAGGGTCCCACTTGCTGACATTGTTCAGTCGGATTGCAGGCAAAGCAATAAAAGCTCCCTTATTCCTTGTGACCCCCCCCCCCACTTCCAACTGTAGTGTGTGTGGTTAGCAGACAGTATCCTTAAGAAACTGGAAGGGAGGGAGGACAAATTACAGGCAGGGGGGAGACTTCCTTTGGCCACCTCTGGGCCATCCAATGGCCAGGAGGCCCCCACCTCCAGCCAGGCTGGCTTCCATTTACAATTTCAGAGCAGGCGTGCCTGCCTTAACTGGGGTGGGGGGGCAAGCATGTGCGGGTTGGATAGTCATTGGCATTCTCCTCATCTGTTTTCCCCACCAAACCACCAGCAGCAGCAGCCCGGCTCCCACCGCCAGGCCGCGCCTGGCAACATCTGGGGTTTTTGTCTGAGGCACCAAAGCGAATCGCCTATTATGGAGGCGGTGGCAGTGAATGGGTTCCTCAACAGGAGACTCAGGCTTCATGGGGCAGGCCTGGGGCGAGGAGAATTAGGGCCACGCCTCCCCCCTCCCCAGCCAAGCTCATTTCCCATGTGCACTTTGGAGGCAGGGAAACATCCCAGCCTCCCACCCCTACCCCCCAAAAAAAATGCAGTCACAAGGTCCAGGGGCAAGGAAACCCGAGATCATCGAAGCCTGCCTAGGAAAGTGTATCTTCTTTCGATCTTCTTATTCTTCTTGGGATTAAGAATCTAGTGATTATACAGATAAGAGAAAACATCAAGCAATGTCCAAAATATAGCAGTACTGTAAAAAGGGGAGGGGGATTATTCCAAATGTACACAGCTTCCCAGCTTTGCAAGAAATTAATTTCGTGAATTGCATCACTAGAAGAATGAGAGGTGCTCTGCAATTTTGTCCTCCTTCCCTGGCTGTTAGTCACCCATTCTAAACCTCTTGCCCCAGTTATGCTCTCTTGCAAAAGCAAAGAATCAAAACCCTCCCACTATTTAATGTACAGAAAACTTCAGTACAACTATTAATGCCTAAATAAACAAATGAAATGCAAGGAAAGCGCTGCTGGATCAGACCCAAAGGTCACGCTTCCTCACTGTGTAAGACAAGGTGTCTCTGGAAAAACCCACAAGGAGGACATTAAGAGATCAGCCTTCCACTCTAGTTCATCCTACACCCAAGTATTTGTTGCTTCGAGGTAGACTGCCAGTCAACATGGAAAATCTATCTTTAGTTAGCATCCTCTTTCCTAAGGCCTGAGTGAAAGCACTCTGCACATGCTCAGAGGCACACATTATGTCTCGTGTGGCTCAGCCCTGGCACAAAGAAGCAGCTCTGATGCCAATCCCCGACCCCAGGGAAGAAAGTGTGGGGTGTGATGGGAAGAAAGAGGGCTGTGCTGTGAGTCTGGAAGCCCCCCGTTTCGTCTTGCCTCTGCCACAAAGCCCTGAGGTGGTCTTTGGCGAATGACCACATCTCAGGTAACCACTTGCAACATGGGGTGCTGTCACCCCATGGGGTGTCTTAAGCACCAGCAAAAGCAAGGAAGTGTAGAAAACGCTGTAGGAACATAGGAAGCTGCCATACATGGAGTCGGACTGCTGTGTTCCATCTGGCTCAGTAGTGTCTAGTAGCAGCTCTCCAGTATTTCAAACAGGGAGTCTTTTCCCAGCTCCACCTGGAGACCCTGTGTGGGAATTGAACCCGAGGCCTTCTGCATGCAAGACAAGTGCCCTGCCACTGAGCTACGTCTTCCTTGCAGCCATAGAGGGAGTTGAGCAGAGTCCTATCCCCTGGGGTTTCCCTGGGATGAGAAAGGAGGACAAGGGAAAGTGGAGCATTCCTGACCACTTAACAGCAAGCGGTGTGCCTGCCCCCCCTCCCCTCCTTGCGTCCTCGCTGCCATGCTTTAATGGGACACATGTCCAGGCGGAGCTCAGCGAGAGCGGCTACGCTCTTTTACAGTCACAAAAAGGCAGAAAATTGCTACATTGTCCAGCTCTCCTCCTTCGTCCCCAGCATGAAATGTGCGGATGGATGGCCACTCAGGGAGACCCCCCTGAGAGGAAGGCTTCGGATCCTGGCTCTTCAACTGCAAGGGAGCCTAAACATTTCTTTTATCGAAGCACTGCGCGTGGCTCTCCATCTCATCCTTACAACAACCCTGTAAGGTAGGTTAGAAACCCAGAGGCTGTGGCCGACCCAAGGTCACCCAGTGAGCTTCGGGGCCGAGAAAGGATTTGAACCCTGGTCTCTCCCACGTCCATGTCTGACACTCCTCGAACCACAGCACCAGGAGGAGGAAGGGCTGGGATGAGAATGGGAAGGGAGCATACAACCCTCAAGCCAACATTTGGCGTCTTACAACGCAATCCTATATTTCAGGTCATGAGTTAAATGGGCTGCGCTTAGGGCTGAAGCTGCTTTGTCTAGGATTTCTCCCCCAACCACCAGTGTATTTGGATTAAGCAAGCGCCAGGATCCAAGTGCCGTAATCAACTCACAATTATTTGGCCTGGGCGTTTTTACAGGAGACAAAACAATCCCCGCTTGAGCCTTTAAAGCAGTCGTCCCTGGGGTTAAGCAAGTGCTTAACTGATCAACAAAGAGGTTCTGGGGTCCGTTTTGGTTTCCCTCCTGATCCTAGCTTGTTTGTGGGCTGTGTAGTTATTCCACTGAAATGGGAAAGCGCTTTGTACACGCTCGAGGGACATTACAGTGAGGAACAATTCACCAGGGGCGTGGGGTGGGTGTTGCTGCCTTCCACCACCAAGCCCCTCTTCCTCTCCCCAAAGGCCTGGATGTTTCTAAGTAGGCAAAGCGCATGATAACAAATCTGTCCTTAAAGCAGGACCTGAAAGCCGTTTGATGCAGGCAGGTCCAAATGCCTGTACCCCGCCCTCCATCTCTCTGCAAGCCGCTACCCTCTCCTCCACCCTCCACCACTTCCCTCCCCTTTGCGGGGGAGGTTCCCCAGCCTGAATGGACCCATTGAAATGGAAAAACGACTCCGGAGATAAAATGCCACCTCCTTGGTGCAGAGAGGGCAGAGGATGCAGGATGGGTACGGACCACAGACTGCAAGAGAGGAGGGCGCTCAATTCCTTCCGCAAGGTTGGTGGGTCTGATGCTACAGATGGGAGCAAAAGGACAGGGGGCAGCCTACCTGCCCCCCCCCCCAGGGTGGAAGGAGAAAAGGATCCCTTTGCCATGTGTTTTTGCCCAGGGGTTAATGTGTTCCCAAGATCAGCATGGCACCTGCTTCCAATGCCAGGAATTGTTGGAGATTCCCCTGAGCTTATACAGCGAGAAACTGCAAAAAGCCAGTAGTCAATATCTAGACAAAAAAAGATTGTTCTGACCTGAAAGCTCTTCTCCACCCACCCACAATCTGCAGGTGTCTGGCAACTCTCTGTAGGCAGTAGGGGCACCAGCAAAAAATAGGGGGGAGGCACAGAAGGGGGAAAGTTTATTTCTAGGTGGGCAAGTTGTGCCCCACATATTAAGATCTCTGAAAGATAATTAACAGTCTCTGTTAAATGGCAGAAGTCCAGCCACAGGAGACGGACAAGTGGGGAGAGTGAGATCCTTTGTGGGGGTTGCTTGCCCCTCTGCCCCCCCCCGGCACCACCTATGTCTTTATTCTGTGGTGGAAACAATGCACTCTGTGTACACTCAGGAGTCCCATCATCTCTTCTTGCTTCAGAAGTTGTATACCTTTTTTTAAAAAAATGCATTTGAGACAAAAAAAAATTGTAGTAAGCAACGAATGAATATGTAATAATATGGTATTATGTGATATAATGTGGTTTAAGTTCCAGAGTTAAGCCCAGGTGTTGGATAAGGGATGCCTGGCTGATCCCTGAGAGGCAGTGTGGTGTAGTGGTCAGAGTGTTGGACTTCTAAGCGTTCTAATTCCCTGCCCTGCCATGAAGCTTGGGGACCAGTTCCTGCCTCTCAGCCTAACCTACCTCACAGAGGAGTAGTAGTAGTAGTAATAGTTGTTGTTGTTAAATTAGGAAGGGGAGAACCGTGCATGCCACCTTGAGCTCCTTGGAGGCGGGGAAAGTGGGATTGAAATGTAATAAATAAAATAAATAAATAGACCCCCCCGGTGTGCATTTTCTCAGGTCTCCAAACCCCTCATGGAGAAGAGGAGACGAGCTCGCATCAACCTCTCCCTAGAGCAACTCAAAGCTCTGCTGGAAAAGAACTACTCCCACCAGGTGAGGCTCCCGCTTCCCTTGCATTTCCAGGAGAGAGGGAGAGTCAGGGAGCCAGTTTATCCCCATGAAAGCAGGTTACATTTTACTTTGAAAATGACAGAGGCAGGAGCACAAAGGACCCCCTGCTCCTCTTCACCCCTCTCCATCTTTTTACCTTTTTCATCACACCAATACTGAAAGAACGGAGCAGCTCAGTGGCGGAGCACTTGCTTGGCATGCAGAAGGTCCCAGTTTTAATCCCCAATGGCATCTCCGGGTAGGACTGGGGATGTCTCCTGCCTGAAACCCTGGAGAGCCACTGCTAGTCAGTGAGGACAATAACACACTAGATGCATCAATGGTCTGGCTTAGTATAGGGCTGACTCTGATGTTCGGAAGTGCAGGATGGGGTGGGGGTCGGGAGAAGGGAGGTGCTTGGTACATCAGGAGACAGGTGGTGAGACTCCAGTACCCCTGCTTTGGAACCAGCAAGGTTGAAATAGGGGTCCATCTCATCCCCCTTGAAGTGTAGAGTTCCAGAGTAAAACCTGGATTCAAATCCCCACTCAGCCATGGAAAATCTACTTGGGTGACCTTGGGGGCTAGCCACTGGCTTTCAGCTTAACCCACTTTACAGGTCTGCTGTGGGGATTAAACATGGGATAGAAATGGGATAGAAATGCAATAAATAAGTTACTTCTGTCCTTCGACCCAGCTGAGAGAGAAGCCAACAGGGTTATGGGGGGAAGTCATTCACTAAGGCCAGGGCAGGCAGAAACGACCCCAGTAACCCCTTGGCTTTCTTTGGTTTGGTGGGGAAATTGCAGATCCGGAAACGCAAGCTAGAGAAGGCAGACATCCTGGAGCTGAGCGTAAAGTACATGAAGAGCCTACAGCCCTTGGCCCACCAAGGTAAACCACCCAAATGGAACCATGGAACCCAGTTAAGGAAGCATTGGTAGATTAACATTTTAGCTGATTGACATAGGGGAAAGCAACACCTCAAAAAAGATGGACTGCTTCAGCTATAATGCTACACACACTTGGGTCTAAGCCCCCTTGAGCTCAATGGAGCCTACTCCTAAGTAGACATGCACAGGGTTGCACTGTCCCTTGGGTTTCTAGAATGATGTATCAAAGAAGCCATAGTCTCAGGAGAGGCATTCTCTTTCTGTACACACAGAGACAGAGATGCCGCTTGCTGTCCACAGTTAGTAGCCATATTTTTTAAAATAAAAAATTAATAATAATTATTTCCATTTTTAAAAGTCTGCTGACTTTCAAGGACACACTCTCATAAAAAAGACATAGTTGATTAACCGACTAATTGACCAAACGCTCCAAGTGCTAGCATTTTGTAACTGATCATCAGACCATCACAGTTCTGAGCAAAAATAAAAAAGGAAGATCAGCTGGAGTCCTAGCAGAGTGTTTTTACACAATCGACTCTTGCAGGACACAAATTAATAGCGACCAGGTGGCTCCCCAGGTGTTATTGGGGTACAACTCCCATCATTCTTGGCTGTTAGCCTGAGGCTACTGGGAGTTGAAGTCCAGAGACGTCTGAAGGGCCTCAGGTGAACCTTCACTGCCTCTGACAAGAACAGCTTCTGATAATTAACCTCTAGTGGTTCCCAAAGTGGGCAAGAACACTCTCTATGGGACAGTGGGATTAACTGGGGGGGGCAGGGGCAAGGGAGTGGGGTGGCAGCACTGGAAATGTAAAACACTACCAGACTTTGGAAAGCTGGTATCGCTGGATCAAGCTAATTAATTTTGTTGAATTAGTTTGAAACCAATTGAAACCAATTAGTTTGAATTTGATTTTGAATCAATGTGCAATTAATTGCTCCTGTTCTAAATTTTATTCTTCCTCAGTGGGTCGTGCAAACAGATATTCTGAATAATGCTTTGTATAGAGTTGGGGACACTGCGGGTGAGTTTATGGAACCAAGAGGGCGGTAGCCTGAAAATGTTTGGCCATCTCCCCTATCTTGACTCCTGGAGCGCGAGTGGGACTGGGAGCGTGAGCGTCTCAGTCTCTATCCGACTTCCCGACTTCTTTCCTCCTCCAGGGGTGCCGCTGACCAAGAGCGCCGACTACCAGGCCGGTTTTCGGAGCTGCCTGCAAGGAGTGCGCCAGTTCCTGCTGCGCTCCGAAGCGGCCAGCGAAGCTTCCTGCTCCTCTTCCTTCCAGCTCCTGCACCAGCTCGCCCGAGTTCTGCCCATGGCCGCCGCCGGAGGCGTCTTCAGCACCACGGACAGCGACCCGCAGGCTGCGCTCCCCAAAGCCCGGCTGGCCGCGCTGGGCAGCCCCGGGGGGCCGACGACGGCGACTCTCAGGAAAGCGAGGCCGCTGAAGAGCCGAGGGTGCGAGGCCGCCTTTCCCGCGGCGGGAGGCCGCAGCCAGGCGGGGAGCGACCGGGGCCAGAGCGGGCAGGCGCTCCCTGAGCGGAGCCAAGAGCTGTGGCGGCCTTGGTAAGAAACCGGTGCGCCCTGGCCGTGCGCTCTCGCCGTGCGCTCTTGTGCTGCGTCTCCATGCCGGCCTCCGCCTGCGCTCTAGGTTGGAACTTGCCATCCTATGTACATTTACATGAGAGTAAACCCCATTGATCTCTATGGCGCTTGCTCCCGAGGCTCCGTGTGTGGCACTCGTCCTAGAACGCTGTAGGCACCACGGTTTGCTTGAGGGGCTGGGAGGGGGGCTTTGAAGACTGGCGGAGAGACTATTTCTCGAGTTCTATCAACGCTGTGGACCCACAAGGGATACTTTGCTCTTCCTTAAAATGCATAAACTGGGTGGTTCCGATCCAGACCCCAAAGGCCCAGAGTCCGGGTTCCAACTGAACCAGGCGTTTAGTTTCAACGACGACCTGGTCCTGTCTGAACTGAGCCCCCATTCCGTGTTGGGCACCGGATTCTGACGCTTTAAAAATCCTTCCTAGCCCCGTGCCCCTATTTGGTATTAAAACTGGGCGGGGAGACAACGCAAGAAAAACAAAACCTGTCAGAAAAAAACGTTTTCACCATGGACAGAGAGGCAGTGGAAAAGAGGAGGTTTCACCTGTTGGATTCCTGCCCATTACAAAGCTGTTAAAGGCACATAGCCCCCTACATTGGGAGTAGGAGTTAATATGACAACCCCCGTTTTCATTTTTTTTGGGGGGGGTCAGGAAAATTGAGAGGGATGAACAGGGCAGTATGAAATTGTCAGCTGAGGAGGGGAACTGGGGGGCGGGGACAGAACAACTGGGGCAGGATTAAATTACCCTTGGGGTCCCTTCCAACTCTACAGTTGTACTATTCTATTATTCTTATGCCCTAAGCAGTCACAGGATTCAGCAAGGGACACGTTTACATGAAAGCAGCATTGCTGCCAAATAAGGGCCCCTTGGAGCTAGTTTTTTTTTTAAAAAAGGTTGGCAACCTTTTCACAGGATCAGGCCCACCTCCTTTTTTGTAGTTCTGTGCATTTCTCCTCAGAGGAAGGAAAATGTAGCTTTCACGATGTTGACTTTTATATCAATAACTCCTGTTTCTTTTAAAAACTGTTTCTTAATAAAACTAGTGTACAATTACTCTAAAACAATGTAATAACTTTAATAATAATAAAAAAAAATTGCCTTACCCCAAAATTGGTGTGGGTCTCCTCTTTTCCATAATTCAGAAGGCTACAATCAGCTACTGGTGCGTCCCTCGACTTTCAGCCTAGGTCACTGCTTGGACCTTGCCACCTGTGAGATATAGTGACAGCCCCCAACTTGGGTGGTTTTCAGTGGAGGACCAGGCTATCATTTGCCATGTCAGAGGCAGCATCCCAGATACGAGTTGCTGGGGAGCCCAAGTGAGGAGAAAGCTGTTGCGCTCAAGTCTTGCTTATGGACCTCCTTGGCCACTGTGAAAACAGGTTGCTGGACTAGATGGGCATGATCCATCAGGGCTCTTTTTAAGACTGCGAACCCAGCCCCCAGAGAGGAGGGCACTTGTTGCAACTTTGCATGAGTCACCATTCTAGGGTTTTCTTCTTTGCACTTTCTAAAGCTAACAATGTGCAATTTCTAGCTACTTCTCAGCCTGTGGCCAGTGCCTATAAAATGCAAAGGAGCTCACAGTTTCCGCTGTGAATAGACACCATAGAGTTTAAGGCCTTTTGCAAACTAAGCAGACTTGGGATCAGTTGCAGTACCCGGAGTGCAATCCTATCATTTTCTCCCCCATCCTTCCTTCACCTTACATTGATGAGAAAGAGAACAATCCCCAACCTGCGCAATTGTCCCCAATCCTTATTCTAGGGGAAGGAAGAAACCCACCAACAATTGCTGTGGAACGTGTTGAAATGGCCTCATTGAAAGGGCCAGGAGTTGGGGTTGATTTCTTGTCTCTCACAGCAGCCTGAATCATGGGAGGTGAAGCTTATTCCTGAGTGCCAAAGATAAAGGAAGAGGAGAAACCTTCCCTTAACCATTTGAGGCTCCCTGTGGGGCTTTTTTTATACGAGGTGCTAATTACGGTTAAGATTGAGGGGGATTTACAAAGGGCACTTGGAGATGGTTGCTGATTAACTGGGTCATTCAGTCAGCACCTGAAGCCATTAAGGTTCATTTGACTCAGAGGGGCTGTTGCATTTCCCATCCTGCTTTCAGAGGCTTCTCTTTGGAGAATCTGGCTGGCTGCTGTGAACAGATGCTGTTGAGCTAATTGGGCCCTTGGCTTGATCTAGTAGGACTCACACGAGGTCCTTAAGAGCTCGTATAGCAGGGGAGGGACTGTATCATCATGCATACCTCAAGGGTGTTAGGCTCAGCCAGGAAGTGGGTTGCTTTACCTTTTGGAAGATTCATGGGCTTCTGTTAAGGTAAAGGGACCCCTGACCATTAGGTCCAGTCGTGGCTGACTCTGGGGTTGTGACACTCATCTCGCTTTATTGGCCGAGGGAGCCGGCACAGTGGCGTAGCGTGGGGGGTGCAGGGGGGGCCGGCTGCACCGGGCGCAACATCTGGGGGGGGGCGCGCTTGCACTCGCAGCTCTCTGACCCTACCTGGCTCGAGTGCTAAAATCCACGGGTTAGGGGGCGCAAATTACTTGCCTTGCCCCGGGTGCTGACAACCCACGCTACGCCACTGAGCCGGCGTACAGCTTCCAGGTCATGTGGCCAGCATGACTAAGCTGCTTCTGGCGAACCAGAGCAGCGCACAGAAACGCTGTTTACCTTCCCGCCGGAGCGGTACCTATTTATCTACTTGCACTTTGACGTACTTTTGAACTGCTAGGTTGGCAGGAGCAGGGACCAAGCAACGGGAGCTCATCCTGTCACAGGGATTCGAACCACTGACCTTCTGATAGGCAAGTCCTAGGCTCTGTGGTTTAACCCACAGCGCCACCCGCGTCCCTGGGCTTCTGTTAGGTGGGTATTAACACCCCAACTTTCTATGACTGCTTCAAAGCCAAGGAATTTGGGTGGTGCCTGTGATGCCCTTGCCAACCACTAGGTGGGAGTGATTCCATGCAAAGTTCCAGCTGTTTGCCAAACGAGAAGCACATTAAAAATCAAGGAGCCATTTCCTTCGTTTCCCCAGTCTTAATGCTACTACTAAGCCAGGCTTAACAGCAGCGGCTGAAACCCCCCCACTCTTCTTGCCTTCCGTTCTGCTACTGGGAACCAGATTTCACAACCCTGCGGAAAGGAAAGGGGACCAGAGACTGGGCAATGTGTTATTTTACACCAGATGAGGTTGGACTCCCAGCTCCCAGAAGCCCCAGTGTGAGGGATGATGTGAGTTGCAGTCCATAAGGTGAGCCTGAAAAATCTCGTCAAGAAAAGGAAAGGAAATTACAGGAGGGGAGAGTGCTCTCTGCTTAAATCCTGCCTGCTGCTTTCCCTCAGGCATCTGGTCTGCCACTGTGAGAACAGGAAGCTGGAATAGATGGGCAATTGGCCTGATCCTGCAGGCTGGTTTTTTGCTCATAAAGCTTTTGTCTTACTGCCAGAATGACTCAATGAAAATCAGGTCCAACAAAAAGAAAACATCCAATTCTAAAATAAAAAGAGGAGAGGAGCTACTTTGCATTGGTAAATTCAGACAAGCAGGCATTTTTACATACTGTATTCGCCAGAATATCCAACTGGAGGGAAAATCTGATAAGGTGGGACCTTTTAGTGCTGGTTACCATCACAGGATAGCAAATGGGCCCGTTTAATTTTCTATAATTTTACTTCCAGGGTGCATCATTTGGATGTTCTGCCCCCTGCAACCAACATTTGGGTTGCTTGAATGTAAACTCCAGGCCCGAGGCCTAAACGCAGGCTGGTTCCCTGGACATAAACCAAAGACTGTCCTTGTGGCAGTTTCACAAATGGTTTCTTAGGTTTTGGAACTCATTGCCACCAGAGATGGTGACTGCCACTAGCTTTGATGGCTGTTCAAGAGGATTGGACCACTAGATGGGAGAGGAGATTGGCATGCTGACATACCCTCCAACATTACTCTGATGAAAGTAGGGATGTCGTCAATAATAATAATAATAATTTTATTATTTATACCCCGCCCATCTGACTGGTTTGCCCCAGCCACCTTGGGCGGCTTCCAACAAATATAAAAACATAATAAAACATTAAACAAAACTTTCCTATACAGGGCTGCTTTCAGATAGTTACTTATCTCCTTGGCTTGGGGGGGGGGTTGCCTAACTCCATACCCTCCAACATTTCTCTGATGAAAATAGGGACATCCTAAGGAAAAGTGGGACATTCTGGGATCAAATCAGAAACCAAGATGGCTTCTGTAAACCTGAGACTGTCCATGGAAAATAGGGACACTTGGAGGGTCTGCGCTGGTTATGGCTTCAGTTGTCTAGTCCCCCTTCAGTAATTTGAAGAGATGTAGCTTACCCCCTCCCCAGTCTCTTTTCCAAGCTAAAAATCCTCAGGATATTAGATTAGACCAATATTCACTAACCTACTGTGCTCCCAAGGTTTTGGACCACAAATCCCATCAGCCCCTGCCAGAATGGGGTGGGGCCATAGCTCAATGTTAAGAGCATCTGCCTTGATTTCAGAAGGTCCCAGGTTCAATCCCCAACAGCTCCAGGCAGGGTTGGGAAAGTCTCCCTGCCTGAAATCCTGAAGAGCCACTGCCAATCAGTGTTGATGATACTAAGCAAAGATGGACCAATGGTCTGACTTGGTAAAATGCACTTCCTATGTATTTCTCTGTGTTCCTTTTTTGGGCTACAACTCCCATGAGCCCCAGCCATTTTGGACTACAACTTCATGCTTGCTGAAGTTGATGGGAGTTGTAGTCCAAAACATCTGGAGGGCACCAGGTTGGATTAGATAGGCTTGCCCTTGGGTGGGTTTTTTTGTTTTGGTAACTAAAAAGAAGGCCAATGAGGTTTAGAGACAAAGAAAATAACAGACAGGTTTTTGTTTTCATTTTTAATTTGGTCTTTAAGAGAAAGGAACCCTCAAAGTGGTTGGGAAAAAAGAGCAAACTACAAATAGTTTGGAAAAACCGATGAATAAAACTTTTTTTTTTTTTATCTGGTTTCGAGACAAATCCAGACACAAATCAGAAAGTTTGTCTTTGCACAGCGTGGAACGTCACCAAGAGAAAGGGACAGAACACAAAACAGAAATGGAGTCTTTTTCGGAGCAGGCCGAGAGAAGCCTCAGCGCTGGAATAAACGCTCCCCACCCCCACCCCGTGGTCTTCTAGCAGTAGAAAGGTATTGCCTGGCTGGGCCTATGAATTTCAGCTGCCGGTACAGTATTCTTTATTAAGGGTGCCAAGGTGGTGTGTTTTTTCTTTAAAAAAGTATTATTTCCCAAAAGGTCAGTAAAAACATGGGATCTGATTTCTGAGATATGGTGACCCTCCCAACGGGTTTGGAAAAGTATTGCCTTGTGACACTACAAAGAGTTAAAAAGATACAGTACGACAAAAAGGGTTAAGTATCTCATCTTGCCCATCCCACCTCTTACCTGACTGCTTTCTGCAAAAAAGAAATCCAATAAGCTCATCAACGGGACTATCGATGTTCGTCAGATATTAATTACCAGCATCGTTATTGTCAAACCCTTAAAAGGCACAACATCCATAATATATTTGTGGGGAGGTGGAATATCAAGTGGTTGGAATAATAATAATAATGGAAAAACAGCGCCCCAGAAGTCTGTTGGTCACACCACAGCGACCCAGAAGTCTGTTGGTCACACCACAGAGAGCCATGGCTGGTTTCCTGGCCAACATCTTTTTCCCTGTGGGGGGAGGCAGTTTTGTTCCAAAGGTGCAACCTCTACAGTTAGCCTTCAAATAATTACTGCTCCTTACGACTTTGGACATTCAATGGTGGACGCAGCGAAAGAGCCCCTTTCTGGAAACCACAGCCCAAACTGAATGATCTCCTCTCAGCAACTGGCATCCTTCTCCCCCTTGCAAACCCACAATGTGGGGGACGGGACCCCATCCCATGGCCTGTGCGAGAACAAACTACACTTGAGATGAAGTGAGGGACTATCACAATTCCTCTGAGATACCCTTTTCGACACAGGAGCTGCTGTTCAGATGCGAGTTAGCATCTGTAAGCATGAGGGCTAGAAGCATGCTTTTTTGGCGCTGCTGTTGTTTTTCAATAAAAGGAAGAAAAGCCGAGTGGAAGGATGTGCACTGAGCACTTCTGCGCCCTGGAACCTGCCTTTTGAGATGCTTTGCCCTGATCTGCCCCCCCTTTGTGGATTTCATAGCGATGGGGTGAGGGGAATAAATCTGCTACAATGATTAAAACAGTACAAGTTTCAAAGTGCAACCAATCCCACCCAGCCCCCCCAAGATGTTTTTGAACCCTCTACATCCCCCACACCACAAATACAGGCATGCATAACAACCCCTTCCTTGACCTATGAGGAAAATGCTCATCCTCCCAAAGGCCCCATATCTATTCTTATAGCGCTGGGGAATAAACTATGAATGATGGCATCCTACATTTTGGAAAGCTGTCTCCAGATTTGGCACCCAAGACAGGCGACCATCCTAAAACAGATTGGGGTAGGGGGTGGCGTGGGGTGGGTGCACTTGAACCAATTCATCAACTCTCCACTGCGCATTATTTTCTTTTTCAAGTTGTGGACCATATGATGGCAAACAGGCAAGCTGTTGTTTGTTCCTGTATCTCTCAAACATTTGTATATGTACAGTGGTACCTCTGGTTACGTACTTAATTCATTCTGGAGTTCCGTTCTTAACCTGAAACTGTTCTTGACCTGAAGCACCACTTTAGCTAATGGGGCCTCCCGCTGCCGCTGGAGCACAATTTCTGTTCTCATCCTGAAACAAAGTTCTTAACCTGAGATAATATTTCTGGGTTAGCGGAGTCTGTAACCTGAAGCGTATGTAACCTGAAGCATCTGTAACCGTAGGTACCACTGTAATAGCAATTGCATTGCTACCCCCACCCCCAATACCAATACAGTAATTCTTTTCAGGGATTGTGACCGAAAGGATGCAAATTTGTATTTTGTGTGTTATGTTTAACTTCAATTTCACCGCATTGTCTTTCTTTATTTCTTCACTCCTTGTATGTTATTGAAGTGTATGTCCTTTCTTAAATAATCCAAAATCCAAAAGGGAAAAATAAGGAACACCCAACAGGTTTCAGTGAGATGAGAACGTTTCTCCACAGCACAGGATTATAGCTCTGTTATCAAGGCAGCATCTGCCTTGGATGTGGGGGGATGCTCAAAGAAATTATCAATTTCCAGCACCCTAAAGTGGTACAGCCTGCTCTCCGCCTCTGGACTCTATCATCTCATTCTGCTCTGCTTGCAGAAGGTCCCAGGTCCAATCCTGGAAGCATCTCCAAGTGGGGTGCAGAGAACGTCCCCTACATCTGAAACACTGGAAGAACCATTGCTGCCACTCAGGGTGGACAATATACTGAGTGAGATGAACCAGTTTGGTCTCAGAGCAAAGCAGTGTCCTAGGTGTAGATCTGCCCAGCGAAGGGATGAAAACAGCCATGGACAGTGCGGGTTGATTTCAAAAGCTGTGTGCAACTAAGTTTTGAAGAGGAAGGAAAAAGGGCACCTCATATTTCTGCCTGCTCTTCAGCAGCTAAAAGGCACAGATCCCCCAGTTTCTGCTGCTCCAGGAAGTAGGGCCCGCACCATGGGATAATAATAATAATAATAATAATAATAATAATAATTTATACCCCGCCCATCTGGGCGGCTCCCAACAGATTATTATTAACAATAATAATAAAGCGATAAAACTTCAAACATTAAAAGCTTCCCTAAACAGGGCTGCCTTCAGATGTCTTCTAAAAGTCAGATAGTTGTTTATTTCCTTGATGGGAGGGCGTTCCACAGGGCGGGCACCACCACCAAGAAGGCCCTCTGCCTGGTTCCCTGTAGCTTCACTTTTCACAGTGAGGGAACTGGCAGAAGGACCTCGGAGCTGGACCTCAGTGTCTGGGCTGAACGATGGGGTTGGAGTCGAGAAAGGAGATTCTGATGAAGAACATTCTGATGGCAAGAGCTGTTTGACAGCGGAAAGGACAACCTCAGAAGGTGGTGGACTCTCCTTCCTTGGAGGTTTCTAGGCAGAGGTTGGATGGCCACCTGTCATGGATTCTCTAGCTGCGGTTCCTGCACCTGCACCGCACTAGATTGGACTTGAAATGGTGGCAAATCCAGCCATTAGCTGAACGTAAACAAGCACTGACTCTGGTTCTATCTTAGCTTGGGGAAGCTTCTTGTGACTCCATTGGGAGACCCTCCTGCCCCAGAGGGAGGAGACTGTTTGACTGAAGACAGTGCACCTGAAAGCAAAAATGTTGAGGACTCTACAAATGCTAACTCCCTCCCTCCCCTCCCTTCTCCACTTGCCCTCATTCCTTTCCCGGGCATCTATTTCCCTAAAGCAAACCTTTTCGACTCCCCTGCTACCAAGACAACATCACACACACAGTCGTGCACGCGAGACGGAACTCAAGCAGGAAACTTTGTGCTGACCCTAATGGTCATAACATTCACTTGCCCCATGCTAAACTGGAAAAGTGACAGTGGCCAGGGGTTCAAAGCAGCCTGAAAGAGAGGCCCAGTCTCCCCACCCTGCCATCACATAATGTGCTTTCAAATAAATAACTGGGAGTGAACTCTTGGGGGTTTATTTTTGCTGCTGGGGCCAGATGAATCTCCACTTCCCACCAGCTGATTTTCAGGTTCAAAGAGCAGCATGGGGCTGTTTACAAAGGGGTTTTCAAACAGCCCTGTGCTTCACTTTGAAGTCCCGACAACCAACTGGGCCTTCAAAGCACAGTGGCATAATGATGTCAGGTGATTGGCAGGTGGGCAGCCGCTTCCACCAGTCAAATTTGGCCCACCTGGGATGGGGAGATAAGGATCCAGCCCAAGGGCTAGAAAGGATTCCTTCCCCGCCAGTACCAAAGACATGCCACCCTACATACAGAAAAATCAGAAAGGTGACGATCTCATCCCATCATTTTCCGATCAAGCAGGCTGAAAACCGTAGCCCCAGGTGCAACACTACAATTTGAATGATGCATGCAAGTGGTGCTCCTGGCCACACAGCAGGGGCGCTGCAGCGATGCCATGATTTTGTCTTAAAAAAAAATATCACTAGGTGTTCCTGGGGCTCAGGAGAGAACAGGAGGATGGGTTGCAGCTTTGGCCCTTAACGCTGTGCCTGTCGTGCTTTTTCGCCCCTGGAGAAACGCCCATTGCAGGGGGTTGGATTAGATGACCCTAGAATCATAAAGCACAGTTTCTACCTGCAATATGCTGCTTCAGATCAGACCAGAGGCAGCAAATCAACCCATGGTGTGGGTGGCAGGGCTTTGGCACTGGAAAGGTGGTGGTGGCGAAATCTCCATCCTGTGGGCCAAATGTGTATGTCAGAAGCTGCTGCCTGAGTCCCAGGAAAAGAGGGAAGAAAGCCCCAAATGCCAACATAGACTAAACCCTTATTCCAGCCTAATATTGTTGGACTCCAAGTCCCAGCAGCCAGTTTAACCAACAGTTTCTTCTCTCTCCTTGCCTATCAGCTGCTAGGCTAGATTCCACAGGGGCCTCATCCTGCAATACCCTACGGCTCAGGGGATGGGGCATATCAGCACAGAACTTTGCACCTGCCTCAAACCCTTTGCTTGTGCAGTGATATCATGGACAAATGGAACACAAACACAGAGCTCTTGTCCTGCAAACCAGGGCTGATGGAGGAAAGGGGAACACAGACTGCTTTGCCACCCTGCCAACAGCCCCCTCCGAGAAATCGGTGAGCCCCCCACCCCCACCCTCTTGCAAGCCCGTAGCTTTCGTCAACAGCCTCATCCAGGGGACGCATCGCAGGGTCATTTGATACAGAAAACTCATGCACAACTTTACATTGTCTTAGAAAGTACCAGGTGCGGGACACGGGATTATTAAAAAAATGGAAAATTCCTGATCGGGCCCAGCTAGCGGCTGCAGCTGGAAGTAAGGAAGGAAGAGGGAAAGGGGAAAGTGCACCCCACCGCCCTTCTGCTGGCGAGGTCTGGTTCAGCCAAGAGGGACATGGGTCTCCAAGCTGCTCCGCTGCAGCTCCCGAGTCCTCAAATCGTCCTGGCCGCCCTCCTCCTTCTCCTCCATCCTCCTGCTTTTTTGCAAAACACGCAAGAGAGGCTGGAGTTTTGGTTTCTTTGGTGCTGTGCCCAGTCCTCTTTAAATAAACAACAAAAGCCTGGACCACGAAGAGGAGAAGACTTTTCCCGAGAAAAAGAGAAAACTGAACGGGACCCGCCAGTGGCTTCCGGTGCTTTATGCTTCTAGGAGCTTGAACCCATGGAATCCGAGTGGTACGTGGCGTACCCAGAGGAGGCTGAGGGCGTGCTCAGGAAGCTGCTGGTGCTGCCCTTGCTTCCACCCTTCCGGAGCTCCTCCTGGCCCCCCCAGGAGGGGCTGAGGCCTGTCCGGAAGCCCTCTGGCTCGGAGCAGCAGCTGCTGGCTGGGCGTTCCTCAGGAGCTTCGTACAGCTGGATGCGGATCTGCTCCAGGCACGGGGAGCCGGCGCTGCCTTTAGGGAAGAAGTTCTTGGTATCCTCCTGGGCCAGGAAAGGGCCTGGGACTGTCAGGGAGCACCCCCGGCCTTGGGCCGAGAGGCGCCGCAAGCCCTGAGGTTCCCGCTCGAAAGTGGTCAAGGGGAAGTTGGCGAGGTTGGCCGAGCAGTGGCGGAACGTGTCCGGGATGAGGGAGACGGACGCAGAGCGCAGAGGGCCCTTCCTGGGGCTGGGCAGGGGGCTGGTGTCAATGAAGTTCACCCCTTCCTCCTTGCTGAAGCACTTGTAGCCTCCAGGCCCCCCACCGCCGCCACCGCCGCCGCCCTTGTAGTAGTCTTCCGGAGGGAAGGGCCTGAGGGACAAGGTGCTCTCGGCGGACTTCCGGCGCCTGCGGTGTGGGTGCTGCCCTTCCTCTTGATAGGACAGGAGGCTGCTGCTGCTCCTCCGGCGCTCGTAGCCATGCCCCCGTGGGAGGAGGAGCTGGGCCAGGCTGGCGGCCATGTCCCCGCTGGCCCCCCAGTGCTGGAGGTAGGCCGAGATCTGGCTGGTCGTCCAAATGTCCGTTTCATCGTGGGAGAAGCGCCGGGTGGGGGGGACCTGTGGGAGGAGGAACGGAGAAGCTTCAGAGTAATTGCTGCCTCTGCGCCCGGGTCAAGGGCCCTCAAAGGGCACATTCACACCATCCCATTGAAGCACTGTGATACCACTTAGAACAGTCATGGCTTCTCCCAAGGAATTCTGGGAACAGGGCAGAGAGTTGTTCGTTTGTTTGTTCTCCTCACAGAGCTACAACTCCTTGTGGTTGTTTCACAACTCTGGGAATTGTAGTTCTTCGAGAAGAATGCAAGGGGCCTCCTAACAGCTCTCAGCACCTTTTACAAACTACCCTTTCCAGAATTCTTCGGGGGAAGCCATGACTGTTCTAAGTAGTATCACAACGCTTTATATGACCCTGGAGCACCCACAGGTTAGCCACCCCTGTTCCACAATTTCTCTGGCAGGTGCTTTGAGTTCCTGGAGCTGTGCAAGACAACACATTTGAACCATTATTCCGCTTTTAACAGTCATGTCCTCCCCCCAGAGAATTCTGGGAACTGTACATCTCTCAGTCGGTAGAGCATGAGACTCTTAATCTCAGGGTTGCGGGTTTGAGCCCCACATTGGGAAAAAGATTCCTGCATTGCTGGGGTTGGACTAGATGACCCTTGAGGTCCCTCCTCTGAAGTAGGTGAATGGAACTTAACTCCAGGACCGAGCAGTCTCAATCCATGATAAGTAAGCTGCAACGTAACACCTCTAATGTTTCTGAGTTTCTTTTCACACCATCCACAGTTGACAGGACTTGGTAGATGGGAACTGGGACTTAGAGATGGACGCATGGTTTTTTAAGACAGCTGAAAGCGAAAAGCAGCTGGAGGGGAGGAATGGGCCTTGTGTGGAGTGGAAGGAGGGGAAGAGCAGCACCGTCACTGCTAAAGAACACAGAAGTGCCATTACATTAGCTGTGATCCCTGCATTATAGCGAGTTGGACTACATGACCTTTGGGGTGTCCCTCCCAACTTGACAATTATGATTACCTTATGCCCATTCTCCTCCCTGGTAGGTGGTAGAAAGCAGTTACACTTTTTACTTCTCCTGTTCACTGGGATGCAACTCAAACCCTCTGCAGCTCAGTGGTTGAGCACCTGCTTCCCATTCAGAAGGACCCAGTAAAGCTGGAAAAGATTCCCTGTCCAAAAACCAGGAGACCTGCTGCCAGTCAGTGGAGGTGTTACTGATCTAGGTGGGCGAGTGATCTGACTCGGTATTTTAAGGCAGCTACCTGTATTCCCCCCCCCCCGCTTACCTGCAGATACTGCATCTTGTCCTCTGGGGGAGGCTTTGTAGGGTAGGCTTGGGGGATGCCCCTCTCCAGGGCCGAGAGGTCGTATTTGGCAATGTGGTCCAAGGTCAGGGCGTCCCCAGCAAAGTTGTAATCGTAGGGCCGCTCGTACATCAGGTCTGTATGGATCACCCCGTCCAGGCTGTTTTCTGCAGTCCCAGAGGAAGCAAAGCTGCATTAAAAAGGGTGGGGTGGGGTCCACTGCTAAGAACTTTGGATGAAGGGGTCGGGGTCACAGCCATGCTGGACCCACTCCTCCAAGATGTCAAAGCCCACCTCTCTAATTTCTTTTTTGGGGGGAGGGGGTTTCCTTTGGGGGGGATGTAAGCGGGAAGTTTCTCCTCTTTCACATTGTGTGGCAGGACTTTGGAACTCCCTACCTATTGGTATCAGGCAGTCTCCTTCGCCAGACTCTTTCCGGCACCTGCTAAAAACAGGCCTGTCCAGTTATATAGGATGTTGGTATGCGCTCCGATCCAATTTTTTTTATTGCCGGTTTTCATTCTTTTCTGAATGTTTTAAGTAGCTGCTGCCTTTTTAAAACTGTTTTCAATGGTAATTCCTATTGCTTTCTTCCTTTTCGTAAACCACTCTGAGGTCTTGGTTTTTACACCCAAGTGAAATATATAAATTCCGCAAACACGTTATGGGGAATACATGGAAGGGTAGGTAGAGTCAGCATTCCACCTGAATGCTCACTACGATATTAACAGATAGACTATGCTGGAGGGCAGGGATGAATGCGGACAGATATAACTGCACTGCAGGGAGTTGGATTAACTCACCCTTTGGGTCCCTTCCAATTCTACAATTCACTTGGGCCAGGAGGGGCACATGGAATGCATTTGCTGGCTGCCTTGGTTTCTTCCTGGTCTTGTTCATCATTTCCTACTGCTCCCAAACACCTGCCTTGCAACTGAAGAGGACTGAGGTTCAGCCAAGACGCTGTCCTCCGTTCACGTAGGAAGGACACAGTGCCCAGGACTGGACTGGACTGCCCAAATGCCCTACCTCCAGAATGTGGGGGACTCCCCCCACAAAAAACAATCACCACTCACCTTCCCCCACATCATCATTGGACATGACGGCCACACACTTCTCCCAGACGGACTTGATGTCAGCTCGGTAGCGGTCACAAGCCCAGAGGAAAAGCGGGAGCAGGAGGGACTGGACGACCGAGCACCAGAGGACGCAGAGGATCATCCAGTTGTAGGCCACGTCTGACTTCAAGCTGGCAAAGCTCACCACCTGCAGGACAAGGTACCAGGGATGTCAGTAGGGGCTCCTAAAAGGCCCTCAAGACTCTCACGGTGGGCACATTGGCTGGTGGGGTATCTAATGCAGCTGCACTGTGGAAGCTAAGCTGGTCTCAGGCTGGTCAGGGCTTGGATGGGTGCCTGCCTGCCTGCCTGCCTGGGACCCCCACAGACCCTGACTTGAGTTTCACAGAAAATAGGAAGGGTACAAGTATAGGTTTGTTTTGTTTTTTTAGAAGTCCTTCACGCAGCGCATAGCTGAACTGCAGCACTCACTCCCACAGGAGGCAGTGGTGGTTTTAAGAGAGAATAAGACAAATTCATGGGGGAGTTGATGGCTACTATGTTCTGCCTAAGTTAGATGCAACAATGCTTCTGAAAACCAGCTGCTGGAAACCACTGGAGGGGAGAGGGTGCTCTTGCTGGTTTCCCTTTGGAGGCTGGACTGGACTGGATCGGGCCATTCGCCTGATCCAGCAGGCTCTTCTTATGATCTTAAGCAGAGTGCAAGCTGATGGTGGAGGTCCAGAACAGCCTGCATCTAGTGACGGTTTCAAGAGGAAACGTGAGAGAAGGCAGTAGATGACTGAGCACATTGGCATAGCAAGATAAGGAGGTTTCTGCTGGATCAGGCCAACTTGGAAGGCCTATCTAGTCCAGTATCCTGTTCTCAGTGTGGCCAACCAGATGCCTTTCTCCTCCTGTGGTTTCCAGCAGCTGGTGTTCAGGAGCATGACTGCTTCTGACCGTGGAGGCAAAGCATAGCCCATTATGGCTAGTAGTCATGGATAGCCACCTCCTCCTCCATAAATCTGTCATCCAAGTGGGTGGTCAACCCTGCCTCCTGTGGGAGCATTGCTTAACAAAGAAGGACTTTCTGTCACCTGTCCTGGATCTTGCAGCTTCATCGGATGTTCACAAGTCCCAGTGCCATGAGAGACGCGACTCTTCCCTTTGTACAGAAGGCACATCCTGTGCAAAGGTGTGTACCTTCCTGCTCTACAAAAGGAAATAGGTTTCTACACAGGAGCAAACCTCTCTCTTCTCCATCCAAACAAGCAAGAGGCATCACACATGGAGTCTGTTGAGTTGATCTTGTCCAGCATAGCCTACACAGACTGGCAGGTTCCTTCTAAGACTGCAGGCAGATATTCTCTCCCAACTTTTTCTGTGGAGCTGGGAATTGGAGTTGGGAACTTCTGCGTGCAATGCAGATGGCTTTGCTACTGAGCTGTGGTCCTTTCCCAGCTAGGCAGAAGCAGTCAAAGAGGGCGTGGTCAGTAAGGGGGCGTGGCCTGGGCAGAATTCTGAGATCCAGGGGAAAGGTTCCTGCCCCAAAGAGCTTACAGTCTTAACTGAGACACAGGTATGTGGTGGTGACACAATGCATAAGGAAGGCATTTAGATTCATATTATTTTATTTTTTATTTATTCCAAAAGGGAAGGGACTCATTCCATCATTTAGCATCGAAGTCTAGCTGCAAAAAGCCTTTTCTTTCCCCAGTGGAGCACATTGCCAGCCTCAGCCCTGTCTGGAGACTCAAAATCGCTGCACGGACATTCAGCCTGTCCAATGCAAAGCCATCCAATTAATAGCATCTTTGAATTTAAATTGGGGGCCAGAAGGGTGAGGATGGTGAGGGTAGATGGGAGGGGAGCCAAAACCGGAACACGTGGACATTTATATCAATCAAGGCTAGAAAACAGAGGTTTCCCCCACTGTTAATCAATGTTTCATTAACACCCCCAGTGCAAGCCAAATTCAAATTAACTTAATTTGATCTTTATAAATTGAGTGCGTAATGTCTCTCAGCAGAACAGAGCCGTGGCGGTGAATCAGGCTTGAAGTACATGAGGGAGGATTTCGGTTTGGGGGCGGGTGAGTGGGAAGGAGGAGAACCTCATTTCCATTTTTATAAACGAAAAGGAATGGAGGAAGGAAGAGCTACAGAATGATGCTTCCAAGAAGAACAGCCCCCACTACCCAGCCAGACACATCCTACCCACCCTCCTGCTGAAGCTGCCATACATTTGCAAATTTTGCAGCCATGTGGGCGCAGGGAGTATGGCATAGTGGTTAGATTGCTGGAGAGGTGTGGAATTCCGGTTCAAATCCCCATCCCACCAGAAGTTTCACTGGGTGACTTTAGCCTAATCTCTGTCTCTCTCTCAGCCTAACCCTACTGTGGACTACTCTAACACGCTCAATGTGGGGATGCCATTGAGAAGAGAGCTTCAGTTGGTCCAGAATGCTGCAGCCAGACTGCTGATGGGAGCCAACAAGGGAACAGAGACAGCAGTCCCTAGTACAGTGGTACCTTGGGTTAAGTACTTAATTCATTCCGGAGGTCCGTTCTTAACCTGAAACTGTTATTAACCTGAAGCACCATTTTAGCTAATGGGGCCTCCTGCCGCTGCCGCGCCGCCAGAGCATGATTTCTGTTCTCATCCTGAAGCAAAGTTCTTAACCCCAGGTAATATTTCTGGGTTAGCAGAGTCTGTAACCTGAAGCGTATGTAACCCAAGGTACCATTGTAGTCTAATAACAACAGCAAGCTCAGAAAGATTTCACAGTCAAAGAGGACTCTTTAAAAAGGCAGGGTTTGTTCTCCATTGACTAAGACGAACCCCTGATGGCTCAGATATCACATCTACTCACAGGAAGAGTCCTCTATCCATTTCCATTGCTAGGCCCCGTTCCACTCAACTGATTCACAAAGTCTCTTTTGAAAGCCCAAGATCAGGATAAGGAGACAAAACCTGCAAACATTCCACTTAGTAATGTTTGCTCAGAGACCCCCTTAAGGTTAACATCTCAGCAATGCTCCCTTCACCGTGATGCCCAAGCCAAGAGAGCTCTTCCATGACATCGGAGCAGCTAAGCCAATGGCAGCCCAAGCTGGCTGCGACGCCTCCCCTCCCTCTCTCCATCCTGACCTCAGAGCAGGCTGACTGCTTGAGGGTGGACAGCACTGTCATCCGCAATTGTAAGAGTTTTAGAGATGAAAAAGGAGTGATCTGCTGAATTTCACTCTGTCTTTTAGGGTGTAAAATGCAGCAGAGATTCTCCCACCCCAGTTCTTCCCTTGAGGCCCAGCACCTTTACCAACGCACACATCAAAGGAACACAGAGTTCCTTCCACCCGCTCAAACTGTACATCCTTTCCCCCTCCCTCCTGGCCTCCAGGGAACGAGCAATCTGAAAAGAAATTCTGTTGCTGTCCAGCCTCACCACCCTGGCTGCTAAAATCCTGCCAATCCTGTAAGGTTTAACCCTCTTTTAAAAAGCATCAGAGATCAGTTAGGGAGGAAGGTAGCTAGTTACTTAGTTGGGAACCAGTTTGGGCACCAAGAAATAAAGTAGACGCACATTGGGTTCTCTCTGTTTTATGTCAGTGACTTTCCCTTTGCTTTCCAAACAAGGAGAGGGAGTGTGGCTTCTTGGCTAAGAAGCCAAGATGCTGTGGATCTTCAAATCTGGGCATAGCCCAGTGTGGGGCTTAGCAAGCCACTGTTTAGCCAGCCTCCAACTCACTCCCATCTATGTTACGGATTGGGCTTCTGCCATCTAGTGGGTTACTCAAATGAACACTGGCAGAGACAAAAGGAAAAAGAATCCCAGTGGCTGATAGGAACTCATCTGCCTATGTTGAGTTTACATAACAACATGAGAAAGAGCCTGCTGGATCAGGCCAATGGCCCACCTGGTCCAGCATCCTGTCCCCACCTTGGCCGACCAGGTGCCCCAGTGGGAAACCAGCAAGCAGGACCGAAGTGCAAGAACACCCTCTGCCCTCCTGGAGCTGCCAGCAACTGGTATTCAGAAGCATCGTTGCACCCAAATGTGGCGGCAGAGCAGAGCCATCATGGCTAGTAGCCAGTGATAGCCATGAATTTGTCCGATTCTCTTTTAAAGCCATCCACGTTGGTGGTCCTCATTGCCTACTGCAGGAGGGAGTTCCATAGTTTAACTGCACACTGCGTGAATAAGTCCTTTATTTGATCTGTCTTGGATTTTCCAACACTGAGCTTCACTGGACGGCAACGAGTTCTAGTGTTATGGGGGGGGCTTTCCCCCGTCCTTGGGACCCTTTCCAACTCTGAAGTGATGATTGGCTGGCCCCACACAGGGGGAAAACCAGCTCTGCCCTGATCAGCCTATCTCAATATTGATTCACTGGACTTTGATCTGCCACTGACCTTCCATGGAAAGGACTTGCATGCTTGGCTACATGCTTCTTCCTGCCATTGTTTGTTCAAATTCCCCTTGCATGCTCCTGATTTCCACAGGAATCATACATAGAGCTTCTCTGCCTTCACCTTGACTGGCAACCATCCTCTAATAAAACGATTCATCTGCATTAATTGGGAGAGCTGGAAGACGCTGCTTATTGTTCTGGAAAGTGATTAGAAATCCTTGGAACAGCAGGCAGGCATTGGGCGCGATGCCAGAGAGATAAGAACAAACCAGGACATGGGGCACCGGAACGTAAGGCTTCTCCTCGTTGGGCTCCAGCCTCCGAGATGCCTTTTCTTGATTTCCAGCTGATGGCGAGGCAGCAGCGGCTATGTTTAGCCGGAGCCGTCTCAGTGGGCTGCAGTGAGGTCCTGGGAAGGGGGACTGTAGGAGGCTTGGAATCCAGTCTTGGCAGGCAGGCTGCTTTCCAAGGGAGTGGAGGAGGAACCACGTGCAACAAAGGCGTGCTCCTAGGGCTTGCTTTATCAAGTAAGGGAGGGAATGAAAGCCCATGGAGTGACTGCAGCTTGCTAACTAGGGTAGATGTGCCTGAAACGTACCCTGGTTTCCAGAGAGGGATGCACACATGTCCCTTGTTGGCACTGGCAAGAGCCATCAGGGGACCTGTTATGTTTGAAAACTCGGGTTCTTTAGCCGAGGGGGAAGTATCGTAACAATTTTTGCATTTCTTACATGTCAGCCTGTTCTGGGCATCAGCCTATTGATCTGTCACACCAGGTTGCTCCGCCTGATGCCCTTAGAGGAGGCTCCTCCTGCCTTGGGGGAGTCAGACAATATCATCTGTGGGGAATGCTCAACATTCCCCAACCTAGTGCCTTCCAGATGTTAGTGCCTTCCAGATGATAGTTAAGGATGACAGCCAAAGTTGATGAGTGTTGGGAGACCAAGAACACCTGGAAGTCTCTCTCTCTCTCCCACTCCCCATCTGCACTGTACATTAAACCTGCATCATACCACTGTAAACAGTCAGGGCTTTCCCCAAAGCATCCTGTGTAGTGTAGTTTGCTGAGGCTGCTGAGAGTTATGAGGAGAGCCCCACTCCCCTTACTGAACTACAATTCCCAAAGTCCCCTGTGATGAGAGATTGATCATTAAAACACCTGGGAATTGTAGGTACAGTGGTACCTCGGGTTTCAGACACTTCAGGTTACAGAAGCTTCAGGTTACAGATTCCGCTAACCCAGAAATAGTATCTTGGGTTAAGAACTTTGCTTCAGGATGAGAACAGAAATTTTGCGGCAGCAGCACAGTGGTAGCGGGAGGCCCCATTAGCTAAAGTGGTACCTCAGGTTAAGAACAGTTTCAGGTTAAGAACGGACCTCCAGAATGAATTCAGTTCTTAACCTGAGGTACCACTGTAGGTGAGGGGGATATAGGGCTCTCCTCACAACTCTCAGCACCTTTAAAAACTACATTTCCTTTCTCCTTGATCATTCTGGCTCCCCTTTCCTGAACCTTTTCCTCTTTGAGGCAAGGCAACCAGAACTGTGCACGGCATTCCAAACACGGTGGCGCTCTGGAATTGTATGCTGTATTCATTGTATACATTATTAATACTGGCTGTTTTATTTTCAATTCCTTTCCTAATGCTGCATAGTGGGGAATTTGCCTTTTTCACAGCCACTGCACACTGGGTTGACATTTTCATTCAGCTATTTACTACGCCACCGTCTCATGCCTAGTCCATCACCGCCAGTTCAGAACGTATAGGTAAAGGTAAGATTTTTTTTGCTCCAACGTGCATCAGTTTACACTTGTTTACATGGGATTGCATTTGCCATTTTCCTGCCCTTTCACTTGGTTTGGAAAGAGCTCTTTGCAAGCCCTTTCTGTTGCAGAGACCCTGGACAACTTAGTACCACCAGCAATTGCAACCACACTCACCAGTATAGGAAAGCCCATGAGGAAGTCGTAGATGAAAACGATCCCTGCGATCAGATAGGTGATCTGCAAAGAAGTCTTAATGGGTTCCGAGCCATCAATGGACGAGCGCCTCTTGCCTTGAGCATCCTCCACCACGATGGTGGGGACGTTGAATTTGTTCTTGTCGATGTTGTTGCCCGCCTGGATGGAGAAAGTCTGGAAGAGGGCGATGGCCACGCAGACCACACCCATGACCACACTCCCGCTGATCAGGAGCAGGAAGCAGACGCCAAAGCCCAGGCCGATCTCGGTGACGATGAAGCGGCAGTCCGCGGCATAGAAGCGCTCCGTGGTGTCGTGCCAGCCCACGGCCGGCAGCGTGGAGAGGATGAAGGACACCATCCAGATACCCATGACGGTGTGGACCGCTTGCTTCTTGGTGTTGCTTAACCTAGAGAGGGGAGGAAAAAAGACACCTCCCCTTAGGACAAAGCCACATTTTCTGTATCCTTTCGGCTGAAAGCGAAACAGATCATCCCAAGTCCATTTGGCGATGGCAACCATACAATCCTAGAATTGTAGAGCTCTAAGGTACACCAAGGGTCATCTTGTCCAACCCCCCTGGAGTGCAGGAATCACAGCAAAAGGACCTCTGGCACAAGGTTTCCCAAGCCTGGGTCTCCAGATGTTGATGGACTACAACTCCCATCGTCCCTAGCTAGCAGGATCAGTGGGTGATGGGAGTTGTAGTCCAAAAGCAGCTGGAGACCCAAGTTTGGGAAACCTTTTTTTGCGGCAGATGCCCATCCAACCTGTTTAAAAACCTCCAGTGAAGGTGAGTCCACCACCTTCCAAGGTCTTCCATTCCACTGCTGAACAACTCTTGCCATCAGAAAGCTCTTCCAAATGTTTATAGTCAGAACCTCCTTCCTTGTCATTTGAATCCATTGGTTTGGGTCCTCCTCTCTGGAGCAGCAGAAGACAAGCTTGCTGCACCTTCCATAGTGAAAGCCCTTCTCTAGCTGTAATTCCTACACTGCAGGGGTTGGACCAGAAGATCCTTGGGGGGTTCCTTTCCACTCCACAATTCTGTGATTCTGCGACCACTGTGGGACTCATCCAGAGGCGGGACTTGCCTGTAGTTCACCGGCCAGCGGACCATCCACATCCGGTGATAGGAGAGGGAGGTGACTGAGAAGCAGGTGACCAGTGTCAAGGTGTAGAAGGTGGAGACGAAGACTTTGCAGAGGCCCTCACTCCACTGGTAGTCAGAGTTTTGGCGGCGGAGCTGGACGACCGAGTACATGGTGATGGGAATGGCAATGTTAAGGATGTGCGTCCCGGCCAGCGTGCAGATGAGGAACTCCAGGGGCTTCCATTTCTTCTGCTTGGCGCTCACACTGAGGATCCCCCAGGCATTGGCCAGGACAGAGAGCCCTGAGCAAACCAGCCAAGCCACGGCGTTCCTGTTCAAGGTCTGCTCATCATCCATGGTGGAGGGAGGAGTAGTGGCCATCTGGCGAGGCCAGGTGAGGATGACGTACCAGGAAGAAGGAGGGGAAGAGATGCATCCTACAAGCGGGCCGGGGCCATCAAGGGTGCATCAGGGAAGTGGGGGAATCCCACCCAAGGACCGACGGGGAAGCAGCGCCCGGGGTGGTCCTATGGCTCATGGTTCTGGAAGGGAAACAAGAGACAGCTCAGAAAACAAAGAGAGCATCGCCACATGCAAAAGGTTTGCGTGAAATTGATATCCTGCTGGATTGCAAGGCTCAAAGAGAGAAGGAACAAAACACAGGAAGAACTGGCTGGATTAAGCCCATCTAGACCACCATCTTGTTCCTGCAGTGGACCCAGGCACGACAACCCTCTCCCCTCCTGCGGTTCCTGGTATTCGGAGGCATAGTGAAACTGTGGAACTCACTTCCACAGACGGCAGTGATGGCCACCAACTCAGGATGGCTTCAAAAGAGGATTAGGCAGATTCATGGAGCAGAAGGCTCTCAATAGCTACTAGCCAGGAGGACTATTGCTTTGACTTCATAGCTGGAGGCATCAATGCCTCCGAATACGAGTTGCTGGAAACCGCAGGAGGAGAGAGGGCTCCTGTGCTTGGGTCCTGTTTGCAAGTTTCCCATGGGGTCATTTGTGTGGCTGCTGTGAGAACAGGATGCTGGACTAGATGGGCCATTGACCCGATCCAGGAGGCTCATTTTATGTTCTTATGTTAAACCCCTTTCAACCCCCAGAGGGGTCTCTTGAGATTAGCATAAAGCAGCAACAACAGCACCAGACAGATATACTGTTCCCAACCGGGGAGCAACCTCTGATTCACTGAACTGTGGGCACCCACGTTTTTGAGGCACGATGCAAAGCCCACTGCCCCCATGTTAGACAGCTAGCAGCCGGCAGCCCAGTGCTTGGAGTCATGGTGGCTGGAAATGGAGTGTGCTGCCCTTATATCGAGCCAAGCCACTAGTCCCTCCACACCAGTAGCCTCTACTCTCCTTTTTTATTGGGAGATGCTGGGGACCAAACCAGGGATCTTGGCCTTGCCAAGCAAGATGCTCTGCCCCACAGCCAGTGCCCCCTTCCTGCGGCCTAGACAGTAAAGGTAAAAGGTAAAGGGTCCAGTCGTGGCCGAATCTGGGGTTGCAGCGCTCATCTCGCTTTATTGGCCGAGGGAGCCAGCGTACAGCTTCCGGGTCATGTGGCCAGGATGACTAACCCGCTTCTAGCGAACCAGAGCAGCACACGGAAACGCCATTTTTACCTTCCTGCCGGAGCGGTACCTATTTATCTACTTGCACTTGATGTGCTTTCGAACTGCTAGGTTGGCAGGAGCAGGGACCGAGCAATGGGAGCTCACCCTGTCGCGGGGATTCGAACCGCCAGCCTTCTGATCATCAAGTCCTAAGCTCTGTGGTTTAACTCACAGTGCTAAATTCTGAAGTGCACCAGCTCAGCCTGGCAGCCTTCTCCGCCCTGGCCCTGGCCCCCAAGGAGCATCCAAATACGCAGGTCACTGAGTCAACCCATTTGCACATAGCTGCCCACTCCCCCAGTACACAGCGCAAGGCCCAATTCATCAGCTGACGGTCCTCAAGTACATGCTTCTGAAATCAAACACACTGCTAGCAAAAAGACCTTTGAAGCAGCAGAAATGAGGAAAGCTCGTTTACTAAGGGGTGCTGGCTGCTGGGGGCTCCCCTCCTCCTGAGCTACCTTTACAGCTTGCTCTCTTAGCATTCCAGCTTTTTGCATTTTTAGCATTTTGCTGAAATCTCCACCCTCGATGCTGCCTCCATTGAGCTTTGGCAACCTGGTCCTGATCCGCTTCCAAATCCCCAATCTTGGCTTGGGCCTTCAAAGGGTCTACTTATTATTCTGTCTGGCAGCAAAAAAAAAAAAAAAGGGGGGGGGAGAAAATACTTCTGCTCCAGAGGATCTTCAACAAAGGCGGTCAAGGAGGAATGATCAGAAGTGAACCAAATCAGCTGCCAAGCACCTCCCAAACAGACAAAATGCACATTATTTTGGACTCCTGTTGGGGTCCATGACCACTGCAGGGAGGCATCTCAATAACATGTCAGAACAGTTCAGACTACAGGTGAGAGAACAGCCTGGAACATTCCCGTACAACAGCATTGCAGGGGGTTGGACTAGATGACTCCCGGGGTCCCATCCAACTCTACACTTCCTTGACTCTATGATTCTAACTCTTCCAGAAGGTACTGAGTAAGCAAAGCTTGGACAGCAGTTACTGGGAATCGCAGGTGGGCAGAGTGGTGTTGCCCTCCTGTCCCGCTTGATGGTCTCTCCCTGGGGGCATCTGGGTTGACACTGTGAGAACAGGATGCTGGACTAGATGGGCCACTGGCCTGATCCTGCAGGGCTCTCTTAAAGAGCTGAGTCAGAACAGTTGTCCCAACCTGGCCGCCAACTTGGATGGCTTTATAAGACAAGTTCATGGAGGGGAAAGCTACCAATGGCTGCTAGCCACGATGGCTATGCTCTGCCTCCCTGTTTGGAGGAAGTCATGCTCCCCATGGTTCTCTCCCTCCCCATTTAATCCTCACAACAGCCCTGCAAGGCACCGTGTTTTTTGCTCTATAGGACGCACCAGATGATAAGACACACCTAGTTTTGGGGGGAGGAAAACAAGAGAAAAAAAATTTGAATCCCAGAAGCCAGAACAGCAAGAGGGATCTGGCTTCTGGGATAACAGCGCCAAGCCTCTTCAGGGCAGCGGGATGAAGGCCCCCCCTGCCTGGAAAAGGCTAAGGCAGAAGCCAGGACAGGCGCGTCGCTGAAGGGGCGCTGCGCAGTTCTCTCTCTTTGCGCAGCGCCTCTCCTTTGCAGGAAGGAGATAAGGAGATAAGGATAAGGAGATAAGCAGAGCTGCACAGCGCCCCTTCAGTGAAATGGGAGGAGGAACAGAAGGGGCTCCATTCCTCCTCCTGCTTCGCTGAAGGGGCGCTGCGCAGCTCTACCTCTCTGCGCAGCACCATTCACTCCATAAGACGCACTCACATTTCCCCTTACTTTATAGGAGGAAAAAAGTGTGTCTTATGGAGCGAAAAATACGGTACATGAGGCTGAGAGGCAGCGACTGGCCCAAGGCCACACAGTGAGCTTCATGGCTGACTTGAGTTTTGAACCCGGATCTCACTCAGGTCCTAACCTGATGCTCTAACCACTACACCACACTGACTTTCATGACCCCCACCCCAGGCCTGAGTTCCCACCCAAGGAGAACTCAGCCAGCCCCACTCTACACAGCAATCACCCCCTTTCATCTGTCTAGCTCCACCCTTTTCTTGGTCACACTAGAGTGTGACAGAATGCTGAGAGCAGAGCAGTAGACAAGCGGGAAAGGCTGTCAAGAACTGGCTCTAAGGCAGATTATCACCACCTCCTCACAGTATATGCTCACCAGTTTAAGAAGCTGGTTTTTTGTTTTGTTAACATTTACATTTTTCCACTTCTTTTCCATCTTTTGCTTTAAAAAACGAAAAAATGCTCCTTCGACCTTCAGGATGTGACATTATCTGTCAGGGTGCGATTTAATATTTAATCTGCAAAGCTTCCTGCAGCTCTAAGCAAGACTTAATGAAATATGTCTTTTGCTATTTATTTTACATTTTTTCTCTGCACGATTCCTAAGGAGCAAGGCTGGGGGCGAAAAGGGAGTGGTGCTGTTTCCTCCTGGGAGCGCTTGGCCGTTTGCTGCAGACAGCCAGCTGCTCACCCGGCTGGGTCAAAAGGCATATGCTGTTCCTGGAGGAATCCACCATGCTGGCCCTCAGGACAAACTCCATTATCAGTTCTCCTGCCTCACAGCTGACCCTGAACATGGTGAGCCCAACCCTCGACTGCATTCCTTTTCTTGCAAAACTCGCATTGTTTGAGCAACTGTTTGAAGACTCAAGCACTCTCATTTCTGCACCAGCAGAACTCAGAAGGGTTCCTAGGAACTGGTTTAAGACTGCGTCAGACCACTGCTCCAGCACTGTCAACACAGACTGGGGTTCAAAGCAGGAAGTCTCTCCCAACCCTACATGGAGAGGATGCCAGATGCCAGGGATTGACCCTTCTGTATGCAAAGCAGACGCTCTACTGCTGAGCTATGGCCACTCCCCTAAAAATAAAGTAGGATGCTAGTCCTCATGGTTCTGAACTCTCTTCCGCAGGAGTCAGTGACAGCCTCCAACTTGGATGGCTTTAAAAGAGGAGTGGACAAATTCATGGAGGAGAAGGCTGTTGACGGCTCCTGGGATGCCTAGTGGAGGACCTTAAGGTCCACAAATGACAACATTTTGGAGGTCCCAGATCGCAAGGTGGTTAGATTGGTCTCAACTAGGGCCAGGGTCTTTTCAGTACTGGCCCCGACTTGGTGGAACGCTCTGTCACAAGAGACTAGGGCCCTGCGGGACTTGACATCTTTCTGCAGGGCCTGCAAGACAGAGCTGTTCCACCTGGCACAGCTGGTTTGGACATATTCTGACCCTTATGTTTCCCTCCCCTTATGGTCTTGATTTATCGGCTACTTTTAAAATGAGGCTGCATTTTAAATTGCATTTTAATCTGTATTTTAAATTGTTTTTTCTTTTCTTTTCTTTTCTTTTTCTCCTATTACGTTTTTTACTGTGATTTTATTGGTGTTAGCCGCCCTTAGTCCAGCTCTGGCCGAGGAGGGCGGGGTATAAAAATTATTATTATTATTATTATTATTATTATTATTATTATTATTATACGTGATGGCTATGCTCTGCCTCCACAGCTGGACACCTGTTGCTGGAAGGGAGAGTGCTCTTGTGCTTGGGTCCTGCTCCTGGGTTTCCCCAAAATAGGTACCTGGAGTTGCTAGACTAGATGGGCCAGTGGCCTGATCCAGCACTCTCTTTTTATTTCCTTATCACATCCATTTCCCTTCCTTGCAGCAATGCTTGGGACAGCATCACCATCTAGCCTAGCAGTGGAACATCCACTTTTGGGGAGCATCCCATCTCAGAGATGAGCAGGATGAGGGAGAGGAAGGATTCAGCTACCTGCCGGATGTGAGAGAAGCTGGCTAAAAATAACCCAGACTTGCAGTGTGAGGGGGGGTGGAGTGCATGGGTATCTCTGTGGAGGAATTCAGCAGGCTTCCTTTGCTAACCCCCCACATTGACACCTCTCTCTTCGTTGACTGCCATGGCAACCCATCTAACACCAAGGAGATAAATATAGCCCGGTAGTTTTCTTGGGCTACATACAGTTCAGGTGCAAAACGCAGCCGCCACACCGCCCCCCGCAACACTTCCATTAAGTAGCAGCGAGACTTACAATGGCAGGCACCCCACGTATTTATTTATGCTGTCCCTGCAGAGTGGGTGGTGCTGGTGGTGCAAAGACCCGGCGGGGTTTAAAAAGAGAGACTATGAACCACAGGCTTTAAATAGACGCCTTGCAAGTGAACTGTCTGTATAGCTCAGTCAATAGAGCACGAGGCTCTTAACTTCAAGAGTTACAGGTTTGAGCCCCACATTGGGCAAAAGATTCCTTCATTGCAGGGGGTTGGACTAGACAACCGATTCTATGACTCTATCAACGCTACCTGGAGAAGACGACTCTCCCTTGCCCCAATCCACCACCACCATCATCACCATTATTAATGGCATTTATATCCCACTTTTCTCTCCACATGGCCACGAAGCCCAGCGGGTGACCTTGGGACAGTCACAGCCTTTCAGCCTAGCCTACCTCGCAGAGTTGTGGTGGGAATGAATTGAAGAGGGAGAGTGCCGTGTATGACACCACAAGCTCCTTGGAGAAAAAGGTGGGCTTTAAATGCAATAAATAAATCAACCCCGGCCAGAAAAGCTACTCCGGATGACAATGATTAGCTGATGGACTGATTGGCTAAAATCCTATTGAACCTTGAAGCAGCTGAATGTTGGAAGATTCAGGAAAGATAAAGGAACTCTTCATGCACCACATGAACTATGGAACTCACTCACACAGGAGACCATGATGGCCACCAACCTAAAGGTAAAGGTAAAGGTAAAGGTACCCCTGACCATTAGGTCCAGTCATGGATGACTCTGGGGTTGCGGCGCTCATCTCGCTTTATTGGCCAAGGGAGCCAGCATACAGCTTCCGGGTCATGCGGCCAGCATGACTAAGCCGCTTCTGGTGAACCAGAGCAGCGCACGGAAATGCTGTTTACCTTCCCGCCGGAGCGGTACCTATTTATCTACTTGCACTTTGATGTGTTTTTGAACTGCTAGGTTGGCAGGAGCAGGGACCGAGCAACGGGAGCTCACCCCGTTGCGGGGATTTGAACCGCCGACCTTCTGATCAGCAAGCCCTAGGCTCTGTGGTTTAGACCACAGCGCCACCTGTGTCCCCTAGATGGCTTTAAAAGAGGATCGGACAAATTCATGGAAGAGAGGGCTGTCGACGGCTCCTAGTCATGGTGGCTGTTCTCTGCCTCCACAGCTGGAAGTGGCAATGCTTCTGAACACCAGCTCCTGGAAGCCACGGGGCAGGCAAGAGCTCTTGTACTTGGGTCCTGCTTGAGGGTTTCCCACTGGGGCATCTGGTTGGCCACTTTGAGAAGAGCATGCTGGACAAGATGGGCCATTCTGCTTGGCTGGATGCTCTAGTCCCAAATGCTGCAACTTCTCCTCCAAGGGGAGCTGCTCCATCACTTTGGTCATTTCGCCACATGTTCCTTTCCATCCTCATTCCAGCTGTCATCCAGCTGTTCTATTGTCTCAAGTTCCCTGGAAAATCAGGGAGTTGATGGATTCTACACAGCGTGAAAGGATGCTGAGGAGCGGTGATGTCAACCTCCTTTGATTCCTGGAAATTTTTATTGTTTGCATCATCACTGCAGTCAGTTACAGAAAGTTGGGAAATGGATTTGCAAGATACCACCATAAGGACTCTTTGAACAGAAATACTTTGGACACCGCTGGGAGAGATTTACCCACCAACACCATGTTCAACCGGGTCTTAAACATACAGGTCAATCATCATGGATGATGACTCCATCATCATTATCAAGACTAAGGAAATGGCAGTGTCCAGTATACCTCGGTCCAGTATACCTGAAGGAGCGTCTCCACCCCTATCGTTCTGTCTGGACATTGAGGTCCAGTGCCGAGGGCCTTCTGGTGGTTCCCTCGCTGTGAGAAGCCAAGTTACAGGGAACCAGGCAGAGGGCCTTCTTGGTAGTGGCACCTGCCCTGTGGAACGCCCTCCCACCAGATGTCAAAGAGAAGAACAACTACCAGACTTTTAGAAGACATCTGAAGGCAGCCCTGTTTAGTGAAACTTTTAATGTTTAATAGACTATTGTATTTTAATATTCTGTTGGAAGCCACCCACAGTGGCTGGGGAAACCCAGCCAAATGAGCGGGATATAAATAATAAATTATTATTATTATTATTATTATTATTATTATTATTATTATTTCTGCCTCTGCAAAAGCAGCATTCCTAGTGAGTCCTCTTAAGGACTGGTAAGCATAACTAGCTATGATATCAGGGGGCTGGTTAGCTGTGATTGCTCCATTGCAAGGGGTTGGACTAGATAACACTTGGGGTCCCTTCCAACTCTACAATTCTGAGATTCTATAACCAGCAGGCCTTAAGCAGGGGTAACCAGTATGGCGCCCCTCCCATATGATGCTAGACTCCCAACTCCCACCATCCCCGACCGCTGGCCATGCTGGGACTGCTGAGAGTCAACAACATCCCATTGGCTACCTCTGCCCTGAACAGCCTGTTCCTTCCCTGCTCTAAAAATCCTTTCTGCTGGGACTCTGGGACTCCTAGAGCAGGACACCTTGCCCTGCAATTCAATATGTTGGCGAGGACTGCTTAGGACCACTGTGCTGTGAGCAATAGGCACTCTGCACATCCTCTGGGGCTCATTAAGAGTTCACATGTTCTGAAGATAAGGTCTAGCACTGGAAATGGAATTTATTGATTTTTATTTTTTTATCCTAAGCTCTGGCAGAATTTCAATTGTGTGGAGTTTCCACACACCTCCCTTCATTTTAACAGCTTGTTCAGGAACTGTGCCTTACAGGTTGCACAGCTGTAGGTTTGTGGTTCTCTCCCCTTTCCCCTCCAACAGCACAACCCCAAAGCAGAGAAGCCAGCTGTTGCTCAAGAGCAAGCTCAAAAAAGCAGGCAGGCAACCTCAGGCATCTCTGGGGCACCTTGACCTCGCTACTGTGTTCTGTGTTCAAAACACGTCTGCACACCTAGTGTAATTGAAATGGAATCGCAGGCACCAGGTGGGGGCAAAGCATCATCGAGCCCCCAAATAGCTTGCCCGGGTGATTAAGTGCACGGCATTCAAGCGAGCACCCGGGGAATTATTATGCCTCTTTGGTGAATAATGGATCTTTCGCTCTCTCCAGAAATATAATTCATACCCTGGCTGGCACTGTACGGGGCTGCCTTTTGTGACTGGGGAATTGGCAATTACAAAAAATAATAATTAGAGCAAGAGGGGCCAGGCGAGAGGTTTGCGGAGCATTTTGGCTGGGGCAGGAAAGGGGAGGTGGGCTCTTTCGGTTCAGAGGAGCGATTCCCGTTAATAGGCCTCTCCAGGGACTGGGGGGGGTGCGGTTCGGCCCCTGCTGCTGGCAAAGTGCCAACATTTGAACACTCCCAGGAGGCTCAGTGTTCAGAAGGTAATCAGTTGTGGCACTGCTGCAGCTCTGCACTACTAGGGAAAGCGTACAGAGCAGAGGCAGCTCCCCTGCACAAAGTGAGGCTGTTAGCCCATAAGAAGAGCCTGCAGGATCAGGCTCCTGGTCCATCTAGTCCAGCATCCTGGCCAACCAGATGCCCCAAAGGGAAACCAGGAAGCAGGATCTGAGCGCAAGAGCACTCCCCCCTCCTGCGGTTTCCGGCAACTGGTATTTGAAAGCATTGCTGCTTCCAACTGTGGAGGCAGAGCCGAGCCACAATTGCTAGGAGCTATGGATTTGGCTAATCCTGTGGGAGAGAGTTCCATAGTTTAACTATGCACTGTGTGAAGAAGTCATTTCTTCTATCTGTCCAGAATCTTCCAACATCTAGCTTCGTTGGACGCCCAATGAATTATTGTGTTATCAGAGTGGGAGGGAAATGTTTCTTTATCTACTTTCTCCAAGCCATGCATAATTATCGAAACACCTATCATGTCTCCACTTACTCACCTTTCCTCTAAACTAAAAAGTCCCAAACGCTGCAATCTTTTTTCATGAATGGGAGTTGCTCCAGCTCATTGGTCATTTTGATGGCCCTTTTCTGAACCTTTTTCCAATTCTACAATTTCCTTTTTGAGATGAGGCAACCAGGATTAAAAAGTGCAATCCTGCCCTCTCAAGCTAACACCAGTTCCCCAGGGTCTTTCCCAGGTCTGCTCTGATCCTATTATTCATTGGGGATTCCATCACCCCAGCGAGGCAACGGCTCAGGTGAGAGGGAACAAGACCAGGCTGGTGCTAATCTGGACTGGGGCAGGTTCAGCACCATGGACAGCACTGCAGATATTGGCCCACAGATTTTCACCACACTTTCAGGACCACAGCCAGCAACCATGCAGGAGACAAGTTGCCTCAGCACCAGCCTGGAGCACCAGCTAAGCTTTTACAGACCAGCCTAGAGAGTTCTTCAAGACATTCCACACTCTCTGAGAGCTGCACCTGGCATCTAAAGGGTTACCATCTGGAGTAGCTGGCTCCTTCTAGAGCAGCCTTCTCCAATCTTGTGCTTCCCAGACATTTTGAACTACCACTCCCATCATCCCTGACCATTGGGCTATGCTGGCTGTGGTTGATGGGAGTTATAGTTCACAAACATCTGAAGGGCCGCAGGCTTGTGAAAGGCTGTTCTACAGGGGGCCGGTAAGCACAGAAGCAACCTGGCTGTAAACCCTTAAACGGCTCAGGACCGCAATACCTTAAGGACCACCTCTCCCCCTAGGACAGACATAGGCAATCTCGGCCCTCCAGATATTTGGGGACTTCAATTCCCATCATCCCTAGCTAACACGACCAGTGGTCAGGGGTGATGGGAATTGTAGTCTCAAAACATCTGGAGGGCCGAGTTTGCCTATGCCTGCCCTAAGGAACCAACCCAGACCCTGTGATCATCATGAGAACCTTGTTCATGTGCCTCCTCCACGAGAGGCCTGGATTGTGGCAACATGAGAGAGGGCCTTTTCTGCAGTGGCTCCCCACTTGTGGAATGTTCTCCCATGGGGAGACTTGCCTGTCACCTTCATTTCATATCATTAGGCACCAAGTGAAAACATTTCTCTTCTCCCAAGACTTTGATTAATTAAACAATCGATGGCCTTTTATGCTGTGTGAGGCTATTGTTTTTATTTGTTACTATGTTATGTGTTTTCGTGTTTTTATACTGTAAACTGCCCTGTGGTGCTCAGATGAAGGATGGGATAGAAATTTAATAATAAATAAATAATAGGGAATACTCTCCCAGCCCCTCGCTGCTCGCTGGAGAGAGTCTTGAGGTCCACTTCTGAGGGTAGCAGTATTTCTGTGGGTTTCAGTAGATGGGGCGTAGGGTCCGAAATGGAGGGACCTGCTTAGGAAGAGCTGAGGAGGTGGTCTGAAATTTCTTGGCCCAGCACCGCAGCAGCTTCTTGGCAGCCTTTCAACTTGCAGAAGCTGTCCTTGATTCCCCACCGCAAGTAACCTAAGCACCTGCGATCAAAATAATGCATCCTCTTGCCCAGTTCACCTGTGCCTCTGCTTCCCCTCTTCTTCCACTTTTGCTGACTGTGTGTTGAATTCTAGACTGTAAAGTCCTTGGGGGCAGGGACCTGTAGAAAGCATCACACCCACTGGCATTCATTCATTCATTCACATGCCAGAACATTTATTTCCCTCCTACCTGATCTAAAAAGAAATCCACAAGGGGGCTAGCCATATAGAAACTCAAATTCAAAATATAAAAAGTAAGCGAATGGATTGTATTTTGAAGTGGTTATGGAGAGCAGATCACTCCCTTGTTAGCACAGCACCATTGTTTCTGGGCACAATTCAACAGTGCTGGTTATAAAGCCCTTTTAGACTTAGGTCAAGGCTACCTGTAAGACCATATTCTACCATACAAACCCACCTGAGATCTAGGTGGCTTCAAAAGAGATTTAGACATATTGTTGGAGGATAAGGCTCTACTAGCCATGATGGCTCGGCTCTGCCTCCAGAAGGCTCCTCCTTACGTTCTTCTTCCCTGTGGAAACAGAGTCTTGGGCAGAATTTTGCTCTGGCAACTATTTCAAATGCCGTCACTCTTTAGAGTCACAGAGCCTTTTGGCAGACTTCTCTCTGATTACTGCCCACCTCAAGAGACCTCTGAAATACCAAACTTGGAGCCAGATGAGTGCAGTGCCAAAAGAGCAACCAGCAGCGCTCACACACACACACACACACATTTCTGCATCGGATCGGTTGTGCCAGTTGCACATCCGCTCAAATCAAGAGAGCCATGGCTACCCTCACAAATCAAATAAAGCATTTACTCCTCGTCAATAAGTGATCCATTCTGGGTCTGTCCTGACTTAACAAGCCCTGGGAATTGCAGGCAGGCGGCTTTTGACAGGGACGTCTTTTAGAATCATACAATCGTAGAGTTTAGAGGGGACCCCAAGGCTCATCTAGTCCACCCCCTGCAATGCATGGGGGAGGGGGGATGGATGGGCACTGGTGATGGCTCCCCTCGCCCCCACCAAGCCAAAGGGCAGGAAATGGGCTCCTGCAAAAGGGACCCAGGGCACAGATTGGTGGCACACAGTTATATATATACAGTATATATGTATATAGATGCAAACAGAGGCTGACATTCAGAGGGGTGGGGGAGGGAAGCAGTGCTGTCAGGGCCGACTCTGAATTATAGGGTGCCAACATGCATTTCTGGGGGGTGGGCAAAGGGCCCAATCCACACACACAATCTATTGACAAGAACGGTCAATTATGTACATATTATTTAAACTTTTTTTTAAAAAAAGGTCTCCAGAGCACATAGAGGCAGTGGTTTCTAAGGCAACCAGCTGCTCTGCAAGCAAAGCAAAATAATACTAACGCTACTACTAATAATAATAATAGTAATAATAGAGGGAAGGGGAGATAAAGGATATATAAACCTGAAGGATATGCTGCCCTTTAGAGCAAACATTCAGCTCCTGCCTCATCTGTGGTCTTATGGGAAAAAGAGGGGGGGGATAGTAGCGTAGATATTATGTTTGATCTACCTACAGATCTGATAAGAAATGAGCCCTGAAAGTCAACTCTGCGCATGCTCAGGGACACTGTGCACCATGTATGGGTGTATAGTGACACTTGCTGCTCCGCCTCAGGCAGCAAAATATTTTAGCCTGGCCATGATCTCACTGCCCAATTTACATTAGGAAGAACTTTCTGACTGTCGGACAGTGGGACAGAAGGTGGTGGCCTCTCCTTCGTTGGAGGCTTGTAAACAGAGGTTGGGTGGCCATTTGTCAGGGATTCTTCAGCTGTGATTCCTGCATTGCAGGGGGCTGGACTAGATGGTCCTTTGGGGTCCCTTCCAACCCTACAATTCTATAATCCCACCAGGGAAAAACCCAGGTGGAGACAGCTTCAAATTCCCTCTATTAGAAGCCGCAAGTAAAGCAGACAAATCAATCAGGAAACAAAGGCCGAGTTTTTGAGACCCACAGAGCATTTTCTCAGCTCCGAGGTTAAAGAAGAAGGGTTAGTGCCACATCAAACGAACCCCACCAAATTCAGCAGAGCTCTTCCAAGTTGTAAAAGGCCTTTTTTTACATCTGGGCCCTCAGGGAAGATTGTTGCAGGGGGGCGGGGGGTTGTGGTGGTGGGGAGAGATGGCACAGTGGCCTGCTGCAACCAATTTGCAAGACACAGCGCTGATAAATCACTCCCTCTTGGATGCTCGCAGGGCAGCCAGAGGCAGGGCTGGCTGAGTGGGCAGTGAGGGTGATAAATGCCTCCTTAAGAGAGGGAGGAACACCAGCGAAGCTTGAAAGAAACAGCAGTGGGATCTCCACACACACACAAAAAAGCCCTCCCTAGCACTGCTTGATCTTAACTAATTAATTTTCTGCAAGTTCCCAGTACTGCATTTTCGGACAAGATGCTTCAGTGGCAAAACCTGCGCCAAAACAGATTATCTAGATTAGTTTCTACCTGGCTTGGGGCCTTTTTTTTTTTTTCAGGATAAGACTGTAATAAATAAATAAATAAATAAATAATATAGGTGCACAAATCAATGCTCAAAACTGGACAGGGGGAGTGCTTTTGGGGAAGGGCCAAACCTCACTAGTAGAGCATCTGTCTTGAATGCAGAAGGTCCTGGGTTCAGTCCTCAATGGCATCTCAAGGCAGGGCTGGGAAAAACTCTGGAGAATGGGTAGGCAAACTAAGGCCCGGGGGCTGGATTCGGCCCAATCACCTTCTAAATCCGGCCTGCAGACGATCCGGGAATTAGAGTAGAATGTGTGCTTTTATTTAGAATGCATTGCTGGGTTATTTGTGGGACATAGGAATGCATTCATATTTTTTTCCAAAATATAGTCCGGCCCCCCACAAGGTCTGAGGGACAGTGGACCAGCCCCCTGCTGACAAAGTTTCCTGACCCCTGCTCTGGAGAGTCTGAACTGAGCTGGATAGACCAGCAATCCTATTTAATTCAGCACATTATTCAAACCCTTGAGGATGAGGACCTTACTTTATTTTTAGGGGAGAGACTTTAGCTCAGTGGCAGAACACCTGCTTTGCATGCAGAAGGTTCAATCCCTGGCATCTCCAGGTTGGGCAGAGAAATATCCCCTACCTGAAACCCTGGAAAGCCACTGCTGCCAGTCAGGGTAGACAATACTGAGCTCAATGGACCAATGCTCTGACTCAGCATAAGGCAGCTTCCTATGGTCCTACGACCACACAGTGGCTTTAAGATGATCAACAAGCACAGAACCATAGAATTGTAGAGTTGGAAGGGACCCAAGGGCCATCGAGTGCAACCCCCTGCATGGCACGATTTAACAGTAGCTCTGACCCTTCCTAGGGACGTGGGTGGTGCTGTGGGTTAAACCACAGAGCCTAGGGCTTGCTGATCAGAAGGTCGGCGGTTCAAATCCCTGCGATGGGGTGAGCTCCCGTTGCTCGGTCCCAGCTCCTGCCAACCTAGCAGTTCGAAAGCACAAAAGTGCAAGTAGATAAATAGGTACCGCTCTGGCGGGAAGGTAAACGGCGTTTCCGTGTGCTGCTCTGGTTCGCCAGAAGCGGCTTAGTCATGCTGCCACATGACCTGGAAGCTGTACTCCTGCTCCCTCGGCCAGTAAAGTGAGATGAGCGCTGCAACCCCAGAGTCATCCGTGACTGGACCCTTTACCTTTACTTGACCCTTCCTGGGAAGGGAAGTCAGATTCCAGGAGATTTGGGGAGGGAGGGAAGGAGGGAGACCTGCTCACCCCTCCTGGTTGATGATGCCAGGTTAGATGCACTGCCCCAGTCTGCCCCAGGCACTCCGAAATGAACCGTTGGCAGGAAGTGAGAAGCAAGGAGGCCACATTCATAGGAATGTGGTGTTAGAAGGGACCCCAAGGTTCATCTAACGCAAGCCCTTCAAAGCAATTCGCGGCAGGAAGTTTATCCGTAGTTCTTTTAAAAGGTGCGGGGGCATCCTCTGCTGTGGGAGAATTGCAAACAAAGCCCAAACAGCGAATGCCAAAGCAAACCAGGGTCCTCGGGTGGGTGTGTGTCAGCAAGTCAACTTCAACCGCCTTCTTTTTGAGCGATTAAATGGCTGTTGGGGTTGGAAGAGAGCGATCGCTGTGGCTATTTTCTCCTTTCCATTCAGAACCAAAGTGCCTGCTGGGGTAGGTGAGGGCGGGTTTGTGCATTGCTAGAACCCCGTGGGGCGGGACTGCCTGTGGGGTCTTTATTGGCAGCTGGAAAAGTTGCTGTGCTGTCCCTGAGCACAGCACCTTACTGTCCTCCCAAGGTGCCAGAGGAGAAAATTAAAGGGTGCATCCCTGGGAGAAGGAGCTGAACACGCTCATTGGGGACACCCACTTCTTACAGTCACACATGTCACCTCTGGAGCAAATTCATTCTCACAGGGCAGCCTGGAATCTTAAAAGGGGCTCCTCTCTGAACAGCACCATCCTGGAGGCCGTTTACTCGGTCACACTAGAGCGTGACCAAGAAAGACGCAGGCTGCTTTTTACGTAGGCTATCAAGACATGGGAGAGTGTTGTCCTTTTTACTGAAGCAATTGGATGTGTGCTTTTGGATCCAAGTCCTTTGGATCCAGGCCTGTTTAATTTGGTATGGCAGTTGTGACTCAGTGGTTATCAGTATGAAACCTGGGAGGGGTGCGCTACCCACTCCCTAAACAACACACCCGGTGCAAATGCACTTCCACCACACAGTGTCGAATTTTAAACAGATTTCAGCTGTCCATCTCCCAACAACCATACCCAGAGTGACTGAGGCAGCCCATTCAGATGGGCAGGGTACCAAATTATTATTATTATTATTATTATTATGTGAAATTCCTTCCCCTGAGACGTGTGGCTGTCCCCCACACTTTTATTGACCTGGGATTCAACATTTCTTTCACTATGTAGCCTTGTTGTATTGTTTTTTTTTAAAGGAAAAATGCAGTTTTTAGGTGTTCTACTTATGGATTGCATTTTTAGTATTGTGCACTGGACTTTAGGGTCAGGGTGGTATATGAAGGAAATGAAACCAATTAATGCATCATATGCACTACAGAGTACAGAGAACACCTGAAATTCCATGGACATCCAGATGAAAGCCTAGCCAGTGAATTGCATGTGCTTTAACCCATGGATCTTTCTGTTTATGAGTAAAAGCATTTCCTTCTCTTCTACTCTTCCATGGAAGTTCTACTCTTCCATGACAGAGGGGTCTGTTGATGGCTATTAGACAAAGCACCAAGGTCAGTTGCAGAGCATCTGCTGTGCATGCAGAATGTCTCCGGTTCAATCTCCAGGGAGGGCTGGTAGAACCTACACTGCTTCTGCCAGTCAGTGTAGACAACACTGAACTAGACGGGCCATTGGCCTGACTATGGGGCTTCTTCTTCTGTTCCCATCCATGGTGGCCATATGGAACCTTCATGTTCAGAGACAGGCCATCTCTGAGCACCAGTTGCCCAGAAGCACGAGTGAGGAGAGTGCTGCTGAGCTCAGGTCCTGACTGCAAGGCTTCTGGTTGGACACTGCACAAGAATATGCTGGGTAAGACGGGCCGCTGGTCTGAGCCATCATCAAGGTTTGCCTTATGCTCTTAAGAAATCCACTCTGACCAGGTGTAGAAATGGCCACCAACTTGGATGGCTTTAGAAGAGGATCCAACAAATAAATAGAGGAGGAGGCTATTGCCTCTGCTGTCACAGGATGGTACGAGTGGGATCATCAAATCCAACCCCCTGCAATGCAGGAAGATGCAGCCGTCCCATATGGGAATCAAACCTGCAACCTTGGTGTTATCAACACCACACTCTAACCAACTGAGTTATTCAGTACATTTCTGAATAGCAGAGGCTGGGTATTGTAAGCAGGGAGAGCAACCGTTGCACTCATGTCCAGTTTGTGGACTTCCCAGTGGGGCATTTGGTTGGCCACTGTGAGAACAGCATGCTAGACTAGATGGGCTTCTAGCCTGACCAAGCTGGGGGGTTCCTCTTGCATTGCTAAGGTGGCCTCTACCATCTAAAGTCTCTAAGTACTTGAATTACGCAGTTACGCATGAGCATCTGGTGCTTTTTTTTTAAAGTTAATCAGAACCTTACAATCTATTAGACAAGTGGTTCCCAAACTCCCCCCACTCAACAGTCCACTTGAAAATTGCTGAGGGCCTTAATGGTTTTTATGCCTGTTGTAGCAATTGTAATGAGCTGCACTAGATGCTGTATGATTATTAATTGAATCAAGATTAAACGTCTTAATTCTAGCCTCCCATTGACTTTGCTGCTAATCCTCTCCACTCCTCTCAAGTGCGGACTCTTCCCTCTGTCAATACTCGCCCTTCCCACTCATCTTCTGAATGGACCACCAGGTCCTAAGAACAACCGCTGCTTCTTCTCAGATATGGGATCACAGTTTGGGGACCCTCTTAATTAAACTAACTGATTCATCAATCAAATGACACAGCCCTCATTCGCTGGGTGAACACAAAGCATCCTCTTGGAGGAGCAACTACAAGAGTTTATGGCTGCTTCAGCGACTTTTCAGATATTGACAGCAGGTGCCCCCAGCAAATTCCAGAAATTCCTCGCAATGCTAACAGAGACACCTTTGCAAAATGTCTTAAAGAAGGATCAGGGCAATTAAGTGACCCTCCCTTCCCCACAGCTGCCCCCTCCCTGGCTTTACTTTACCCTTCCTTTCCTAAGCCAGTGTCAGCTGAGGAACTGGCTGGTTGGGAGAAAGCTGGAGGGAAATGGGGCAGATGCCAATTTTGCAGCCTCAGTCAAAGGCGGAAGAGTTACAACAAAATGCAATAGGATTACAGAATCAGGACCAATGCCAGAAATCAGCCCAAATCGACCCGTTTGCAAACAAACAAAAGCCATCATCATCTTACATTGAGTACTGCAGGTGAGAGGAGCATGGACTCTGGCAGGCCTGGTTCACAGAGTGGGAGGAGGGATGAAGGGAAGACCCTAAAGACCAGCCCTGAAGCAGCTGGATCGTGCAAAGGCCCATCTAGCCCAGCCTCCCACGGGTGAACCAAAAGAGAAAGGCTTCGTCTTGAGAACTAGCGGTAAAGACTAGGAGTCCTTTGCGCGCCTGCTCATCCTCGCCACCCCACCCCTTGTAAAATCTAGACGGAGAAGAAAGAAACTTGCGGTGGTTTGGGAGAGAAGGGGGAGAGGGAGGGGGGAGTCGCATTCCTTGCAGCTTAGATGGCTGGGCTGAAAAGGAGGTCGCTCCCCCCACCGTCTTCGGCTGCAAAGGGGAGAGACCCCACCCTCCGCGGCCCCCAAAGAGCGCGCTGCCTTGCGCGCCCAAGGGGAAGGCGAGGGGGAAGGGAGTGTCCCCGCAGGGAGGAAGGGGGTGTCGTCCCTACACCACGAGGTCGGGACCCCCCACCTCCACCGGAATCCATATCCCTCTAGCATCTTGGCGTGCCAGCGTCCACGCGGGGCGGCTTACCTGCGAGAGCTCCGGGCTGCAAGCGGGCGCTTCGCTGCTACCGCTCCTTCTGCCGCCGCCTGCCACTCGCGCTCTTCGCCGCCGCCGCCTTCGCCGCCTGCCCGGGCTGGGCGGGGGTGGGGCGTGCAAGCGCATGCTTAGACTCCTCTCGCCGCCCCTCCGCTCCGCGCTCGTCCAGGATCGGGCCCGGGGGAGGCGTTGCTGGGGGTGGAGAGGGGGCCTTCTGGCCGAGGCGCTTTGCACACGCGGGGAGGGGGGCTGCGTTTGTGTCTCCACCCCAGGGATGGCTCCTTTCCCCTCCCCTCTCCGTTCTCTCTTTTAGCCTGGGAGGGGGCGCACTTCCGAGCCGGTCTGTTTTCCCGGCCCCCACCCCCGCTCCCACCGGTAGTCCTGGCCGAAGATGGCGATGGCGCACCGGGAGGCGCAGGAGGCTCACTCTGCAGCCCCCATGAATCATCCCACGGGCGAGGAGGAGGCGCACGTCCCCACTTTGCATTGCTCTGATGAACTCGGGTCTCAGGAGCAGGCGAGGTACGTGAGCGCCTCTGAGCATACGCAGAGTGCATCGCTTTGCACTCCTCGGGCCTCCTTGTTTGCGTGCGAGGTGCGTGGGCGAGCTAGTGTGCCTCTGAGCATGTGCAGAGTGCTTTCCCCGGCCACAGCAGTGAGGCTTCATCGAGACCGCTGGCCAGCAGAACTGGATGTAAAATAAGGAAAAACCCCTATCCTTTGTGACGCCCCCTTAGCTCGTGTCTTGAGAAGGCAGTGTGGTTGGGAAGAGGGTTTGGGGGGGGTGAGATTCCAGGCCCACTGCAGCCCTCACCTCTGGAGGAAGCCTACTCTGAAGACATCTGAGCTGCTAAGAAAAGAATGCCTCTTGGGTGGGTATTGCCCACCCCTACTGGCTCACTGCCTCCATAAGCGCAAAACTCAATGTTGGCGACATAAACCATGTACAAATCCAAGGCAGTCAAAACAGCTGAAACAGAACAGCACTACCAGAACCCCCAAACTCACCCTTTTCAAAAGCTTCTCCCAAAGAAAGCCATTAAGTATTATTAGACACTGTCTGAAAGGGGAGCACTTTGTTCACATCACACTACAAAGTGTGTGGCAGGGTACACCTCAATGTGGAGAGAGGACGAGTTGGGGGAAGCCACCAAAAAAGGCTCCATCTCAGATGCGAACAGGAGCCTCAGGGAAAATCTCAAAGGCTGGCCAGGCGGTTGGGCTTGCAAAACATTCTCTCCCTGATTTCCTAATTGTGCCAAAGAACCCCTCCAAGACTAAACCAACTTCTGGCAGTCCATCAGCCTCTCCCACCAGCATCAAGCTCAAGAGATAGCCAAGTGGACTTTAGAGGAAGTCACTCTTCCCACCTGAACACTTCACCAAGCCTAGTCAGAAGCTGGAGGCTCTCTGAGCAGAATTCCCAGAAAGGCACTCTGCAGTGCACATCAGCTGCCAACACATAGGAAGCTGCCTTTTACCAAGTCAGACCCATTGGCCCGTCTAGCTTAGTACTGCCTACACTCACTGGCAGCTGCTCTCCAGGGTTTCAGGCTGGGAGTCTCTCCTGGCCCTACCTAGAGAAGCCATTGGGTAGATGCTTAGTGCTGAGCTGTGGTTCTTCACACAAAAGGGGGGTCAAGGAAGCAAAACTGAGAGATGCAGAAGCCCTGCCCCTTGCAAAGGAGGGGTGTAAGATTTGGCTTTCCACTTGCTTCCCATGTGGTCGTTTGCAGTTTGCTGACCACATATGGATGCATAGCTAGGAGGAGGTCAGATTCTGGCCAGAATCAAGGCCGGAAAACAGATTTCGGGAATGAGTAGCCATCCTTGGACCTACCTGCTTAATTCGGTCTAGGTGTTCTGGTCCAGAGAGTGTTACGCCTCACCATCTCAAAAGTTACACAAGGGAGGCATCCTCTTTTTTGGCAGGGGAAGGGGGAATGTTTTGCCCTGGCAGCCCTGCTTTTGCCCATAAGCCTGAGACACATTTCTTTCATGTTACAGAAACTTCCCCCTTTTCCTGAAGGGCAGCCCTGACTCATCCTTCAAAATGCATCTTGATGTTTAATTGGAAGTGAAAAGCCAGCGCTGAGCCTCGCTGAGCTGCTGGAGACATGCGGCCGTGTTGCTAGGCTGGCGTTCGGCCGAGGGAGGCGCAGGGCAGAGGCTGCGCTCTTGAAGAAGCTGACCGTGAGGCCATCTGCCTGGGACAGGCACTCTCAAGGAAAAAGACAGAAAAAGGGGGAAAGGGGCCCAGCCCAGATGAGCTTCCTGCCAAAAAAATTTTGGCTGACGCAGCAGACATGTGGCTTCGAAATCCCATGTGGGACCCCTGCTCAAGTCACCTCAACACCATATTACAGGTACCAAAGACACACTTCTTTTTCCCTTAATAATAATAATAAAACGAAAATAACCAAGGTAACAGAGCAACTCCTGTATGAGGAAAGGTTGCAGAATTTGGTGGTACTTCATTTTTAGGACAAAAAGCGAGTAAGAGGCAACATGATGGAAGTTTATAGAATGATGCATGGCATGGAAAAAGTAGATACAGTGGTACCTCTGGTTACATACTTAATTCGTTCCAGAGGTCCGTTCTTAACCTGAAATTGTTCTTAACCTGAAGCACCACTTTAGCTAATGGGGCCTCCTGCCGCCGCCGCTCGATTTCTGTTCTCATCCTGAAGCAAAGTTCTTAACCCGAGGTACTATTTCTGGGTTAGCGGAGTCTGTAACCTGAAGCGTCTGTAACCCGAGGTGCCAATGTAAAGAGAAGCTTTTCTCCTTTTCTCAACTCTAGAACTCATGAGCATCCAATGAAGATGAGGGTTGGGAGATTCAGGACAGATAAAAGGAAGCCCTTCACATACTTTAAGGGTTGAACAATGGAACACACTCCCACAGGATGCAGGGATGGCCACAAAACTGGATAGCTTTAAAACAGGATTAGACAAATTCACGACAGAGAGCTGTTGATGGCTGCTAGCCATGATGGTCATGCACTTCACTTTTGGAGGTTGTAATGCTTCTGAATACCAGCTGCTAGAAACCACAGGGGAGGAGAGTGCTTCTGTGCTTGGATCCTGCTTGTGGGTTTCCCATAGACTCTGTAAGAACAGGATGCTGGACTAGATGGGCCATTGGCCTGATCCAGCAAGACTCTTCTTATGTTATTGAAGTGGAGGCATGCAGCATTATACATCCCCAAACTTTAAACAGAAAAAATAAGAAGGCTGTGAGCAGCATTGGAATGCTGTTTACCAAGGAAAGGTGGCATTGCAAGAAATGATTATTTATTTCATTTATTTCCCACCTTTTCCTCCAAGCAGCTGAAGATGGCTTACATAGCTCTCCCCTCATTTAATCCCTACAACAGCCCTATGAGGTGGGTTAGGCTGAGAGGCAGTGACTGGCCCAAGGTTATCCAACGAGCTTCATGGCCCAGTGGGGATTTGAGCCCTGGTCTCTCCCAGGTCCTAGTCTGACATTCTCACCATTATATACTACACTGGCTCTCATGATGACGATGGTGAATTACCTTAGAAAAGCTGGTCCCAGGGGTGGCTAATCTCAAACTTACATTTGTTGCTGAACTACAGCCCCATCATTCCTGGTCACCTGCTCTAAAAGATACTGTGGATTCCTCTAGATCAGGAAGGAGCTGGCCTCAGTTTTGTGAGATTCACCTGCTCACCCCTCCTCCAATCCACTGGTATTTTAGAAATTATTTCACAAAATTTATACAACTGCTTGATGGTAAACAAAGAAACCTCAATGCAGTTTGCAAAGAGAATAAAACAGCACAATAAAAAAACCCACCCCATTAAAATGACTCTTTAAATAATTCAAAGCATAAAATAAACAATAAACTAAAACCAGATTGGAACAGACATCCAGATTCTACAGGGAGAAGAGGTAATTGGGAGGAGGACCTCCCCATCACTGCAAAGCAACACTTGCCAATGACTTTGTTTGTGTCTCCGTCCGTCTGTTTGTCACACACACTCTCCTCTGACCCTGAAGGACTCATCCACCCTCAGGGGAGGTTGCCTGCTGTGTCTCTGCAAGAGGTACTGTTCTGCCTTTGCTTCCACTTTCAAAACCCACATCTTAGCCATTGGGCATTCACACAGAGGCTTGATCTGGCCATACAACGCTGAGGAATAGAGGTTGCATTTTAAGGAAGAAGTCCAAAGCTTAGCTTCTTTTAGGATGGACGGATGTAGGGCCGGGTGCTGCCCTTAGGAAAGAATCCTGTAACAGTTAAACACCGCAAGACAGAGACACAGCAGAGGCTCAACACTGTGGGGTGAGGGTTCCTTTCTCCCACCTGTTATCTGCCTGGGTTTTGTCATGACTCATGCGACTGGGAATTGGGGGGGGGGGAGAGAAAAGGGGAAAGGGAGTGCTAAACAGCTATTTCACTTAGAAATGTCACTCCTCTCCATGACTAAAGCCACACCGCTGCCCACTCGAGTTGGGGCTATTTATACTCTGCTTAATTGCAAGCTCCCTGATGACAATTCCAGCTCTGAGCAGTGGGGCTGGGACCGTCTTCTCCCACGCTGATTTGTGGGTGGGGGAGAAAGAGAGAAAGCTCCTCAAAAAATGGTAAACGGCTTACATTATAGATACGAACAAATATGCTGCTAGGACCTAGGAACCAGAGCAGGCTTGCCTGTGCAGCCTAGGGAAATAATAGGCCTTCTGAACATGTGCAGAGCACCTCTCCATCAGCACAGAGGAAACATAAGCAACACAGAGCCAGGAGGGGAGGAGGATTGTCTAGGAACTTCAGAACCTGGCTGCTAGTTTTGAGGCAGTGCAAACATCCAAGGGCCAAGGGGTGTGGAGTTTGTTTTCAAATTCAAAGTGGAAGCAAGGACAGAATGGCACCTCTTGCAGACACTCTGAAACAGCCTCCCCTGAGGATAAAGCCCTTCTCAATTATAGTCTTGGCTGGTGGTTCTTTCCTAGGCACCCACCAACTCAAACAGATTTCAGTTGTGTTATAGGAATTCTAAGGTCTTATATATAGAGAGAATAAATGTTCATAAATGTACAAGGCAAACACATGTGCATAAGTATAGTGTCTGAAACAGTGCAGGAGAGCAATCCTGAAGCCATTTTGACTCTTGCAAATGGACCTCAAATATTTCTCTGCAAGGAGGAAGGAAATAGGAAAAGCTTTCCAGTTGTCTTTGGACTGTAGGGGCTTACACCTCCCTTTGCAAATACAGCCTGGCAAGTATCTGTTAAGCTGAGCAAACCATCAATATATGTAAGAGATTCAGGAACTAAAGGCAACTTCAAAAGTCTATATAAGAGCTTGCACACCATTGTTCCTGGTTCCTCTCCTCCCTTCCTGCATGGGCGGAGTGGGAGACCCTGTTGCAACAGTTTAATGAAGATCGTGCTTAGCAGCTGCTTTGCTTCTCAATATTCTCTGGTTGGCCTCTGCTATTTTCTCCTACCGACAGAGAACTTACATAAGGACTCTATACAGGCTCTTGGATACCCAACAAGGGATAAAGGAGCAGTTTTTTCTTATAACAGTTGGTAAAACTCACATTTCCAGTAACTCCCAGGAAACAGCAGCCTGTTTAACCACAGAAAGAAGCATAGCCACCATAGTTTTCCTTTCTTTCTCCAGGTACTTTGTTCCTAGCTTGGTCAAGGGACACTTCCATTGACTGCATTGCTCTTATAAGATGTGAAACTGCTACGACGGCCCGTAACTTCTTTTCCTTTTCTCCCACTTGCAGGAGTCCAAGCTTCCCTGGAACCAGTTGCCACTGGCCAAGTTGGGCTCATTCCACACTCAAAATGGTGGCAGGTCTTCCCTTTCCGCTTCCTGGCTTATTTACATGGTATCTGTTTGTTTATTTGAATATTTATATACTGCTATGGGAAAAGATTCCTGCCTGCAGGAGCTGCTGGCAGTCAGTGCAGACAACACTGAGCAAGATGGACCGATGGTCTGATTCAGCATAAGGCAGATTCCTATGTTTCTACAGAGTCCAGGCCTGCTAGATGTCCCATCAGCTGTGCAAACGTCTACAGGTAACTCACAATTTGCACACATTTAACTTGTACGCGCCTGGTAAATTTAAGAAGAAAAAAATTAAAAGGGGGTGGGCGCCCAGGAAAAAAAAAAACTTTGGCAATCCCATTCACCATTGCGCCCTGTGTGTTTTGACTATACGGAATTTTGTTTTGCATGCTATCCCCGGAATGTAGCCCCCTGCATAAGTTGAGAGTCGCCTGCATATTCTACCTGCCCAAAGCAATTTAACAGAAACCCATCACTGAAATAAAGGCATAGAGTCTTTATTCACAATGGTCATTAAATAAATTAGGCATACATATACATATACATATACATATACATATGTATAGTCAAGAGGAATGGAACAGGACGAAGAGAGACTGCCAGATAACAATACAGAGAACAGCGTTGTTTTTTAGGCTTGTGACTGTCATGAAGCAGCTTTTGGTGTTTGCTGAGAGGAAGGGAAGGGTGTGAAACAAGAGCATAACAAAGACACAAGGCCCTGGAAAAAAAAATCTGTGCTAATGGCCCCATCATTCTTCTGAGAGAATGCTAGTGCCTTTTTTGGGGGTGAGGAGAGCAGCCCCCGTAAGTGCAACGACGTAGTCCTTGTGTTGCCCCAGCCAGGTGTTCAGTTCGTCTGCATGTAACAAGGGTAGCCTGCCCAGCAATCCTGGTGTCCTCCAAATATTTTGGACTACAAGCCCCATCAGTCTTGGAAGCCCAAGACATCTGGAGGGCATTGGGCTAGGGGAGGCTGGCCAGGATTTTTCAAGGCAAACCCCACCCCGTCCCCGCAAAAAAATGAAACCTTGTTAAAATACAGTAGCCCTCCTAGGTGGAGCAGCCTTCAAAATAATGAAGCTCCGTAACTCCCCAAGCAGGATTACCACCCACAATCCCTTGTCCCGAAGCCCCCCACCCCACCTTTCCAAGGGCATCCCTGGCCGCCTAGCATGGCTCCTAATGTGCCAGTTGGACTATCTACGACAAGTACAGATATAACAGAATGGTGGCTTTCTCTGGGGTGCCATGAGGGCTCTATGTGCTACCAGTCAGGTTCTGCTATTGAAATGCCCAAAGTGAAGATATCTGAGTGGATGTGCTGATGGTGGCTCTCTCCTCCCGGAAGGGGCTCCGGCTGAGATCGGTCATTGCTGAGTGAGCGGCTGAGTCTGTGCCTGGCGCTTGGCTTTGGTCTGGAGGTAGCGGCCTTTCCCCTCCTCGAAACGCCTCTTCTCATCTTCTGTTTCTACCTGCCGAGCAAAGACAGAACAGGTGTGGGCACGGTCGAGGCTGGATTAAGCTGGCCCCGGAACCTAAAGCACATGAGGGACAGGCAGGGTTTTCCCAGCCACTTATTTCACTGTGTTTTAAATCTTCGACAAAAGCGGTTCCCGTTGTATTCTTATAACCACTCATCCTTTCGTTGGCTGGCTAGGTTAAGGGGAGGATCTTCCCTAGAGACATCGGCACAGACAGGAAACATCTGTCAGTCCTCATCCACAGTTGCAGGAAACCAAGGGGTACCCTGGGATCCACATTTCAAAATGTTAAGGGCACATTTCCAAGTGGGTGTTTTGCAAGGGATGCCCTCCAGTTCCTTAGAGCTCTCCCATTCCCTTCAGCTCCCTTGTAGGTCTCTTGTGCCTCTTTGGTTCTCCTTGTAGTTTTAGCAGCAAAGAAAGATGCTAGAAGGAAGGGATGGTGGCTCAGTGGTAAAGCATCTGCTTTGCACAGGAAGTCCCAGATTCAATCCCCAGCAGCACCAGGTAGGGCTGGAAGAGATCTCTACCTGAAACCCCAAAGAGCCATTGCTGCCGGTCAGTCTAGACTATACTGAGCTAGGTAGACAGACCAGTATAAGGCAGCACCTGATGTTCCTAGGGTTCTGATCATTTCATCTCCCAGCCCTTGTTTCTGGATCCCAACAGAGCTGCTCACTTGGGGTTGCTCCCTGGGGTCTCCAGGCTCTGCTCCTTTCCATCTCAAACCCCTGTTCACCATGGCTGGGGGTGGGGTCACTCACACCCACAGTGAGGGATGCAAAGGAGTGTCATTTCTGTTTTGCTACCACCAGGGGATGCGGGTGGCGCTGTGGGTTAAACCACAGAGGCTAGGACGTGCCGATCAGAAGGTCGGCGGTTCGAATCCCCGCGACGGAGTGAGCTCCTGTTGCTTGGTCCCTGCTCCTGCCAACCTAGCAGTTCAAAAGCACGTCAAAGTGCAAGTAGATAAATAGGTACCACTCCAGTGGGAAGGTAAACGCGAGTCGGCCACGACTGGACCTAATGGTCAGGGGTCCCTTTACCTTACCACCAGGGGCAAGCTGTTGCCCCTGCCTTGCCCCAACCCTCTGCTGGGGTGGCGGCAGCATTGTTTTTGCTGCTACTTGGATGTATTGTATTTTATTTTGTTTCAGTGTTTATTAACATGAAATGTTTGCTTGCTATATTGATATTAGCACAACTTATCATTTAAATTGTATTCTGTTTTGCAAGTGTTCATGCATTATCTTGAAATGTTGTTAGATTTTATTCTGCATGTTGTTGTGAACTGCTTTGAGCACAGTCCCACCATGGAAAAGCGTCATATATATAAATTCATGACGACGACGATGATGGTGCAGATTGAATTCCACAAAAACACTTTTTTTTTGCTTGTTTGCTGTGGCCAAATTTACATGCAATTAATTTGTGATATTGTTAAGTGATTCCACATCGTTTGTGTCATTTTGGGGAGGGGGGGGAGGGCCAAAAAAGTGACAACAGTGAGTACACAATCACATTTGCCTGCCTGAACTCTGTTCCTGTTTGAATCCACATAATTTCCGGTACTGTTTCCCATTCTGATGAGATTCCACAACATCCATACCTCCCACAAACCCCACTTCATTTCACATACCTAAACATCACACACTAGTCACTGAATCACACTGCCTCGCGGACCAGCAACAAGTCCACCACTGTAGACGCAAGGCAGAAGGAAAATGCTCATCTGCAATCATATTTGCTGTGGTTCCTGCATTGCAGGGGGTTGGACTGGAAGATCCCTTGGGTCCCTTCCAACTCTACAAGACTATGATCTGCTCTGTGCCAGCTGGTCATTAAACAAAGAACTGAATTTGTCCCCGAGTGTGATCCTCCTGCTTCCCTCCTTGTTCATTTTCCCTTGTGTTTTTTGAAAATTGTAAGCCTGAGTGGGCAGGGTCTGACTTGTTTTAATTGACTGTATGTAAGCCAATCCGGGAGCCTTTCTGGCTGAAGAGTGGGGGTCAAGTGCTCCAAATCAATAAAACAAGAATCTGCTTGATTTGAACACTCTCCCCCAATAGAATATTTGAGCCTGAACAGAATCTGTGGCGACTGAAGGGGTGGGGGGCAAAGAGGGACAAAGGATCGAGTTCTGGCCTTGGCTTTGGCAAGCCCTTGGTTTTCCGATCCCCCGTTGTACATCAGAGACAAGGACATTCCTGGCACACCTGCCAACTGATGCGACAATCCCATTTGCAGGGACGTGTTTTACACGCAGAGGACTTGTGGCTGAACCCAGGTACTTAATCACTTGTAAAAAGGCACACGCCAGGTGGCTGGCAGGCTCCTTGGTGGTTTAGTCAGAGGCAGCCGGGGGACGTTTCTGGATCACAGTGGTTATTATGCACCAGCCTGGCAGGACGATTCCCCCAGGAAGAGTGGTGGCGCTAATGAATCGCTCCCTTCCAACCAAGTCCTCTGTGTTTATCTGCTGCCAAGTGGTGTAGTATTATCTTCCAGCTGGAAGGGAAGATCTTTGGCCCTGCATTGCTGGGTAAGTCCCTTGCTCCCCCCACCCCACCCCCCAAACATACATATTTCACTCAGGAGCTTCCTGGTTGGCCACCACAGCAAAGCCAGAGCTGGAAGAGATGGGCTTTTATTTTATTTATTGCATTTATATCCCACCTCTTCCTCCATGGAGCTCAAGGTGGTGCCACGTGGTTCTCCCCCTGCTCATTTAATCCCCACAACAACCCTGTGAGGTAGGCTGAGGGGTGGTAACTGGCCCAAGGCCACCCAGCAAGGTTCATGGCCGAGCAGCAGATTTGAACCCTGGTCTCTCCTGGGTCCTAGCCCAACACTCTAACCACTACACCGCGCTGGCTCTCGGCAATATCCAACTGCAGGGCTTTCCCAAGCTTCCTTCCCAAACTTGCCCACCTTTCACCTCGATTGCTCTTCCTCCTCTGCCCCTTTCAGCCTGAGAGGCTTCTCATCCTGGTGGTGAGGAACATTGTGACTCTCAGAGGATTTCCCCATTATGGAAACCATGCAAACCTGCAGGAATCACTCACTTTGGGGAACTTGACCACACTGTTTTAGAATGCTAACACTTAACAGTTAATTCAGCCAGCACTACAGAATCTCCAGCTGATCTCTGTGCTGTTATCTTAGCTGCCTTCCCCAACCCAGCTGATGCCCCCCTCCGGTGTTTTGGACTGCAACTGCCATCCACCCCAGCCAGCATGGCTCATGCTGATGGGATCTGTACTCCAAAAACAACTGTGGGGTGGCACCTGGCTCAGGAAGGCTGAACTTGGATTCAAGCCACACATTAATGGAAAGCGTGTGTCACTTTCTAGTTTTGTCATGGAAGCCTGTGATACAGAGCAGAGCCCTGGTGGTGCTGCTTAACCCCTTTCCCCAAAGAGCAATTCCCCACTTGATGTAAGAACGTGAGAAGAACCCGCTGGGACATCCCAGTGGCTCATCCAGCCCAGCTTCCTGTTCAGGCACCTCCACAGATGACAGTCTCAGAACTTCCTGTTGCTGGTCTTAATGCTTTTAGCAACACTTCCCTTTTTAGCATCCCTTGCTGTCTGCTTGCACTTCTTTTGCCAAAGTTCTCTTCCATTTGGACAAGACTTCTGCTTTTTGAAAGTAGCCTCCTTGCCTCTAATAGATCCTTTGACTCTGCCCATTAACCGCACTGGCATCCTCTTGCGCTTGTGGTACCTCTCCTGATCTGCATTACACACTCCTTTCTACCAATCTCCTCGTTCTGAGGATTTCTTTGAAATCGAAAATGACAGTGCTGGATTGTCTTGGTAATTGGCCATTTACATGGATATTTAATTTAATAGTGCTATGGTCACTGTGCTCACAATTGGCTCAACAAACAACACTGCTATAGGCACCTGCAAGGTTGGGGGGGGATGTGAGAATAGCTTGGAGGGGCAGGAAAAGGTCCACCGGCCCCCTCCTGGAACTTGCAGCTTCTTGGGACTGCTTTCCATCAACAAAGGTTGGAGTAAGTTCCATGCAACTGTGTCTAATATGAACCTTGGCCTGCATTAACTCTTCCCAGGATCATAAGGTAAGCCCAGTTTCAGAATATTACAGGTGGGTGGGTGGTCACCCAGCAAGTGACATTTGAACCTGGGATTTCCTGGTAACCCAGCCTCATACGGCACAGTTCAGCAGCAGCACTCCTCCCTCTGCCCCCTGCTGAAATGACCCAGTTAAAATGCAGAACGGCCACACAGCTTGAAGAATTCCTGCCAGCTTTGCTCCATGCCTGCCAAGCCTCCCACCCCTCCCCACCCCACAGGAGACCAAACTAAAAAAGTCACCACAGCCCCTTGCATTGCAACTGCCTGGAGGCCGTTCCTCTCCCACCCCCAGAAGACCTGGAGTTGACCCAGAGAGAGCATATTTTAAGATGGAAAATGGCAGGAACTACCCCCCATAAGCAACTGCAGCTAAAATTCCGACACACCCACCCATCCCCTGCAGAAGTAAACTCAAGCCAGCATTCCTCCAACACAATTGGTGGTTAATCAGAGCCAGACCTCAAAGCTCAGCCCTGGAATTCGGAAGAGGATCCTTCCTTTATTTACCACCACTGCCTCCTGCTGAGATTATACCTATTGAAGCCAAACAACCCTGGGGGGCAGGAGTGGGGCTGACCCAAAGTCAGCTAGCAAACCTGGGCCTGTCCTCTCCCTATTTCAAGCTGCCATTGAATCCTTCAAGATTGCCTCTTGGGATTAGGGGTTGGAAGCATGGCTCTGCAGCTGAGCTGGTTGGGTGGGTCCATGAGGTCCCAGGTCCAACTTTGCCTCCCCCCTCCCAAGTTTAGAGATGTGTTTGTTCAGCTTAGATTTCAAACCACGCCTGTGGAACCGCTGACCAGCAAATTCTTAACAGGCCAACCAACTATGTGAGTGTGGATCAGGCCAGACCCCCATTCTGGCAGCTCCAACATCTGGAGGGTGCAACTTTGCCTACCCCTGGGCTAGAGAATGGAATGGGCTGGGTGGCTGGGCTGATGTTGGATCAAGGGAGGGAGCCTGCACTGTATCAGTCTTGAGGTGGAATGTGGGTGGAGACAGCAGACAGGCAAGCATATTAATACTGAAACTGATGATGTGCTAAATTTCATAACCTCACAGTTTGCCTAACAATTTCCTAGCAAGATAGGCCAATATTATTCGTGAGACGGGGTGACAGCTGCTAATTTAGACATCAAAACAGTCTTAAATATTAAAGGGAATCAGACAATTCTAGAGAGGGAGATCGATAAATGACTGTTGGGTTCAGAGACCACAGAATATCCGATGCTGCAGAGGGTCGGCGAGACAGCTGTTGCCATCATATCCTGCTTCCTGGTCTTTCCAGAGGCATCTGAGTTGCTAATAGCTGGGAGCAGAAATCCACACCAGAGGGGCTTTTGCATGGTGTTCTAGGGAGCTCATGGGCAAGGCAAGAGTTGAACTAGGGGGCTCAGTCTCTCAGCCAAAGGTAGCTTTGGAACCCTGCCCCAAGGGACAAGGAATTGGCTACACGGGCCATGAAGTCATCCTTTGGACACCTACATTCTAGGACTCAACATTTAATTTTCCTCTCAGGACTCGCTGCCCTCAAACAGGCCCACCAGCAGTATGTGGGCACAGCAGATCAATGGAAGATCTGGATTCTCATTAACTAGGTGTCAGTGCAGCTGAACCTCTGGTTAGAAGTGGTGGTGATGGGAAATAGTCTTAGGAAACTCCCTGTGCTCAGGAGTTTGGGCTAGATGAGCTTTGGGTTCCCTTCCAGCTCTAAAATTCTATGATTCTCTACAGCCTGAGGCAGTTCTGCTTCGCAGAAGCACTGAGCAGCAAGCAGGAGGAGCCCAGTTTGGTTTGGCAATGTGAAGCAGCCCTCGATGTGCCCCCTGGATGCCACAGCAGCGGGGAGCCTGGGATGAGAGACCTTCGCCTGGAAACTGCACAGCGGACCAGCCTCAAAGACAAACACATCAGTTCAAGGAACTCGGAACACTGCAATCCAAGAAGATTAGCATCTCCGCATTGCTCAGCATGGGGTGGGGAGCCCGCTTGCCAGAAATTTAATTCTGGCTCGAGGGAATACAGCGGCTTAGAGCAGAGGCAGAACAGAACCCTGGAAAACATTGACATACAGTGAAGCCCCCTTCCTCCGAGTCAGGCTCCATTGCATCCATCCAGCCCCAGCTTTGTCCACTCTGACTGGCAGCAGCTCTCCAAGGCCCCAGAGAGAGAGAGAGTCCTTCCCAGCTGTTCTGTTGCAGGTGTCAGGGATATAACTTGAAGCCTTAGCCATGTCAGTCAGGCCCCCTTCGCTCCTGAACTTCCAGGACTTACTGAAGACTTTATTCCAGCAGGCATTTTAACTGAGGTCTGATTTTATAGTTTTAACCTGGTTTTTAACCTTTTCTGTATTATAATTTTTGCACGCCGCCCAGAGATGTTTGTACTTAAGTAGTATGTAAAGTGTTTAAATAAATAAATAAATAAATAAATAAAGGCTTTAGGGAAACGCAACACAATGCTAGCCAGGGAGTTGTGTGTTTCAGTTTGCCTGATGCTGGAAGCTGGAGAGAGAAGAGAGGGGCCTGCTCTGTGCTGGATGGACCTAAAGATGTGACTTGGGGTTCCCCTAGAACCCTAATGGGGAAGAAGCAAGATGTGTTGGGGTGTTAATGCTCCCATTGGGGTTCCTATGGAGAATAAATGCTTTCCCAGCTGGCTGATAACATCCTTTCAGCTGCCTTGCTATGCAATTGTTGTGGCCGTTTTAAGATGTTGTTTTACTGTTATTCCTCTTGTTGATGTAAGCTGTGGCTTGGAACATGGTGTGTAAGAGTGGCAAATAAATATATAAATTTTAGGCTACATCAACAATCTACTCTGCCCTGATCATACCCCACCTAGAGCCCTGTGTCCACTTCTGAGCACCACAGTCGCAGAGGGATATTGATAAGCTGGAAGATGTGTAGAGAGGCCAACCAAGATGATCAGGGGTCTAGAAAGCAAGCCTGATGAGGAACAGTTGAGGGAGCTAGGTATGTTTAGCCTGGACAAGAAGAGACTGAGAGGTGATATGATAGCCATCTTCAAATATTTAAAGGGCTGCCACATGGAAGATGGAGCAGGCCTGTTTTCTGCTGCTCTAGAGGGCAGGACCCAAATCAATGGATCCAAATTACAAGAGAGTCCGACTAAACATTAGGAAGAACTCTCTGATGGTAAGAGCTGTTTGACAGTGGCATGGACTCCTTTGGAAGGTGGTGGTCTCTCCTTCATTGGAGGATTTTAAACAGAGGTTGGATGGCCATCTGTCAGGGATACTTTAGCTGTGATGCCTGCATGGCTGGGGGTTGGGCTAGATGACCCTTGTGGTTCCTTCCAGCGCTGTGATTCTATGATTCTATGAAATACACAAGAAATAAATCAAAGTCTTGGCCTGGCCAACAGCCTTACAAGAATGGAAAGTTACATGAAGTGGAGCTGAGCTGACTTTAAATTCCATGAAGGCAATAACAAGCTCCAGAAATAAAGAAGTGAAGCACATTGGGGGGGGGATGTCCCCCCCCCCATTTAATAGCACCAAGAAATTTAAGTGGGGTGTATCTGTGTGTTTCATTTAATGTTAAGAACAAATTATATAAACACTACTCCGATAGCAAAACCAAGCCGAGTCGACTAAATGCTTTGAAACACCGGGGGGCCGGGGGAGAGTTGAGTGCCGTTGGAAATCAACAAGGCATAACATATTAATCGAGGAACAACTCTCTCACTCAGCTGTTTCTGAGCGGCTGAGTGAAGACAGCTAAAAATAGGCAATAAAAGGGAAGCAGGACTGACAATAGTCGGTAGGAAAAGTAAGCCAGGAAGACTTTTTTGGGGAGGAGGAAGAGGTGACGTTCAAACATCGATAGAAGCTGGAGGCCGTATGGCTCCAAATTCTGCATCAATACTACCTTAATGCTTATAATTAAAAAACATTTCAAGAGACAGTAATGGGACAAACACTATAGAAAAGATTAGGTGTTTTCTTATCATGGGTTTTAAGGGGACTCTTTGGAGACACTACGGGTGGACAGAGCAAAATATACAGGGTTTCCAGCCCTGTATGTTCAGCATGGAGGCATGTGTATGAGTGGGATAAATGATGGTGGTCCAGCGGAGAAGTGGGTAGGGTGTTTAACCCTTTCTCAGCCGATTCTCACCCACAAATGCTCCACCAGACCACTTTTTTAAGAATGCCCACCTCCCTGTCTAAGCCAGGCTCTGACTGGAAAGAGATGTAAACTCAGTGGAGGGAAAAACAATCAAGAGGTGGAGATGTGGCAACTGTTGGGAAGAATTGATGGGCCCAGGAGAGATTATGCATGCTTCCTTCCCTAGAAATGCCCCTTCTGCCCTCATATTTGTGTTAGGTTGGCAAAAGTAGGTCTGGGAAGCTACACTTGCTTAGGTAGCAACATGCAGTTATGGTAAAGGACTGGAGAAATAATTTTAGAGACGTGAAAATCGTTTGAGGGGGGAATCTCTCTCTCTCTCTCTCTCTCTCTCTCTCTCTCACACACACACACACACACACACACAAACACCTTTATTGTTCAACTGCTTTCTCTAGCCAAATAGGTTTGGCAGGTTGCTGTAAAAACAAAACAAAAAACCCCCACAAAAACCTGTCAAGCCCATTTGGTCAAGGGCAAAACCAAGATAACACCCCTCCCCCCCATACACACACCATGAGCAGTCGATCTCTCTTTCAAACCACTTTCAGCTCTCTGAAAAAACAAAACAAAATGTGTCTTCAGCCTAATTTAAGCAGCTTCTTCTCTCTCTTTTTTCCATGCTGAATTAAGAGAACAAGATTTTGCTGGACGGAACACAAAAAAGCCCCAGGGACATTGCATAAAGAGCTCAACTGCGTAAGACACATCATCTCTGACAAACGAGAAACTTGAGTCCATGTGACCTCTCCACCCTGGAAGCAGAGAGGGAAAACACAACCCTGGAGGGCGTTCACAATGCTGCGTGTTTTGTTTAAACAATACATTGAAATGCAGCTGGAAACGGCTAAGCAGGAGGGTTCTGTGTTTGCTTTCAAATGCTTCTCACCAACAGCGGGAGTGCAGAGTCTCCCAGGATGCTTAACATCTCTGAAGTCATCTAGGAACATGTGCCAAAATGGGGGGCGGGGAGAGAGAAGAGAAGGACTCGTAGCCAAGTTCTGCAGGACCAAAAGATGGGAGGGGGGACTCGTAAGGCTTACCACCAGCTGTGGGACAGGGAGCGGCCTTCCCTCCTTGCTTAGGGACACATAGGTGAAGAATGCACTGACAGCCCGATACCGCTCCTGAGACTCGTCCACAAAGGGGTCAGCATCCACAAAGACCTCGATCTCCATGGACTTATTGCTCGTGAAGGTCATGCGCCCAGAAATTGTGATCACGCTGCCTGCAAGACACAGAGGAGTTCATCAAGCTTGGCCCACAGTAGTTCATGCCTGGGTTACCTTCAAGACTGGGTTACTGCAGTGGACTCTATGTGGGGCTTCCCTTGCATCAGATCCAGAAGCTGCAGTTTGTGCAGAATGCTGAGGCACAATTGCTGATGGAAGTAAAGACTTGTCCGCACCTCTGCTCAGAGATCTGCGCTGTTTGCAGATTTGGTCCCGGGCCAATTTCAAGGTGTTACAATTGGGATACTAAGCCCTGAATAACGTAGGACCAGTCTACACCTGCAAGACTGTCTTAACCTATATATGCTCACTCAACCGCTTTGATATGCAGAATTGGCATTGTTAGGAGCATCACCTGTTCCTCTTTTGTAAGAAATCAATCTTTTGGCATGGCAGCACCTGCGCTTTGGAACTCCTAGCCTATTGACACCAGGCAGGCAGTTTCACTGTACTCTTTTGGGTGCCTGCTAAAAGCTTTTTGATTTAGACAAGCCTACCCAGATATTTAGAATGCAGATGTCTTTTTAGTTTGTTGCTGGTTTTTATTTTTTTTTAAAAAAAAACGTTATTGCCTTTACTAATAATCTAGTTGTTTTATTTTTTGTGTAAACCTTTTTATTCGCTACAATCATGCAGTATATAAATTTTATGAAATCGACCAGGTTCTCCAACAGAAGGCAGAAAGGGCAGGTGAGGGGCCAGAATGCCAAGCAGCCCTTTTGATGCAGGGAATCACACAAGATGAGCTCAGGGAGTCTCTCTTATGGCACCTCATGTGGGTTCATGGAGATCAATCAGCTCCCTTTTACATAGCAGGGTCCCAAGGAGGAATTCCATGCTTCTTGAGTGTTTAGGTCCTATAAGAACATCGGAAGAGTCTGCTGGATCAGGCCAAAGGGGGTCCATCTAGTCCAGCATCCTGTTTTCACGGTGGCCGACCAGATGCCTGATTAGGAAACTCACAAGCAGCATCTGAATGAGAGAGTCCTCTTCCCTTCTTTGGCTTCCAGCAACCAGCATTCAGGTGCATTGCTGCCTCTGACTGTGGAGGAAGAGAATAGCCATTGTGGCTGGCAGAACATCGAGAGCCTTCTCCTCCACACCAGGCTTTGTCTGTTCAAAGCAAGTCTTTTACCAAGGGTAAAATCAGTAACAGTGGAATTCATGTCAGTGCCATGCACAGCAGCACTTTAGGTACGTGCAAGAGGTCCAGCAATGAAAAGCCAGCTGGGGGAGCAGGGAAGGGTGCCGGGTGCCAAGTGGAGTTTGGCAGCTCAAAGCTGTTAAGAGTACTGTCTGCAGCTATCTAGGGTGGAAAAAAAGCTGTACTTTTAACTGCCCCCCCCACGCCAAAAAAGTTCTGCAAGTTGTTTGGATCCTAAAGACAAGATGAACTTTTACCAATTAAAGCAGGTTTGTTTTTCAATTTCCAGTTTGATGTCATCATTTGTACTAGATAAAAACCAGTAGAACAGAGCTTGACTTAGAAGCTACAGGGACTATAAACACTATAAAATAAAATGAAACAAGCTGTAAGAGGGCAACTCCAGCTTGGGTAGCTTTTTGTTTATTTATAACTTTTTTTTTTCCAAAGACAAAGATCTTGTCCAGTGCTGGGGCAAGGAAGGCGCTGGCAGCAAGTCAGCAAATTCCTGAGAAGCAGCTCTGGGCATCTTTTCATGGGCATCGCTGGGAGCCGCACAACCAGGCAAGATTGCAAAACTGACTCTTGTCAGAGATGCCAAAGGTGTTTCATGCCATTGTGCTGTCAAATCCATGGGCCGGTCCCGAGCAATTAACATGAGGGTGATGGAGCAAGACGTCAGAAGTAGCATTATAATCTGCAAGCTGCATGCTGGCCCTGAAAAGTTAGCTAAAGTTCAGCGGATACAAAGCTCATTTTGAGAGGTGATACAATAGGTAAAGGTAAAGGGACCCCTGACCACGCTTCAAATATCTGCAGGGCTTTCACATGGAAGCACATTTAAAGGTTTTTAAGCAGAGTTTGGATAGCTGTGTGCTAGGGGTTCTTTAGCTGTGATTCCTGCATTGCAGAGATAGGGGATAGATGACCCTAGGGTCCCAATTCTACACTTCTATGATATGGGGGAATCTGTGTTCAATTCACAGCTCAGCTGTGGCAGCAGCCCAGCGCTGATCATGGGTTAGTGTCCTACCCTGCTTAACACATCACAAACATGCTGACAAGACCTACCTGTCATTTTCTAAGCAGAGAGGCCACAGAACTATCTTGACTGTGGTTTGCTTGTTGCAGATGCACCAGTAAACCATGGTCCTTACACACACAGACACACACACACACACACACACACACACACACACAATGGGAAACATTCGTTGCTTTTGTATCCCCACAGTACTGGGGATACAGTACACGGGAACAGCGGGGGGGATGATTCAGCCTGCAGTCTCCCCCTGGGAACCCAGGCCTCTACAAGCTGACCTGATGGCTACAACATTCAGCCTATTTTATACCCCCCACCCCCCTCTCTCTGCCGCTGATTTGCCTGATCAAGAATTCTGGAGAACTTTGGGGGGGGGGGGGGATAGAGAGAGAGAGAGAGAGAGAGAGAGAGAGAGAGAGAGAGCCTGCCTTTCCCCCCAGACCAGGTTTCAAGGTGGCTCACATGGACTGAAACAACACAGGTAAAATGCAAAAAGCTAAAAAGACACATAAAAGATAATTATTAAAAAGTAATTAAATTCTAACAGTTGTTGTTGTTGTTGTTACAAAAACCCTATCTACTGAAAGTGTGCCATAATTTTCACCCATTTGGCTTGGTCCCATTTGGCTGTAGATTTTTGGAGCATCTTAGGGACCAACACACAACCCTCCTGATTTTATATTTACTGTATCTGCCATGACAAATCTCTTGTTCTGTAATATTTGCTTCTATTATTTTGTTCAGATGCACATACTAAGTGTGTCATAAGTCATCTTGATCTTTAAAAACAAAACATCAACAAGCAAAACGGAAATGTGGGATAAACACATTTTCACTAATTAAATGAAGCCAAAAATGCATTAACGGTGAACTTTTAGTTTGCAGCACCATCATTTATTCCATGGCGGCAGCCGGGGTGGGGGTGAGGGGCAAATTAACAGAAAGGTACCATTTTCCAGCAAAAGCTATACATTCTGTGCTCTAATTTGTTCATCTAAGTGCCCTACAGATTATCCAAAGCTGGCTTAGACTTTGCAAATAGATGTCAAGCAATTGCTCAAGTGAGGTTTTCAAACACAGGGATGACTCATGGCCCACTAGGACAGACCCATCTAGCCTGCCTTCCTGCTTCCCACAGTAATCTATCAGATACCTCTGCAAAGCTCGCAAGGGGGGCTTGAAAACAACATCCTGCTCTCACTGCTGTTGCTTGGCAACCAGAACCCAGAGGTACACTGCCTCTAAACATGGAGGCTCCATACTCTGAAGACACATAAGGCCTTGATGAAGGCTAAGGAGGTCTGGGCTTTACTTATTTGTTAAATGTATTTCCCACCCTTCCTCTCAAAGGAGCCCAGGGCAATGAACAAGTGATAAAAAACGATATCCAGATACAGATGCAGAGTGAGAAAGATCTCAGCTTAAAAGGCTTGCTGAATGAGGAAGGTTTTTGGTAGGTGCAGAAACAGTGCCTGTCTAATATTTAAGTGGGGGGGAGTTCCAAAGGGTACATACAACACCACTAAATGCTAGAATCCCGCACTATGCAGAACAGAGCTTCTGATAAGATGGCATCTGCAGGAGGCCCTCATATGCAGAGCACAGTGATCGATTCAGTATATAAGAGGCGAGACAATCTTTCAGGTATCCTGGGTCCCAAGCTGTATAGGACTTTATACACCAGAATCAGCACCCTGAACTTTGTGTGGGTGACTTCATGAGCTGCTTATGCTACGGACAGTCGTGACACCTTCTACCAGGGAATTCTGCAAATTAAATTATGATTTGTGTGAAGTTCTGCTTCTGCTGCCAGACAATTTCCCTGGATGACCCTGGGTTCTGGCATCACGGGAGAAGGAGTGGGGAGAGCTTATAAAAGTATGCACGGTATAGAGAAAGGGGACAGAAAGAATTTTTTCTCCTTATCTCACAACACGAATGGACAACCACTAGCGAAGCTGAATATTGGAAGATTCAGGACAGATAAAAGAAACGACTTCGCCATACAAATCATAAAATAAAAAAATTGTCCAGTAGCACCTTAGAGCCCAACTAAGTTTGTTCTTGGTATAAGCTTTTGTGTGCATACACACTTCTTCAGATGCACACGAAAGCTTATACCAAGAACAAACTTAGTTGGTTAAACCACAGAGCCTAGGACTTGACGATCAGAAGGTCAGTGGTTCGAATCCCCGCGATGGGGTGAGCTCCCGTTGCTCGGTCCCTGCTCCTGCCCACCTAGCAGTTCGAAAGCACACCAAAAAGTGCAAGTAGATAAATAGGTACCGCTCCGGCGGGAAGGTAAATGGTGTTTCCGTGCGCTGCTCTGGTTCGCCAGAAGTGGCTTAGTCATGCTGGCCACATGACCCAGAAGCTGTACGCCGGCTCCCTCAGCCAATAAAGCGAGATGAGTGCCGCAACCCCAGAGTCGGCCACGACTGGACCTAATGGTCAGGGGTCCCTTTACCTTTAAGGTGCTACTGGACAATTTTTAAAATATATATATATATATTTCGACTGCGTCAGACCAACATGGCTACCTACAAATCGTTGTTAAACTATGGAACTCACCCCCACAGGAGGCAGCGATGGCCACCAATTTGGATGATTTGAAAAGAGGACTGGATACATTTGTGGAGGATAAGGCTATCGATGGTCATGAACCATGATGGCTATTGCTCTCCCTCCATGGTTGGAAACAGCAATGCTTCTGAATACATTGCTGGAAAGCGCAGGAGGGGAGAGGGCTCTTGTGCTCAAATCCTGCCTGTGGCAGGCATCTGGTTAGCCACTGAGAGAACAGGATGCTAGACTACATGAGCCCCCTTTGGCCTGAACCCACAGGCTCTTCCTGTTTTCACACCATTCCTGATTTTAAGACTCATTGCAACAGCGCTGACGTGTTACCCCAGGAATCAACCTAACATGCTCCTCCAGAGACACCCACATTATATAACCCGCCGAGAGACTGTAGCTGACAGGAGGATCCATTCGGGGACAGGAACTTCTTTCAAGCAGTTGCTCTTTACCACCCCAGGAAGAGACAACAAGAGGGTGTTTTGTAAAATGAACAGCGTTGGAGGAAAAAGGCATGCAGTGGCAAAACCTTTCAGAATAGGTTCACGACGTGTTGTATTCAGTGCTGGACCTGCTCAGCCCATTAATTTCAAGTGGTTTACTCAGAGTACACCTAAGCTAAATGCAGCCCAAGGCCCGTGTGCGCCAAACGGCTGGGTACACATTTCAGCCTTGAGCGCATCACACCAATCCTGGCTGGAGGCATTTGATTAAATCATATTATTAAGTCAAATTTGTAGGCTGGTGCCCACTTCCTTCCACCACAAAAGTCAAGAAACACAAAGACCCTGCCTACATCTTGGAATACTCTGGCCTGCTCATTTCAGCACCTGTTCTTCCGCCACGCCTCACCACCCTCTGTGCATTTGCCTGACGGGCTGCAAATGTCAGGCGTGTTTTTGAATTACTGAAACTTGGGTTGTAGATTTGTGCTCCCATGCACTCCCTCCCTTTTTTAGGTTAACAGCCTGAATCTGCTGTTTTATTCATGCACGGAACAGCCTACTTTGCAACTTTAAGCATTAGAGTGGGGGGGGGGGAGAGGAGAGAGGGAAAGAGCCAATCCAGAACACATGACTATCGTTAAAACACACACAGGGGGTGGGGATGGATGAGGAACAGTAAAGTCAGATGGTTTTTCCACATCTCTGCGATTGAATAAGAGCACCTAATCAGTTTTGACATTTAAAAGAGAAACAGCAGGTTCCATCTGTTAAGAGATGCTATTATCTGTAATTTCAAGCCTCCTTTGTGATGTGAAGGAAAGGAAACGGATCCCTTAGCATGGAAAGCAAACAAGACTGATCCCCAGAACAGTGTGTGTGTGTGTGTGTGTGTGTGTGTGTGTGTGTGTGTCCCATCCCCCTCCCCAGACACACATCTGGTTGGAAAAGGAAAAATACAGCTAGTGCCAGACACCTCTCCCCCTCAGATACAGAATTCCAGCTGTTGAGAGGGATGGCCCAAGTCAGCCTGGAGCCCTCTAGATGTTTGGAACTACAACTCCCATTAGCCTCGGTCAGCAGGGTCATGCTCCTGTCACCCCCAGCATCATACAGCTATGCTGGCTAAGGCTGATAGGAGTGGTATCTCAAAACATCTGGTGAGCCCCAGGCTGTCCCACAGCAACTTGTGGGCCTGGGACCCACAGTTGGGTTGCAGCCTGGTCTAAGATCGGTCGCAGCACCAGTACCAGACAGATGCATGTCTGGGTTCAAGGAAGGAGCCAGGTCTGAAATCACTGAAGTCCGCTAGGCAACACTGAGGCCACCATCCCTTAGTTTCACTGATGACCTGCAGGAACTGCCATTCAGCAGCACCCTGTCTCTAAAACATAGAGGTACCATTCAGTATCAGGGAGCAAATAATAACAGATAATACATCCTCCTCCATTAATTTGTCTAATCCTTCTTTAAAGATGCCCATGAGCACACCCCATGGCAGTGAAGTACAAATTTCTGCACTGTGTGAATGGACAGTTCGTTTGTTTTTGTCTGTCCTGAATCTACAGTCCAAATCTCAATTAAAAGAGGGTTGGACAAATTCATGGAGGATATCAATGGCTACTAAACATGATGGCTATGTTCTGCTTCTACAGCGAAAGCCACATGGCGGGAGCGTGCTCTTGTAGTCAGATCCCACTTGCAGGTTTCCTTTGGGTGCAACTAGTTGGCCATTGTGAGAACAGGATGCTAGGCTACACTGGCTGCTGGCTTGATCCAGCACGCCCTTCTTATGTTCTTATTTCACAATATGATCCTGAATTCTTATTACGAGAGAACTTCTCTGCACACATTGCATAATTTTATGCACCTCCATCATGTCAACCGTCTCCCACAAACTAAAAGAATCAAATGCTTAACTGCTTCCTCATAGAGGAGGAGCTACAATCCCTTGGCAATTCTCGTTGCCCTTATCTGAACCTTTCTCAGCTCTGCAACAAGATGGCACACTCAGATAGCATTCTCTGCAAACACATTAGATGTTACTTGGTTAACGCCAAGCTTGACAGCACCCCTTAGCTGTAAGACGCTTATAACATTTGGGAACTGCTGGCATTTCTCCACAAGGGCAGCTCATCTCCAGTGCATGTCTAATACTTCTTCATAAGATCTATTTGGGCAAAATTTTAACAGGTTCATGATTTCCGTTTTTTCTATAGCAAATACCCCGGAGACAGGTAAAGGCAGGAGCAAAGACACCCGGGAGGTGAGGAAGCCGTCTTGCAATGTTATTGTCTTCTTCTGCTCCAAAAGGAATTACACACAGCTGGAGGCTCAGTCACAGAATGTGTCATGCCAGGGTTTGTTGCACCGGGTGTATGTGTTTCTCATGGAGTTTTCTGTGAACAAAGGTATCCAATACCCTGGTGGTCACAGCCAGATGAAATAATGTGGCTCTTAACCTTCCTCCAATAGGCTACATTCCAGTCACACGGAAGTCTCTATACACATGAACACACCCCTCTCCATCCACAGAAGCAGGAACCATTCAAGGACATGCTCTATTCAGGCAAAAGCATGTCAGGAGGGTGCAGAGCAGGACCAACGAGGGGTGTGGCCTGCGGAGAGTTCCGTGGGGCTGATAAGAGAGTTCTGGGGGCCTGAGATCACACATCTCTGCATTAACACATTCGAAACAGCCAGCAGAGATAAACAACAATTAAAAGTCATGGAGGGGGGGGTGAGGTCTTCGTACCTAAAAAAATTAATCCCCCCATCAACCCTTTCTGCAGAAGAGAGTTCTGCAGGAAGGGCTCCCCACGGGGGACAAAGCAGCCTCTTCAGTCACCACCCACCTCACCTGGCAGGGGTGCTTAAAGAAGGAAGGCCTCTGGTGCTGTTTGTGGGGCCTAAAAGCAGGTGGGTGGGCAGGTGGATAGAAACTGAAGACACAAGCTGTGTAGGGAAGTGGCGGCTAACCCACGGCCTCCCCAAATGGTTTGTACCACCCCCTCACAAGACCCCCAACAATTTTGCAGTGGTGGTAGCAGATTTATTTGTTAACACATAAATGTACCAAGCTGCTCTACAACCACTCAGTGTTTTCAGTGTGTTATGGATGGCTTTGTGCTAGCAGCTGAGGCAGGATCAGCACTGTTGGTCACCTCCTGCTTCCGCATTCTAGAACGCTCAGCAGTTTTTCCCTGAGTGCAAAAATTAGAACAAATAACTTGCTATTTTGAAGGTTACTGTGGCCAATTAGACCCCAATTAATGTAAGTGGGGGAATGCAACACTGCCGGATAAGGTGTCAGTGAGGGGGGAAGAGAGGATCTAAATGTTTTCAAAGTAGTGAAACTCTCATCTAAACAAAACAGTTCCTTGAAGCAGCAGCTAAGGTTTACTTGAGGATTTAGCCCCCATGTATTGCTTTTTTCAATTCATATCTCCAGCAACCATACGAAGAAGGGGACAAATGAATCAGCAATGTATCAACATTGAAATTAACATTGACTTCCAAACCATGCATAACTTGCCAACTTTACTGTAAACAGCAAACCTTAATACCTTGTCACACAAACATCCCCCCCCCCAAACCCCCCAAATACTTTTCCTGGTTTTTGTTTTGCTTTTGAACAGGGGCCTATCTGATTCCAGCATAGTAGCATAAACATAAACAAACAAACAAAATCTCTAGAGGATTAAGCACTACCTTTGGTGATCCAGCATAGAAAGAAAGCAGCTAAAAATGTCAAAAAAGGAACATATCCTGCATGCCTCCATTCTCAACTGCACTGTGTGGTAGGTAAATAACACAGATGTAAAACATGAAGATGGGAGGGAAATCGCACTGCCTCCCTGCCCAGATGGTTGCTTCCATGTCCAAATGCCCAGTTTGGATAATAAATTTCAGGTTGTTTTTTTTAAAAAAACAACACATTGACAGAGAAAGAGGCAAGTCCCAGGGTTCATGTAATTTTAAAGTCAGCTGTGAAAGGCGTCCACCCCAGTGACTTGCAGCTGGTGAGCTGTCACTTCTGGTATGAATTTGCCTTGGGAAAGGGACAGACAAGCGGCAATTATTCCTTACTGTGCGCCCCGGCTTGTGTGGGTGGGAGCAAAAGGCAGCTTGCTTTTTCCAAGTTCACCCCTGAGAAGGAAGAGCATGCAGCCTGGCTAGGCAAGAAGCTCATCTCCATTTAGGAAGGGTTTGGCTTCCTAGCACTAGTTTAATACCTGCAATGCTGAAAAACCCTACTGACAACAAGGCACCCCACGAACCGGCAAGTCAGGCTGGGTTGTTTTAATCACTTCCTATTTCAGAAAGCAGGAATGGACAGATCACTATGCCAATTGTCAATTTCTCATTGTTTAATCCTCATTTTGTCCTGCCCTGTTTCCACATTAATCTGCAATTTTCTAAAAAAACAGAAATCCACACACACAAAAATTAAATATGTATTTAGATAGGTATTGTGATGAAGTATTTTATTTCAAGCTTTGAAAGGTATTTTATCCCAACACACACCTTTTTCAAATGCATTTTGGCATGTTTTTTTGAGGAGAGAACCGGCTAGCAAACTCTAAAGGATCATTACAATCCGATCTGTGTATTAGGTTTGGGAGGTGTGAATTAAGATATGCCAGCTTTAAAATTTGGAGCAAAGTAAATTCTCTCCCAGCTTTAATGGAGAGAAGGTTATGTGCATATGTGTGTATTGTTGTTGTTTTTTAAAAAAGGTTTATTGCGGTAGGTCAGGGGTGTTCATTACAGATCTCAGATTAGCCTCAATGTTGCCAGGAAAAAGCTGGCGGCTCAAAGAGAACAACGCCGAATTGGAACTCTATGAACTCCTGCTGAAATTCGTGGGATTTTTCCACTGCAGTCAGAGACCCAACACTGAGTTGGAAAAGTCAGCCTTTCAGGAGGCTGTTTCTCTCCACGCAGGGGTAAACACCTCTGACCCACATTCTATCCCATAAAGATTTTGAGAGCTAATTTAATTCAGTCAAGCTTTCAGAAACAGAACATGCTCAAAAGTCAACGTGGCAACTGACAGTCAGAAGGGAAGGGCTTGCTTCTCAACTCAAAGGTAAATGTCACTAAGTCAAGAGGGGGAGCTCCTTCCCACACCCTACTAATGTTTTCATGTGTTTTCCTCAAAGAGTCTCAGCACTACCCACATGGTTTGCTGGGGCACACTGTGGATCAAAAGAAACAGCTGAGGGCTCCTGTGACCCAGCTGGATGTGCCCACAAGGGAGGCTGCCTGCTGCACCCCTGCATGGTTCAGTGATAGCAAGCCACTGTCTGTAGCACCTAGTATTTAGGCAGAAGGAAAAAGCTATCATGCTCTCATCCTGCCTGCGGCTCACCGCTCTTAGGAACCAAAGCTGGACTGGATGGCTCTCTGCCTGATTCAGCAGAGAGATGGGGGGAAATATATACTGACTTCTAAGTTCTCTCTATACACATAACAGAGCATTCAGTATTGGTTCAGTATGGTGGGAAACGCAGCCCTGCTTAGAAGGCCACTGACACTCCATGCCCTTGCTGGAAAACCGAGCATTTCTCCCTCCCTGCTAGGAGACATGGTGTGGCAGCTCTCAAAGATCCATGCTGGGATCACCTTCCTTTCATTGCAATGCAATGTACACTCTGTATTTTCAAATATATATTCCATATTATTTTAATTCTATTGCAGTTTAATTGTTGTTTCAATGATTATCTCTCATATGCTTTTAGCTTTTTGTACTATATCTAAATACACGTAAGCTGCCTTGAATCCTGGTCCGGGAGAAAGGCGGGATACAAATAAATATAATTCATAAAATAATAATAAAAATCATGTAGGATTCTGCAGAGCAGAATCTAGATCTCCCTTCTACCCAGTTTCCCTTTGTCTTTGCACGGCAAGCGTATTTGGGAAAAAAAACCCAGCGGAAGAAGCAGTGCTCTGCCAGGGATGTTCTGAGCCGGGCACAGGCAAAAAGTGCAGGCTGGGCAGCAAGTTGTCAGGACCACAGAGAGCTCCCTGTGGGCTGACAGCACCTTCAGGCCAGATGCAACTGGCTGACCAGCAGGGAGCTTGGAGTATGGCTTGCCTGGAGCCAACTCAAGGCTGATATGGGCTTTGCAGAGAAAGGGGTGTTGGAAGTCCTGCCCCCTAGGAGAAAGCATGCAGTTCCTCAGGAGTGGGATGCCTCCTGAAGCCCCAAGCTGGTCACAGTGGTCTACAGGGATACAAGGGAATCTGGGGAGGTGAAACTGTTTTCTAAGGAGCAGAGGAGACCTCACTGCCTGCAAGGACTCTTCACTTGGGAAGGATGAATTGTCCATAGTAGAACATCAGCTTTGCATTCAAAAAACCCGGTATGCCATCCCCAGCACCTCATGATAGGGCTCCATGCCTAAACCCCTGGAGATACATTGCTGGTTAGTGCATACAACACTGAACTGGATCCACTAATGGTCTGACTCAGCATAAGGCACCTCCTTATGTTCCTCCTTCCATGCAGCGATCTCTAGCAGGGCAGCCAATTTGCATTCTCTTACAGCAGTTCAGGCTTCTGGTCCTCTCCTTCCTCAAGTCTTTGGACCCTCCGTCTGACTTGGGAGTAAGGCCAGCGTCTTGGGCCATGAAAGTGTAAATGCAACAGAAAAAATGAAATGCTTATGCCCACCCCCACCAATTTACCTTTTTTAATCTTTTCATGGAAATTGATGGCATCCACGGATGCAGTGACTATGTTGGTCTTGCAATGGCGAGCAGCAACGATCCCAGCTACCTCATCCATCAGCTTCATAGTAACACCTGCAGGAAAGAGAATGGCCAGTTATTAACTGAGGCAGCCACAAGAGGAGGAAGCCTGCCCCATCTGACTGGGTTGCCCCAGCCACTCTGGGCAATAAGCTACCCAATCGCCCTCTCCCACCCTCAGCCACTGGGCTCCCCACATTCCTCCTCTGGCTCCTAAGTCTTGAGCAGAACCTGCTAAAAGTCTTTCAGATTTTTCCTCTTTAAGGACTGGAAAGCTGCTGTTTGGGAGCATGCAAAAATTACTCTGTCCTATTCTGGCCATTCTTTCACGTTGCAGAAAATAAACTTCTCTACGGAAGTGCAGAAACTGGCACAGTCCACAGAATTCAGCAGGTTGAGTGTCTCATTTTTTATGTTATTTTAAAACATGCATGTTTCTGAATCTTAAGGATGCAAAAAACAACAACCCCAAAACCACACCAGGCTCAGAAGCATATGGCATGCCTCTGAAGCCAGAGTGGGGCTTCCTTCATATCTGGGCTTAAGAGGCATGGGCATGGATATTATTGCCTTAGTTTTCCTGATAATAATGCTAGCCCATCAGTTCCCTTAACATTCCGTTCACACTGCAGGTTACGGAACTCTGGCTATTTTACTGCTATACTGGCATGCTGTGCTACATTTTATTCATACCAGTGGACACAGGTGGCATAAAAACAAATGTCACTAATCTCTCCCTGCTTTCCACACAGGCATGTTTCTGTTCCCCCATGATCCCCACACCCATAAAAATAGCAGGAAGAGTTGTAAGCCGGTGTACTGCCCCAAATTTTGTCACTTTGCTCCCACAATTTTCCAGCTTAAGGGGGTTGCAAACAGATCTCTCCTGGAATCAATTAACATGGAAATGAGCGCTAAACATGCACTGGGTTCCATTAGTTTTCCAGAAGTGGCTTTTATACCATGTGAAGGCTCAAATACAATACATAAATCAACAGCTTGGGGGAAATCGGAGAAAAATGGAATCAACTGCTGCGTGGACGCAGCCCCGGTAGGGCTTCAAAAAGCAGAGGTTATGTCTTCCCAGTAGATTTGAATTCTTATCTTAGGAATTAGCTACACATGACTAGTTAACGTTTTCAGCACTCAGTAACACCACTGAGGAAACACCCCAACTTCCCTCCAGCAGCTGGATCTTTTCCCCAAAAAAAGTATTTGTGTGTTTGTTTAAAACAAAACAGGAAAAGCCACAGAACAAAGAACATAACGACGTTCCAGGAGTCATACCATGACATAAACATTGAAATATTCCATGATGATATGGCAGACTCAGCCCGGCAGACCATTAGTTAGTGTTTTGTCAAAGAGCAGATCTTCCAAACTTTTATCTGTGAACCAGATGGGAGTATACAGATTGGTGCGTTTCACAGCAGATACTACAAATGTGAACCAAATTCTGGTGTATAAATCTTGTTTAATTAGGTCTTTGTGCAGACTTCTTTCATTTGTGAGCTTTTCTGCCAAGAAAGCTCTCCAGGCTCGGTCGAAAAAAGCAGACAGAGAGACAAGTTTGAGGCTTGTTTCCAGTTTTTAGCAATTTCCTGTCAAGGAGCAGCAGCCAGTGAGTGCTATCAAGCCTTTCTGTGCAAGCTTGTTATTTGCATTCTGGAAAGTGGATGAGAGCTAAGGACAGAGATCCACAGCTAGCTAGACTGTAAAGGAACACATTCTCTTAATATCAACTCTTAAGAGTTCCAAAATCCTGACTGACCAGAGAGGCCTTAGGGAGTAGGGCACAGCCAGAATCTAGAATACCCATCCTGAAGAGATCTGCCTCGCCCCTTCCTGGAGGGTCTTCCATGTAGGATGAAGACCTATTTTAAGGAAGGTCTTTGGTTGCTAGGGATCTTAATGAACTCTGGAGTTTACCTGTGCTCTTTTTATTGCTTATTTGAAGTAATAATGTTTTAAGCATTTTGACTGTATTTTCAAATTCCTTTTTCTTTGTTGGGCCCAACAGCCATTTTTGGAACGGCAGGACACAAACATTTTAAATAAGTGCACAATACATACTGCAGCTTAACAAGGCCCTAAGATCTTCAGAGAAAATGTAGCTGATTTTGGAAGGACAATAACATGCACTGAAATTTTAAGGTCTGCGGGGAAACAGAATTCCTTTCCTCCAGACTCTCTTTTGGAACGGTCTCTGATCAAAAGGAAGCCTGCATTCTTCCTCCAGGCTTCAATTTCCACTTCCCCACAAGGTTTAAGGAACATAAAAGAAGAGGCCAAGCCATTCTTCTACAGGGAAAAAACAGGCAAAGCAATTTAAGGCAAAACACAGCAAGTGTTACAGGCAAGTGGAGCATTCATCACAGCAGGTAAGAAAGGAGGGGAGAGGGAGGGGGAAAGAGGAAGGCCTGTGACTTATGCACGAGTCAACATCCATTCTGAGAAGACTTTTAAGCAGCATAGAGGCCTTTGGGAGGGGAGGATGTGAAGTAGCTTCTCTCACTCGTAGCTGAGTAAGATTGTCTTCCATGAAGACAAAGTAAAGCCTGTTCTCCAACTGGAGAGCTCGCAGGCCAGTGTTTCCCAGTTATCAGTGCTTATACTACATGCAGCACAAAATCAAAAATGTAACCACAACACAAAGTTCACAGCAGCACTGAAGATTTACAGGCCTTTAAAATTCCAGGTGTACCTATATTTGAAAGAGAGAGATTAAAAAAGAAGACTGCATGTTCTCTCGGTCCTGGAAGTATAATAAATTAGGTGACAGGCAAGACACTCTGGATAGTGCATTTTGAACAGAGGGGTGCTCCAAGCATCCTGCTCTCTTTATCATTAGCTGGAAACAACAGAGGAAGAGACAACTACCGTATTTTTCCGTCTATAAGACGCCCCCATGTATAAGAAGCCCTCTATTTTGGGGGAACTCCAATTTAAGAAAAAATCGTGTATTTTACTATCCGTGTATAAGACACCCTCAAATTTTTGACATTTTTTTAAGGAAAAGAAACTAGTCTTATACATGGAAAAATACGGTATATCTGGGACTGCATCGAACCATGCTCCTGAGCACCTCCACAGGAGATGATGGCTGGGTAAACCAGCATGGGATAGTGCTAAAAGGGTCAGACTAGGACTGAGTGAGACAGGGCCACTAAAGCCTCATTTCTCCATCCCATTGCAGGCCCCAGACCCCCTGGGAGGTACAGGGAGCTGTAGACAGCAAAGCCCCCTTGTGCTGACAGAGTTTCGCTCTCACTGAGAGCCAATGGTTGCTGCAATGGTTAAATTTGTTGGACTAGGACCTGGGAGACCGGGGTTCAAAACCCCACTTGGCCATGAAGCTCACTGGGTGGCCTTGGGCCAGTCACTCTGCCTCTCTCTGCCTAACCTACCTCACAGGCTTGTTGTAAGGATAAAATGGGGGAAAGGAAGAACCATATGTGCTGTCTTGTGCTCATTGTAATCAATTAAAATAATCTCCTAATCCAATCTATTGCATTTGGTCTGACGCTGGTTTTCTGAAAGACTGCCTGCATGCCACTACATTTGGTGCATGTGGGCAGACATCAGGCTTTTTAGAATGGGGCAAAAGAATCAGATTGACATGGGGAAATGGCTTGCAAGTCTCTCTCTCTCTCTCTCTCACACACACACACACGGTGTTCTTCGCTGCCGAGCATTATGGCCTGTGAAATAAACAGTGTACAGGTTGGGAAGTCAGAGAGAGACGCAACACCATTTCTTTTACTACTTGCTTTCAGCGTATTCCATAGAGATGCAGCCGCCCCCCCCACCCCCCGGCCTGAAGCAAGGCAGTGTGGCTCCAACTGACAGGGAAGCTAACAGTTACTAAAAATACCCTGGCAAGTGCACGCTCACTAGAACCGTGGCTTCCTTCCTTGCACTGCTGTTAAAGCAACAGCAACAGGAGGAAGAGCATGTTGCCTTCCTAAAACAAGGATCGTCACTTCCCCCATCATGCTGCATGCTTCCCTAGAAGGGGGGAAATGTGCAGTGCACTGATGTAGCAGCACGGAACAGAGGGACAAGTAATCCTATATGTTATGGGGGAATCATGCAAAATAGGGAAACCGTTTAAGTGGCATCTGTGTCTCTTGTTTAATGTGGGGATCTGTCCTAAGCACAGCTCATCGTCGGCAGGCCGGGTCTTGCGGACACCCCATGAAGCTGAACATTGGAGGATTCGGGGAAGATAAAAGAAAGTCCTTTTTCAAATAGCGAAACTATGGAATTCACTGCCACATGGGCTACTAAGTCAGGATGGCTATGCTCTGCATCCATGGCTGGAGAGAATAATGCTTCTGAACACCAGTTTCTGGAAGCCAAAGGATGCTTGCTGGTTTCCTACAGGCATCTGGTTGGCCACTGCATGGGCCATGCTTATGTCTGTCTCAAAACACAGCCAGGGATAACATGAGAGCTTTAAAAATCGGAACTGTATTCTCAAACTCAAACCATGATCTTATCTTTGCACTCATGGCTGTGAAACTGTGCCAGCATTTAGCTATGTTTGGCGGGGGGGGCGGAGGGGGCAGTATAGTGCCACTCTGTCTCCCTGTCTCTCTCTCCCCTTTCCATGTGACCTCAGAGAGGACGTCTGGAACCAGCATCACAGTGGTATGAATTGGATGTGGGCTAACAAACTGAGACTTAAACCAAGTAAGAAAAAGGTTTGGTAGATCTCGATTTAGAGGGACACAGATGGTCCTACAGGGTGAGAGTGCCCCCCCCCCACCTAAGAGCAGCTTGCAGTTCTCCTGGAACCAAGCTCTGCTCTATGATACATCAGGTCAGTAGTTGTGGCATGACATGCTTTTGCAGAGATTCAACTTGTGCGGCAGCAACGCCCTTTCTTAGAAAAAGCAGGTCTTGACACTGTCACACTTGGATTGCATCAAAGCTACATCGTGTGAGGCTGCCTTTAGTAACGTCAGCAGGCACAAAATGGCCAATTCTGTCTGCAACAGGTAGGGTTGTCCCCTTTGGAACACCAACTTCAATGTTATCAGATCTCCGCTGGTTTCTGATCAGATTCCAAGCTTCCTGCTTTATTAATGTTTGGTATATTATAAGCTCATTTGCTTCACCATAATTTTGGAGTAGATTAACTTTTGTTCCATCTTCCTCCATTCTGCTGCTTTAGGCTTTTACCATTTAATTTTTTTTTTTATCGGACTAGCTTTGAGTTGGACACAAACCTGGTTGGCTTTAAAGGAGGATTAGACAAATTCATGGGTGTTGATGGCTATTGGTATTCAGAAGCATTGCTGGAGGAAGCAATGCTTCTGAATACCAATTGCTGTAAACTGCAGGAGAGGAGAGTTGGATTCCCAGAGGCATCTGGTTGGCCACTATGAGAACAGGATGCTGGACTAGATGGGTCACTGGCCTGATCTGGTGGGCTCTTCTTATGAGCTAGGATGGGGAGGGGGACTCCACATGGGACAGAGTTGATGAAATAAAATTTAAAAATAAGGCAAGGGGTGCATAGCAAGCTTTGACCTGCAATATGGATTGTACAGACCACACATTTTTCAGTTTCTCAAAAAGGTGTCTTAGGATTTTCCCTTCAACAATAGAGCAGAGATCTATTGCCTGTGGACACCAATGTACATCACATAAAACTGTTTCCATCTCACAGTCCCAAAACTGTCCAGAGACCTTCACCCATTTTATAAAGAAGTTAATTTAGCAGGATATGTTAAGGTTTTCCACCATGCCCTTCCTTTCTATCAGCATCCACATTTCACCAACATTTACAGCCACTTCATTCAAGCTGTCACCTAAAGAGAACAAGAATAATTACACAGACATTTCTCAGTAATTTTGTGTTTGGTGTCAGAAGAGGAGATTTGTCATTTCATAGATGGCAGCCAAATTACAGGGTATCTATTTGACAGGCAACTCACTCCAGGTTTGGGGGTGTTTTCTTTTTAAACACAAGATGCAAATGGGCATGGGCACACACATAGGACAGTAGCCCTGAGTTTTTTTGTTTCTGCTTTGAAACAGAGAAGTAAATACCAACAGAGTAGGGAAAGTTGCAGCACACACAACAGCACACCAATATATCACAAATCAATTCTCTGCTAAAATGTACCTAGCAAGGAGGGGGATGGAAAACAACACATATTGCCCACCTTCCAAGTTAATTCAACTCTTGTTTCTCCATGCCAAAGAATACATAGCTATGGTGCCTGAAGCGGTATAAAAGTCCAAAAATTGGCAGGGAGTTACAGCTCAGTAGTAGACAGCATGCACTGCCTGGATGGGACCACAGGATTTAGTCTGCAGCATCCCCAAGGGGTGCAACATGAGGTTAAACAGGTTAACCAACGGCTGCTTTCTTGGGACTGAGCTACTCTTCAGGAATAGGAAGCTGGCAAATACTGTGCCAGATCATTAGTTCACCTAGCCTAACATTGCCTATTCCAGGCAGCATTCACCAACCTGGAGCCCCCAGCAAGCCATTATGGGTGACAACTCCCACCAGCCCAAGCCAGCTCAGCTGTCGCTGCACAGCTGATGGAAGCGGTAGCCCCAAACATCTGGAGGGTATCAGGATGGTGAAGTCTGGTTCACTCTGATTGCTTCCCCAAAGTCTCCAGCTGGAACCAGCTCTGCTACCTCACAACCTTTAAACTGAAGATGCTGCAAACTGAAGCCCATGATCCCATGAAGGACGACCAGAGAGAAGAGCCACTCCTTGACCCTTATTAGAACAGATATTTTGCCAACCCGAGAGTTGGGCCTGTGCTTGCAAGGAGAATGATTTGCTCCTGAGTCGCTTGGAAGGCGATGTCTCCAGAGCGCAGCTCTCCTCTTGCCTGCTTGCTGCCCTATTAGTGTTAGCCTGCTGGAGACAGATGAAATCGCATTAACCCCGATTTGCAGAGGAGGCCTTGAAACAAAGCATCCATCTCCCCTGCCCTGCCGCTGCCCCCAACCAGGCGGTGATGGCCAATTAATCAAGCCACCCTGGGGACTGGCTGGCCCTGCATGCATCACGAGGGCAGCAAGGCCCTGGCTAGTAACAGCACTCCCCCCTCCCCAACATGGGGAAAACAATAAGATGAAGACTGCCAGGGCTATAGGGAAAACAATAAGATGAAGACTGCCAGGGCTAGCAGTTAAGCCATTACTCCCTGCTGGGGGAGAGCCTGTGGTGTACTGTGAGAGGCTAAAAAAAGTAGAGAAGCACGTGCAGTGTGGATCAGTGCTGCAATGCACCCAGGGTGGCATGATGGGGGAGCAACCTGGAACAAGGGAAGCAGCTGTAATGAGCGCATTTTAGGCTGAGTTAAGTGTGGGGGAAGAGGAGCTGCGGAGGAACAGCAAAAGGGAGAGTGGAAAGCAGCACAAGCCTATCCACATCAAGAGGTCTAGTGCCTTGCAGCCACAAACAACAAGCAGTGATTCCAAAGTATGTGCAAAAAACCCCGCCTTCCAGGCCAGGGCCCATCCATCATACATGCCACACCCCAGCCCAGAAGATTCAGGCCAGATAAAAGAAAGGTCTTCTTCATGCAGCACATAAAATAGGGAACTCCCTCCAACAGGAGGCAGTGATGGCAACCAACTTGGGTGGCTTTAAAATTTTAGACAAATCATGAATGTGTCCACGAGGCTATCGATAACTACTAGCCATGATGCCTATGCTCAACCTCTACAGTCAGTTGCAGAAATGCTTCTGACTACCAGTTGCTGGAAGCCACAAGAGAGAGTGCTCTTGTGCTCAGGTCCTACTTGCCAGTTCCTCATAATAGGCACCTGCTTGGTCACTGTGAGACGAAGATGATGGACTCGGTGGCCCACTGGCCTGATCCAGCAGGCTCTTCTTATGTTCTGACACTGTAGAAAAGATCTCCATGAATGTGCCTACCAACGGCTGTTAGCAATAAGGACCAGGCAGGAACTCCATATTCAGCTCAGTTGCTGGAGGGGCACATCTGCCATCCAAGTCTGCCTGTGGGCTTCCTGAAACCATCTGGCCAGCTACTGTGGGAGCCAAGGAGCTGGAGAGAGAGAGACACCTTGTTCTGAACCAGCTGGTTCTGAGAGAAGGCACTGGATCTATAAAATAAACTGGGTTCATTGGTGGTGGGTGTACATCCTTTCCCCAAAATTTTACTTCCTGTATTATATATCCACTTTACAAACCAGCTCTTAAAAGCTACAGATCCACAACCATTCAAACTAAGAACATGAGAAGAGCCCTGCTGGATCAGGCCAAAGGGGGCCCATCTAGTCCAGCATCCTGTTGTTCTCACAGTGGTCAACCACCTACCTGTGGGAAACCAGCAAGTAGAACTCAAGCAGAAGAGGACTCTCTCCTCCTGCAATTCCCAGCATCTGGTATTCAGAAGCATCACTTGGTCAGAATTTCCTAACCAGGCCTACTAGAGTCTTTTGTGGCTAAAAAGTCTCTATCTGTGTGTGTTTGTAAACAGGTGGAAAGGGTGGGGAGGACAGAGAGTCTTTTTCTAAAGTTTATTAGGTCATTGGAAGTCAATGCCTTGGGGAAGAGGGAAGGTGCTTTTTAGATGCTTGAATTCATATATGCTCAATACAAAAGACAACCCTGCATCATGACTGCTGGTTCTCTGTGTCAAATGTCTGCACAGCCTCTTTTTGGTTCCCAAGTACAAATGGGCAGTGAGGTCACCAGGGCTTAGCATCCATCAGCCATTCTATTCCTAAACCAGCTAGATGGGAGGTGTTACCAGGATTCTACTCTAAGTCACACATATACTTTTCTTTCTTTTTAGAGGCACGAGACAGGATTTTTAGCAAGTCAGTTCCGACTCCAGCACAATCCTCCCATCAAAAGGCTTCCACTTAATTTGTGAGACTTGATTTTAAAGTTGAGAGCCCCCTCCTTCTCCAAAGTGTATGTTTTAATTACACAGGTCTAGATTACCAAGGAGAGTCTTCATAATGAAGAGTTTCTATAGCAACCACTTCTCTTCTCTGGCACTACTAGAAGCACCACCTCATCTGCATTCAAGCAGGGGATTTAAATTTTGATTAAAAGAAAACTCCGAACAAATGGCATTACCATCACATCTATCTAGGTTACGCTGCTTCAGCCTTTTGCCAGCCTGGTGCCCTCCGGATGTTGTTGGGCTGCGGCTCCCATCAGCCCCAGCCAGAATGGCAAATAGTCAGGAATGATGGGAGATGTAGTCCAGCACCACCTGTAGGCAGCACTTTGGCTAGCCCTCCTCTAACATGCAGGATCTTGGGCAGCTGGAACATCCCAAGCCAGACACAGCTCAGCCTATCACAGCCTCTTCCTACCTGCACTGCAGCCTCTGAATAACAGAGCAGTCCGTGTGTTGCTTCTGCAGCCCATGGCAGCACCTGCCCATTTCATCATCTTCTGCGGCTTTAATTGTCAGAACATATGAAGAGCCCCATAGCTGGATCCAAGCAAAGACACCCTCTAGTCCTCCATCCTGGTTTCTACAATGAAATGCCTCTGTGGAACTCACTTGCAGCACTCAAGCAAAACAGCCCTCTGATCATAGAGGCTTTATTCAGACAGCATTCATTGGCAAGCTGCTTTTCCACAAGGCTGTGTCCAAAGTGGCTCACAATCTGTCAAACCATTAACTGATGTCAAACATCTTCATCCACAAATTTAACCCTCCCCCACCCAAAAAAGCCAGTGAGAACCACCACAACTGGTGGGGGGGGGACTCAAAAAGAATAAATAAATAAAAACCCACCATGTGTTGTGTGGAGAAGTGCTTTCTTTGGCCAGACCTGAATCTACCCCCAATCTTCCTCATTGGATCACCACACAAATGCCAGGATTATAAAACACACTTGTTCCTCATCATGCGTAATTCTACAGCCATATATCATATTATCTCCCCATGTTGCCCCCCAGTCATCTCTCTCTCCCCCCCCCCCAAACTAAGAAGTCAAAAAGACTTTGGTCTGATCTTGTGAGGCTCACTTTGGCTGCCTGTGTCTGTACCATCTGCAGATCTACAATATATATTTTTTCAGATGAGGAGACTGGACCTGCACACATAACTGATCCTGCCCTACTGACTTATTTCTATACAGCCCCCTGGGCGGTTGGAGCTGATGGGTGCAGCAGCAGTCCACCAAGGTCACCAAGGTTGTTGAAGGCAGCTTGACTGAAACCATTCTGATCAGCAGAGGAATCTCAGACACAGCTCTTCTGTGACACAGGCTGAGGCCTTTCCTCGTGCTGAGGATTGATCCTGGTGCTTTATTATGAACACCAAGCCCACCCTAACAGCGACAGCCCCCTCGGTTGCTTGCGAGAATCTATTAAGAGTCAACAGTGGATTTTAAGGCAAGGTTCTCACCTTGGGGCCTTGGTGGGATCTTTCCTAGATCTCATGACTTCCATTGCCTTTTAAAAATAGAACACCAAGGCAGGGCTGCGCTCTGTGCTACGTCTGTTGCCTTCTGCCAGTCAGGCCCTCCTGGCTGCCAATTATGCTGCGATTTCTGCTGATACTCAAACTTTGATCTTGCACATCTAAAGCTGCTACACTGAAATGACAGGCACTGCAAACAGCACCCCAAACACCAAGCAGTGAGCTTGACAAAGCTCCCATTATTACTTTCTTCCCAGCTGCTCCATCTGGATGTCTGGGAAAGCCACAAGTCACACAATGGCCACCTGGAAGCCAAGGAACTTTGCAGTGTGAAGCCTGCAATCCTATACCCACTTGAACTCAATAGGATTTACTCCTGAGCAGATATGCAGAGGAGTGGACTGCGAGCCAGACTGCACCCCAGTGAGAACTACTACTGAAGCCTCAGTTTCAGAGAAGCTGATGGCCGGGGGGCGGGGGGGGGGGATGATCTTTTTATCCAGTGCCTGAAACCTGCATTATATTCTCATCTGCCCTCTAAAGTGCTGCAAATCTGGATTATTAGATCTATCCGATAGCTCACAGACCAGCATGGTTGCATTTTTATTTTTATTTTGTCCCAGCCCTGCTAACAGAACAGCATGCAGGCCCGGGGAGGGGGGGGGGAGGGACAGCTCCACAATATTTCACCCTTCTATTCCCCAAACTCTTCCTAGCCTTGAGCAATCCCATGTTTTTCACAGAAAATGGCACAAGGCAGTTTTGAATTTTTTTAAAGGAGAAAGTTCAAACTAGGCCTAATTTGGCCAAAAACCAACCTTACCATAATATGATTAAAATTGTTCCTGCAAATCACCCGCACACATCTGCCAACATTTTATTCAAGAGAAAATCAATTTTGCTAAACAGTCAAGTTGCAGGTGCAGTATTTTAGGAAAGAGGCAGCTGTTGCGAAGCAACAAAAATACCAGCAGTTATGGTTTTACAATCTCTATTAAGAGCAAACCATTTTGCCATCCACCCCTCCATTGATCTCTTTGGAGGTAAAGGAGAAAAAGGCACCATTCCATTCTCTTTGAGCTGCTCTGTCTTTTCCTCCTTTCTACACACACAGACACAGACTGCTGATGGGAACTGTAGTTCAAAACATCTGGAGGACGCCAGGTTGGGGGAGATTGGTTGAGGATTTTTCAGCACACGTAGAATAAACTGCGCAGGGCTAATGTAGTCGCCAGCAAGAGGCGGAGCTGCAGCTAGAAAAGAGACTCTGTGCCAACTGAGGCTTTTTGCATAAACCGACAGATGTTGCATTTTGCTGGGAAATTTGGAGCAATTCAGTCTCTCAACACATTTCCTAGAATGGTTGGGGGTTTTTTTGTTTTGTTTTTGGCTGAACGGTCGGCTTAATGTAATGGATCCATCCAGTCAATGCAACTGGAAGGCGGCCAAAAACCGATGCCACTAGAACTCTACATCGAGATACAACAAACACGACATACAATGTTATTAAAGAGATCTTCCTTTGGCTCCTTGGGACTGGACAGCAACCTGAATCCAGCCCGGGGGGGTGGGGGCAGTGGCAGAGCTTCATGCTCTGGCACCGGGGGGCGGAGAGCAGGCAGGGCGGGGCTGACATGAGTCCCGGGGCGTGGCACGTGTCCTGGGGGCGTGGTGCGCCACCTGCGGGGGTGTGGCACCCAGCGAAGGCGGAAGGGCAGCCGCGATGGCATCCCACCCGGATCGTGCTGCCGGGGGTGGTGCGCTTCCCCCGCACTCCTCTTCCTCCGCCAGTGGGGGGGGGGGACCCTCTCCCATTCAAGATCCCTGAAGTCAGTTGCATGAGCTCGTAACTGAAAAAGGTGATACCCGAAGCACAGCAAGCAAGACATACCATTCCGTCCGCTCATCCAGAGGTTTTGTAACACAGACTGCCAATTGCAGGCACCAATGTTTACACAACCTGAGATTGTGTGTCTAGGCGCCTGAATTCGTATGGTTCTAGCCAGCTTACCAGAGAAGACCCTAGCCCTAAATCCTGAGGTTCCTGATTCAAGCCTCCCAAGCCCCTGATTAGTTCCAAAACAGATGTAGGAGACCTCTGTGGCACTCATGCATTACAAACATACAACTCCTGCCCAGTAAGCCTCCAATGCAAGACTAACAGAACAAAGGGGTGTGTGGAAAAGTAGGCAGAACTTGACAGATAGGCCTGGGTGCAGTTAAGGGAAAGGTTACATGACAGCTGATGCCAAGGAACTGCTTAGAGATTTCTGCTGAAACAGGAAGCAGTATATAAGTTAATGAATGAAACCAGCATCAACAGGCACCTCCTCAAAGGGTTCACCCAGGACTTTCTAGCAAATGACGGGATGTCTGGCAGAGCCATGGTGTGGCACCAAAAGAGCACATCAAAGCCATGATGGACACAGACTGGGAACTTACCTCCGTGCACAAATCCATGCATGGTGCAGTCAGATGGTCCCACCAGGTGGATCAAGCTGGACTGGCTGTAGCCAACAGTATATGGCTCTGTAAGGGGAGGGAAGAGCACAGACCATGAGAAGACCAAATTAATTCAGCCCCACAGAAAGGATGTTTTAGAGTTCACAGAAGTGTAAGGACAGAGGAAGAGATCTGCTGGATCAGACTAAGGGTGCATTCAGACTTGAAGAATTTTGTGTTAGCAGTTTTTGCAACTGTGTCAGGATCCTCAGTAAGAATAATAATGGCAGAAGAGCTTCCCTGAAAAACAGCTTGCGCCTCTTCCCCTGCAATTCAGTTCCAAGGAAATGCTGGGAAAACAGGTTGTAGCGTGATGCCCTGTGTACACCACATATCAATGGAAGACGCCTTGAAGCAGCAATGTTTGATCCCTGCCTTAAAGGGGTCAAAACAGACTATGAAAACCCACCTGAAAAGGCAGCAGTTTTGAAATCTGTGTATTTACCAACATGGCTGACATGTGAAATCAAATGTATAACCACTATTTGCGACCAGTGAAACCTTATGTATTTTGAAAAATCATCTACCCGTGGCTATATAGCTTTTAAACAAAGGAACAAGCATTTCTCATCCAGAATGTTTAGCACCATTGCCCCTCCCCAACTAGCAGGGGAAAGGGACTCCCTTCAGCTGAGCTCTGGCTGTTAGATCCTCTCCCCTCTTGCAGCAACCACCTAAGGGGAAAAAAATCTGATCCACCTTAGCTAGCACAGTACCTGCCCAGTCCTCCAGCGCTAAAAAAATTAAGAAACCAAGCAAACCTTAACTTTTAAAATTATATGCCTCCTCTAAACCAAATCCATTCAAGTATATATATATATATATATATATATATATATATATATATATATATATAATTTTATATAATTTGCTTTAAGCAATTGTAATGAACTTTAAAACAATAAGGGGATCTGCCCCCATAGTGCCAAGCCGAGAGTTATTTCCTTTGACAAATCTTACAGCAAAGAATAAGAGAGCCAACACTTGGAAGCTTCCCTATCTTAACGGTGTTAATTAGTCTGAACAATCTTACCTTTTCTTTGTCTATCTGTGAGCAAGGAGAGCAAGAGAGACAGAAAGGTAAGCTGTGAGCATTCACTGCAGGATTACAAGGCGCAATGGGATATGAAGGTCATGTAGCCTCACCCCCAACCTTCAGGCAATACAGTATCTCACACCTATCAACCATGCCAAGACTTTCACTCTCCCAAAGATTAACCTGATCACCCAGATTAAGTAGCATGCCAGGAGCTGAAGGGAAGAGCAAACACAGCAACCCTCATCCAACCACAAGACAGACTTCAGAGAAGGACCTGCTCAGTAAAACACAACCCAAGAGCTGAGAAAACAATCTAACATTAAGTGTTTGAACCTAAAGGGAATCTGGGTTACATTTTCAGAAAGGGAGTATGGATTTCATATGGGAATTAAAAAGTCACATTGACTTCACTCTGTTTTGGACATCGTGTAGCCAATGGCATTTGAATACAAAATGCTTGATGAGTGAATCACTGCATATGGGGGTATGTTGCTGCTTGCTAGCCCTTCCTTGCCCACCAGGCAAATAAATTGAGAGAAAGAGGCAGTGTCTGTGGCAGCAGTTCACCAGAAGGTTACTGTCGATAAGACTTCAGATACTGCCTTGCATGGAGTCTCTTCCAGGAGGGTGGGATTCCGACACCACTGAAAATGATCCCAGAGTGCCCACAAACACACGCACACACATACACAAAATAGCACATGGGAGTTTTAATCCATTATTTATTCATTTATTGATTGAATTGGTGAGTTGCTTTTTCTTGCCCAAGGCAACTCAAAGAGACTTACAAACAAACAAAACCCCACACAAACACATTAAAACCAATTTTTGTAATTCATTTAAAAAATCCCACCGACTCTAAAAGGCCTCAGATAGCTACAGGCCAAAGGCCAAATATAGAGGAAGGTTTTTGCCTGGCGTGTAAAGATATATAATGATGACACCAGGCAAGTCTCCTCAGAAACAGCATGCCACAAATGGGGAGCCACCACTGAAAAGGCCTGCTCTCATGTTGCCACCCTCTGAACCTCCCATGGAGGGGGGGGCACATGAAGAAAAGCCTTGGGTGACAATCGCATGGGCCTGGTTGGTTCCTATGGCAGAGGCAGTCCTTGAGGTACTGGAATATGGAGCTGCATAAGGCTTTATAAGACAATACCAGCACTCTGAATTATTACACAGACACAGCAATAATCATTTCAAGCCCCTGCCATTCCACACCTCTCTTGTACCAGCTCTGCACAATTTCCATGTGCTCAACACCCTCTAACCATTTAGGTTCTATCAATGTCCAGCCATCCTCAAAGCTACCTTCTATTAAAGTCTGTTCAGCCCTTGCACACAAGTGCATCAGCCACCAGACCTGAAGATACAAACAGGAGCATCATAATACGGTGCCTCCAATACCCATCGCTCTGAGCTGGTCCAGGTGGATTTCACAGTCAAGGGCAGCAAAAGCCCCTGAGAGATTGAGCAGAAGTAACACAGTTGCATTCCCCGTCCCTCTCACAATAAATCAGGGTGATCAAGGGTGATTCAGTTACAAAGCCTGGTCTAAAGTGGATCTGGGATTGGGGAGCTGCCTGAACCCTTATATCCAAGTTCTGAGATCATCTGCAGGAGTATCATTGGTCATTCCCCGAGTTGGTGAGGCTCACTCAATAACAAGAAATACAGTCTTAGTGTCATCGGCACAGTACTGTGGAATGCTCTGCCAATAGAGATTCAGCAGGTACCTTCTGTTTAAACTTGAATGAGTTTTAGATTTTTCTCTGTCTTGTTTTGTGCTGGTTTTAATGCATATGTTACTTATTTATTGTTCAGCCACTTTGAGTTACTGTTTTGTTGTTTTTTTTAAAAAGTGACTAATAAGTTTAATGAATAACAACAACCCAGGAACTCTGTCATCCATGGATGGAGGCAGGACTTGAGCTGGACCCTAAAGTGCAGCAGGCTGAAAGCCTTGCTCTGCGGATCAGGCCAAGTTCCTGGTGTTTATAGCCAGAGGTGCCAGTGCACCACCCAGCTGCAGGGGCAGAACCTGCTTTCCTCTCTGCTGTGTCCACATGAGGCTCTCTCCTAGCACAAGTCCTTAGATACTTCACTTGGCAGGGAGTTCCCAACACACCTTTAGTCTGGAGCACATCAAGCTTTAAATGTCCTTAACACAGACAACGACCTTTAAGTAGAACATACAGTCTATTCACTGTGGAAACAGACAGCTGTGCCCCATCCTAAAGCTTCCAAACAAAGGAAGCCCACTGCCATTCTGTAGAAATTTTCGTCTTAAAAGCCTCCTGGACATGACAAAAGAGATCCGAGCTCGCTCTCCCCCCCCCCCCAGCCCTTTGTGATGGGTTGCTAGGCAACTGCAGCACAAATCCCCTGTGCTCTTCCTGCTCTAAAAGACACCTAAAATTAAGCTAGTGGGGAAGGGGGGGCTCTGTTCACAGAGACAAAAATAGACCTGCAGGTCACCTCTTTGGAGCTCCTACCTCTGCAAGTTCACTCGATCACATGCTCTGGCAGCAGCCTCAGCTTTAGAGAAGGCATGACTGCTGCCGCTCACGGCTCTGAGAAGAAATCCACTGAACAGTCTCCTCGAGTCGATGGGGAGAGGGGGAATGACACGTTCCTGGGCTGCATGCACACCGCTGTATGGTCATCTATAAATATCCGAGTGCAGACAGTCTGAGCACTAAAATAGATGGCTTTGAACCCAACTGTTTCTGTGGTGGAAGGAAGACGAAAGCATCCCTGGAGGACTGCTCTTGCTCCAGGCACATTGCGCAGGTTGGGGCTCTTCACTTCCCAAAAGGCAGGCTTTGGGCTTTCATTGGAGCAGGAGGAAGGAAGAAAGTCTGTCTTTATGCATAGAAGTGGGGTAGGTAAAGAGGAGCATGTGCCTCTGGGGAAAGTCCCAAGGCATGGCATGGAAGTTCTAGACCTCCAACCTGGAATTCTCAGCCTGGATCCCTGTGAGCTTCTGTGAGCCAAACTGAGAGACTGAGCCTGTTCAAGACATCAGGAGGAGATGCCAGTCCCCATCCAGGTTCACACACAAGCTGGCACCATCATCAGACAGGCTCTGCAGCAGGAAATGCAAAATGGATCCAGCTTTTATGGTGACTAGCTAAGAAGTTCTGGCAAACAGAAGGGGAAGAAATGGAGGCAGTGAGAGATTTTACTTTCTTGGGCTCCATGATCACTGCAGATGGTGACAGCAGTCACGAAATTAAAAGACGCCTGCTCCTTGGGAGAAAGGCGATGGCAAACCTAGACAGCATCTTAAAAAGCAGAGACATCACCTTGCCATCAAAGGTCCGTATAGTTAAAGCCATGGTTTTCCCAGTAGTGATGTATGGAAGTGAGAGCTGGACCATAAAGAAGGCTGATCGCCGAAGAATTGATGCTATTGAACTATGGTGCTGGAGGAGACTCTTGAGAGTCCCATGGACTGCAAGAAGATCAAACGCATCCATTCTTAAGGAAATTAGCCCTGAGTGCTCACTGGAAGGACAGATCGTGAAGCTGAGGCTCCAGTACTTTGGCCACCTCATGAGAAGAGAAGACTCCCTGGAAAAGACCCTGATGTTGGGAAAGATTGAGGGCACAAGGAGAAGGGGACGGCAGAGGACGAGATGGTTGGACAGTGTTCTCGAAGCTACAAACATGAGTCTGACCAAACTGCGGGAGACAGTGGAAGACAGAAGTGCCTGGCGTGCTCTGGTCCATGGGGTCACGAAGAGTCGGACACGACTAAACGACTAAACAACAACAACAGTTAAGAAGTTGTCAAATCACAGTCAACTGACTCTCGGGAAGCACCCACTGAACTACAATCCCAGATATCCCACCTCTGTAGCAAAGATGCCACCATATTACAGGTGTGGGCAGGGGCAAAGGATGGCTAACCAGCACCTGGTGTGGGGTGTCGGGGGGGCAAACCGCCCCGCAGCCTATGTGCGGCGCCATGTACTGTGCATGTGTGACACTGTACGTACAGTACACACACATGCGGCGTACGTAGCAGCACTGCGCATGCGCCACAGGGCAGTTTGCCGACAGAGCTGCTCGACGACAGCGGGATCCTCTGCCCGTGGCTGCAGCGGAGGGATCTGTAGGAGCTGCTCAAGCGCCGTACAGACGCCAATGGGATCCCTCCTCCACCACTGCAACCGCAAAAGGAAGATCCTCCGCGCGCGGCTGCGGTGGCGTGATGGCAGCAACTCGTGCCCAGCGGCGAGCCCCCCGTGGAGTGCCTTCTTGTCACCCCCTTAGAGATAACACCCGGGCGGATTGCCCCCTCCGCCACTGGGTGTGGGCAACCTTCAGGCTGAACCTAGGAGCCAGCCAGAGGGATATGGGGGAGAAAAGGCCTAAAATGTTCCTGTTTGAAGGAAGGACCAGGGAGCAGGTGTGACATGTAGTTGATAAGGATACGTCAATTAATGGTGCATCCTGGGCATGATTCATGGGAAGGTATAACATTTTAGAAATCAGTAGTTCGGGGAGGGGTTGCAGTTGTTCACTCACAAAAATACCTGCCCCAAAGTTAGTACTTCTGGCTTTGGCAGCAAGCTAATCAACAGTTCCATGTAAAGATGCAATGATTCTGCTAAGCCTCACCATGTCCTTTGGAGCAGGCGTTAACTCAGATTGCCCGTCTTACCTGGATTAATCACTGGCATGATGACATCCCCGTTCCTCTCCTTCGTTTCCAAACGTTCCAGCTTCTGCTCTTCGTAGCGCCTTCTCCCTTCCTCCTCCTGCGCCTTCTCTGCAAACTGATAAGAAACAGAAGGGCCACCTGGTCATCCCAAGTCAGAGGGGAAGGGACAAGGACTGCTGCCCGACTGGCCACACCACCACCATTGCTTCATGTGCCACTGGAGGCAAGGAAATGTCCTCTTGGGCCACCAATGGAGAAAGGAAGTTGCCAGAGTGTTTTTCTATACAGCTGTTTAAGAGGACACACACTGCCCCTTTGAAGGCATGGCAAGAGAGGACTTCCCTCTAAGGTAATGGAGTGAACAGGAGCAACGTGGACCAAGTGTTAAATCTGATATGTCACAATATGTTGGAGCAAAGGAGGAAGTTAGAAAAAGTTTGTTCAAAGGAAGTCTGGGGGGAGAAGAGGACATCTTTCTAGGAGAATCTCAGCTACAGTGTGAATCAAGACAACGAAACCAGATTATACAACACAATACAGTACATGATTAAGCAAGTGGATGTAAACATGGAAATGGGCATTGCTTATTTTGTTTGCAGAATCTGGACTAACACCTGACTCATATAGAGCTCCACCATCACCCTTGGAACATCCCCTTACCTGAATAGGAGGGACTTCCAATATTTTGTTCACGTTGTTAAGAGAGAGGGGCACGTACCACAGAGTTGCCTTGTTGGTCACCCGCTTGGCACCTTTTAAAGGAAGGAAAAATATCTGTAAATGAACAGACCACGGAAAACTGCAAAATATGGAATAATAACTGAGTCATCAAAGCATCTGGCCTGAAGAAATGAGAAAGCAAAACAAAGCAAGTGATATCAGCTAGTGTAACTACTGGCAAGGGGACCTTTTCTGCCATGGCGCTCAAACTCTGTCAATATCTTTGTCTGATCGGTGCCATTGTTAATTAACTTGCAATGCGAGTATGATTGCATTGCATCAGCTATTGCTGTTGTGAGTTATCACTGTACATATCTGACGTACATTCATAATTGAGTTCTCCTAACAATTATTTTCTGCATTTCAGTGTTATTTGACAGCACTACCTACATTCCCAACCCCATGCCCCACTTATGTCATAACACATATGTTAGCTTCTATGGCGCTACACCTATAAGGCTCTTTGCAATTGGTGCACTGGTTCAGGCGGAGGCAGGGATGGCCACCAGGGATGGGTGGTTTTATTTTATTTTTTTTAAATAATATTTATTAAAGTTTCAAAAGGATACATGAAAATACAAAATAAAGAAAAAAGTATAAAGAAAAACATACAGAATAAAACAATTAAAAACACATTAATTTTCCATAACCTATCTTCCTTGCACTTATTTCCCCGAACCTCCTCATACCTCCCTTCTTTGTATTCCAGTTCAGTTTGTTAGTTCAGCAAATCCTTACCATTAAACTTTTACCCAATTGTTAACTTTTTTTTCATATCTCTTAAGGCATTACAGCTAAAAACCTCTTAGTTTCTATCCAACATCCTTCTAAGATTCCTTAATTTTGTAATATTTCTGTAAATAGTCTTTAAATTTCTTCCAGTCTTCTTTCGCCGACTCTTCTCCCTGGTCTCGGATTCTGCCAGTCATTTCCGCCAATTCCATGTAGTCAATCACCTTCATCTGCCATTCTTCCAAAGTGGGTAGATCTTGTGTCTTCCAATACTTTGCGATGAGTATTCTTGCTGCTGTTGTGGCATACATAAAAAAGGTTCTATCCTTCTTTGGCACCAATTGGCCGACAATGCCCAAAAGAAAGGCCTCTGGTTTCTTCAGAAAGGTATATTTAAATACCTTTTTCAATTCATTATAGATCATTTCCCAGAAAGCCTTAATCTTTGGGCACGTCCACCAAAGGTGAAAGAATGTACCTTCAGTTTCTTTACATTTCCAACATTTATTATCGGGCAAATGATAAATTTTTGCAAGCATGACTGGGGTCATGTACCACCCGTATATCATTTTCATAATATTTTCTCTTAAGGCATTACATGCCGTAAACTTCATACCTGTGGTCCATAACTGTTCCCAGTCAGCAAACATAATATTATGTCCAACATCTTGTGCCCATTTAATCATAGCAGATTTCACCGTTTCATCCTGAGTATTCCATTTCAACAGCAAGTTATACATTCTTGACAGATTTTTAGTTTTGGGTTCTAACAATTCTGTTTCTAATTTTGACTTTTCCACCTGGAAGCCAATTTTCTTATCCAAATTATATGCCTCCATTATCTGATAATAATGAAGCCAATCTCTCACTTTATTTTTTAGTTTCTCAAAACTCTGCAATTTCAATTTGTCTCCTTCTTGCTCCAAAATTTCCCAATATGTCGGCCATTTGGCCTCCATATTGAGCCTTTTCAGAGCTTTTGCTTCCATTGGTGACAGCCACCTTGGGGTTTTATTTTCCAATAAATCTTTATATCTTATCCAAACATTATACAATGCTTTCCTGACAATATGGTTTTTGAATGCTTTGTGTGCTTTGACCTTATCATACCATAAGTATGCATGCCATCCAAATACATTGTTAAAACCTTCTAGATCCAAAATGTCTGTGTTTTCGAGAAGTAGCCATTCTTTCAGCCAGCAAAAAGCTGCTGATTCATAATAAAGTTTAAGGTCTGGCAGGGCAAATCCACCTCTTTCCTTAGCATCAGTTAATATCTTAAATTTTATTCTGGGCTTCTTGCCCTGCCAGACAAATCTAGAAATATCTCTCTGCCACTTCTTGAAACAGTCCATCTTATCTACAATTTGTAGTGTCTGAAACAAAAACAACATTCTAGGCAATACATTCATCTTTATCACAGCAATACGGCCCAGCAGTGAGAGTTTCAAATTTGACCAAATTTCTAAATCTTTTTTCACTTCCGTCCAACATTTTTCGTAATTATCTTTAAATAAGTTCCCATTTTTGGCTGTCATATTAATCCCCAGGTATTTCACTTTCTTTACCACATTCAATCCTGTCTCATTCTGAAACCTCTCTCTTTCAATCGGTGTTAAATTTTTCTCTAAAACCTTAGTTTTTAGCTTGTTCAATTTAAAACCTGCCACCTGACCAAATTCCTGAATTAATTCTAAAACTCTTTTAGTGCGAGATTCTGGCTCCTGTAGCGTCAATACTAGGTCATCTGCAAATGCTCTCAGTTTATACTGTTTAGCTCCGACCTGTATGCCCTTAACCAACCGGTCCTTTCTAATCATATTTAGCAGAACCTCCAGGACCGATATAAAAAGCAGTGGGGAAATTGGGCACCCCTGTCGTGTCCCTTTTTCTATCTTGAATTCTTCCGTGACCACATTATTTACAATTAATTTAGCCTTTTGTTCAGAGTATATTGCACCTATACCATTTTCAAAACCTTGGCCTACCCCCATCCCATGTAAGTTCTTCTCAGGGATGGGTGGTTTTAGAAGCGTATTGGTCAAACTAATGGAGGAGGAGGAGGCCACTAGCCATTATGGCTATGCTCTGCCTCCACTAACAGAGGCAGTCCTTCTTCCAGAATTCCAGTTACTGAAAACTGCAGGAGGGAGAGTGCTGTTGTGCTCAGGTCCTGCTTGAGGGTTTCTGGTTGGGGCATCTGGTTGGCCACTGTGAGAAGAGGATGCTGGGCCAGTTGGGCCACTGGCCTAATCCAGCAGGGTAGTCTTATGTTCCAAAAGGAGGGGAACTGATATTCCAGGCTCCTCCCTGAATGTTCAGCTTTCATTTTTGAATAAGTCCCTTTTACATTTGCAGCAACAAGGAAAAGTGTGCCGGCAGTACGCTTCCAAAAAAAGTGACCATTACCTAAGTTTGACCCTATGGAGCTATATGTTATGGCTGTTCTGTTCCTGCCACACACACACACACACACACACTCACTCACTCACTCCCTGATTTCTGACTATGGGCCTAAATTTGCAGGGGGGAAAGTCTGCTCAGATTTTGATCTGGTACAAACAAGTACATTGCTTTCAAAACTGGCTCGACTGCTTGAAAAAAACATCACGCCTCTTTTCATCCGAAGATCAGAGGGACAATGCTCCCAGTACTCTGGAGGAGGCGTTTCACTGCAGCATCTCCCCCTCCCTGTTACAAAAGGAAAACAGAATTTGTGCAGAAAGTAGGGCTAATTTGCAATACTTCGTCTCTCTGCACAGCTTTTCACTGTGATGTGACAACCTTCTCTTGGGAATAAGATTTACTGCTTAAACCCAACAACAACAAAACAACCTGACAGGCTGGATTCCACAGCAGCAACCCTATGCCCCCCCAAGGCTCCCACACTCCTCCCCAAATAACACAGAATGGCTATCTGCACATTTCCCTGGTAAAACTCTGATCAAAAGAGCACCAATTCCCAAGGCTGCTGCTTTCAGAAGCTTCTGTGGCTGCAGTCCGCCTGTACCAGAGCTGTTCTCTCCTAATTGCATCTAACAGAAATTAGCATCCAGACATTGGGGATAAGTCAAATGAGCAGCACTGGCAGCTTAGCTTGGTTGAGCTGGATGGGCCGTGCCTGCTGGGAGCCGGCAAGCCCAGAGGGGGACCGGGGCACTTAAGACACTGCCGGCTGTCGCTAAATGGCAACTTGAAATGGGGAAACAAAGGACAAGCAAAAGAATCCTTGGCACAACCTCCCTAACCCTTCAAAATATAGGGGCAGGGAACATACCACCCTCCAGCTTTTGCAGAACTCCATAATCCCTGAGCACTGATCATGCTGGCTGATGTCCACCAATATCTGGAGAGCTGCTCATTTTCCACCCCTTGGCTGAGTCCCAGTTTGACAATCTTTCCAATATAAAACAAGAACACTGACCAGAGGTTTTAGCAGCCTGACACAGGGTCACATAAGCACACATTTGGAATTCAAGTGCCACTTGGACCCACCTATCCATTTTCAAGGTGCAATGCACCGCAATAAGGCATCTCCTGCAAACATTGCAGCCCCATTCGCACCGTACATTCAAAGCACTTTGATGCCACTTGAAACAGTCATGGCTTTCCCCAAGAATGCTGGGAGCTGCTGTTTCTTAAGCTAAACTAAGCTGATCCTGGGGAAGATGTTGGTGCAAGCAGCCTCCCAACTCTGTCCCTGCTCTGGGCAGTATCAAAGTCAGCACACTCCCAGGCCTGACGGCTCCCTTGTTCCTCTGGATAGAGGTTTTTTCCACAAACCTCACTGCAAAAAAATCTCCTTGTGCAGTGGAACCGGTGAAAGGGTTGGTTTAAATCTTAATTGCAATTTCGAGGAGATGAAAGGCAGCCCAAGGGTTTCATTCCACGAGTCCAATTTTATTAAAGGCCTCTCCCATCAAAGCTGCCCAATTGGCCACAGTCATGCAGGGCCTCTGAACTGTGATCATCTGTGGGAAGAGAAGGTTCTCCCTAGTTCTCCTCCATCCAGCGATATATGCAGATTAATATTTAGAAGCAGCCTCAAGGATTTGGGGAGGTTATAAAAAGGAAGTCACAGGCAGGGACTCGCTTGGTGCCACTCCTCGCAGTTGCCCACAGTTAATCAGTGGTGTCTATCACCGAGTGGGATGAACTTTTGGCTCCCGGTTTGATCTGCATATTCTCTTTCAAGGCACGGTAACCATGGAAACACATTTTCATCTTCCCACACGTCGGCCAAGAGCATGGGGATAGACATCTGGTTTCTCTGCACCTGCTTTGTTTTTACAAAACCCAGCATTTGCACCGACAAAGTCTCAACATCCCAGTTGGTCAAAACCATATTCTCTTGGCAGGAAGATATTCCAAGAGAAGCTTGAGGCAGGGCCAAATATTGGGAGGAGGGGATGAGAGGAGATGGGAAGAGGGTTGCCAAGAGAGCTATCATTTGTAATGCCACACATGGGGACTCTCTTGCCAGACTGGGTATCTGGGGAAGGAGCTGAAATGCTGAGGGCCATTTTGGGCATTCCTGTCTCCTAAGTCGGCCCCCGACTCTTGAATCCTGGCACACGTTTCTTCAAACATTTGTGCCGCAATATCGAGTCGAGTCTTACTGTAAGTAGCCAAAGGTCATGCCATGATGATATAAACATAAAACACCTATGTGTGAATCACGGGGGGCGGGGGAATCCTTGGTACAATAAAGCAGGAATAAACCCTGAGAAGGGTTTAAAATATGCATTTAGTTTAAAACCTCCCTTAACATTTAGGAACTTTTTTTCACATTTTAAAAAGTTGTCTTGTTTTATTGCACTTATAGTGAAGGGTGGGCGAGAAATCAAATAAATAAATAGACCAAAAGGCTAAGAAAGCCAGAAATTTGCAGATTTGCTGTAGACAGTTTCCATCTCGTGAGCAATGAAGTATGCGTTCAACTGCACATCCGCTGGTAATGTCGCTTCGGCCAGGCCTGGAGGGAAGGAAAGTTTTGGAATGCAGCAGCTGGGAAGCAGCCACTTCCAAAGAAGTTGGATTTGTGAGCCAAGGAGTGAGGCGTCAAGCAAGAGGCCGGGTGAGCATTATATCACTTCTTTTTTTCTCCAAAGAGCTCAAGGTAGTACACATGGTTCCTCCCTCCTCATTTAATCGCCTCAACAACCCTGGAGGCAGTTTAGGCTGAGAGGCAGTGATTTGCCCAAGAGCACCTACCAAGTTTCATGGCTGAGTGAGGGGATTTGAACCCTGGTCTCCCAGGTCCTAGCCCAACATTTTTATTCACTTTGCATGAGATCGGCTTTGAGATATTATTGGGGCCTAGAAATTTTGGCAAGATGACAAAAGGGTCTACTCCAAATACAAATTAGTAGGATACAACCACAGTATATTGTAATATAGTCTACACCAGTGTTTCCCAACCAGGGGCCCCAGGATATTCCAAGGGGGCCACAGGAGAAAATAGTATAATTGAAGGACCACAACACAAGGCTAGGGGACCACAGAGGGAAGTGAGAAGTGAAAGGAGGAAAGCTTTTGTTTTTTAAAAAATCCTGATTGACTGGCTATCCGCTTGGCCAATCACAAGTGGGTAAGCGGGTGGCCTACCAGGGCCTCGGCTCTGCAAGGCGACGTGAAATCCACCCCAGCGCCTAGCCAAGTGGGGTTGTCTGGTGCTGCTGACTTGCATCTAGTAAATAAGTGTCAACTCCGAAGAAAGCCACACTGAGCTCAGTAGGCTTTACTCCCAGGTAAAGTATGGGGAGCTATAATGTTTTATCTAGGCAGCCAGGGTTCCTACGGATGAAAAGATCTTTTTGCAGCAGGTCAGGGAGGACCACTTGTTTTTAAAATTCTCCCATATATACAGAACTCCCTGTGCACCTTTTAGACTGTATCTGTATGTTTTCCCCGTCTGTGTCAAATAACTGGGGTCAAATAAGTGTTGTTTAATTTTTATAATACATGGAAGATGGATCTTCCTCGGGAGGTTCTGGACTCTCCTTCCTTGAAGGTTTCTAAGCAGAGGTTGGATGACCATCTATCATAGATGCTTTAGCTAAGTTTCCTACATTGCAGAGGGTTGCACTAGAAAGATGGTGAGCTCCCGTCGCTCTGTCCCAGCTCCTGCCAACCTAGCAGTTCGAAAGCACGCCAATGCAAGTAGATAAATAGGTACCACTGCAGCAGGAAGGTAAACGGTGTTTCCGTGCATTCTGGTTTCCATCACAGTGTTCCATTGCGCCAGAAGTGGTTTAGTCAACTGGCCACATCACCTGGAAAGCTGAGATGAGCACCGCAACCCCATAGTTGCTTTTGACTGGACTTAACTGTCCAGGTGTCCTTTACCTTTAACTAGAAAGATGACCCCTAGGGTCCCTTCCAACTCCATGATTTTTCCAGCTCTATGTTTTTCTGCTTCAACAATATTTCATTCCTATCATTTTATGTAATTGTATTTTGTATAAATTATAAAAATTATAAATAAAACATGTTCTAATTACAAACAAAACATTAAAATAGCTACCTTTCTACCAGTAGGGAGCGGGGCATGGGCATAGCCAGGATTTTTGTTAGGGGGCAGGCTTTTGATAGGGGAGGGAAACCTCAGATTTGTATTGATTTGTACTTATGGGGGGTAGCTGCCCCCCTGCCCTCCCTTGGCTAAGCCCATGGGGGTGCCACAGGAAGGGGAAAGGTTGGGAAACACTAGTCTATCAAACAAATGAAAGTTCTTCATCTCGTATACAACTTAATGTATCAAAGTCAGTGCATTCTGTCTCTTGTATCCTGGTGGATTGCTTTATTCTGTGTTGTTATTCAATCATCATAATTGCTTCACAAATCATAATAAAAAGCTTCAGCCCTGGATAAATCAAAATATTGTGAATCCTTCGAGACAAACCTCCTCCTACTGCAAAACAAAATGCACCCATCAATTCCTAAAATAACATGGGCGTCATTTCCCTTCCTTACTTCTCGGGTAATTAGTTAATTTAGCCACTGCAACGAATCCCCGTACTTTATCATGCTACTTTTTAATGGATGGGATAGGACGTTTTCTTCACTTTTTTCACATCGAAAATTTCTGCTGCGGCTAACAGGTAAGAAATTAATTCTTTATGTTCAAATCCAGTTTTGAGGGTGAAGTATAACTGCCGGCTGTGCATGGTTAAACAGGCACTTTGAGAGAAATTTCTTTCATTAAAAAGAATGATAGACACAGCAATTGTCCTTCCCCCCCAAGAGAAATCTTGGGAAATGAAAGATTTAAGAAAGCGAAGAAGTTAAGCGCCATCATGTGGTTTAACCCTTGTTCAGCAGGTGACCACAAAAGGTGCTGGGGTTCTGCTTACCTGTGAGAATGTTTTCCGACTCCACATGCACCTGGACTTCTACAGAGTGCTTGGATGTGTAGGTGATCTCAGCACTCACGTGAGCCACTTCTCCAATGCACATGGGGGAAAGGAAGTCTGTGCGCTCCACGCGGGCCAGGGCAGCCACACATCGCTCCTGAGAGGGGCAGGCGAAGCCACTGTTAGTGAGTGAGCCAAACATCACAAGCAGGTGGGGTAAAAGGAAATCAGCACACACCACTGGGAGCAAAGGAGGAAAAGAGCCCGAAACGGAAGATGGGTGGAAAAAACATGAGGCTGCTCTACAGACCCGCTACCCAATTCTACCCACCTTGCAAGAGGCGAGGGAGTCAGAGGTCTGGGTCCATTAGCATCACAGAATGCTTTCAACTGTGTACTTATGCAATAAGCTCTTTGGTAGACTGGCATCCCATCTCCAACTTTGGTGGAGTCCCCCACTTTTTATTCCCCTCTAATTATCTATCACTGCCACCTACTGGCCAGTCATAGATTACATTTGGGGTTTGTTTTTTAAAAAGGAAGAAATTGATAAAATAGGGTGACTATCCATGAATTCTGGTCATCCAAGAAGTTTTAAAGGACAGATTTGGAAAGAGAGGAGAGGCACCCACCACCCTCGGGCTTTTCTCCAGTCATGGTGGCAGAAGGTCAGTGTCCATTTCAGAACCTGGATTTGTGGTTTCTGCCCTTGCATAAATAAATACCAGACCTTTTTATTATGGATTAGGGCTCAGGTTTGGTAAGTTGGTGGGCGGGGGAGGCAGATGTCTTTCCCCCTCAGCTTTATCTCACAACCACACCCCTCCCCCACTAAAGGTGAAGAAGAAGGAGGGGCATAATGGGCGTGGACACTGCTTTTGTTGACCCTGCCCCCCCCCCGCACCGTCACTGGACTCTGGCAGCAGGTGAGTAAGCAGCACCAGCACGCATGCACAGCCAGCATGGATCCAAAAGCTGGAGGGGAGAGCATCTACAGTGAAAGGTGAAGCCCACATTTCCTCTGGGACGTTCCAAGCCTGCTGCCTCGTTCCTGCTTCCCTCCTGTTTGAACAAGGCCAAAATGTTTGGCAGCCCTGCCCCAGGCTTGCTTAGCTCAGAAATAAATGTGTACAGGTGACATGGGACCTAATCCTGCGTAGGAGCACAGGGTCCAGAGTTTTTCTTATGCCTGCTTTCTATCACCTGATGCATGGCAATGGTTGCACAGCACTTCCCCCACTCGCGGTACTCACGATCATCATTCAAGGTGCCGCAGGGCGCCATGGCACATCTGTTGAAAACCACTGGGTTAGGTAGTGGACAAATGTCTCTTGTGATCTTTTCTATTCCATTTCTTTTTTACTGAAGTTGGAATTTGTATTCCCATGTCATGTATCTTTAAATTTACTTATCTTTTTTACTACTCCCTTGTTATTAAGCTGGAAACTGTTATACAACAGTTTGAAAAATAAAACAAAAGAAGACAAGAACATTATAAACCTTAACACGCAGAGCAGGCACTTGAATCTACAACGGAGGCGCAGGGAGGCAACAAGGCTTTGCTCCTGCAGCTTTGCCCCATCCCACAATTGCCTGCTACTAACACTGGGCATCACTGGGAAGAGGCTCCTCCGTATATCATGGCTGCAAACAGCTTCACTGTTTGAACATGTGCAGAGTACTTACCCCAGACTGAGAGTTGCAGTGCCGAGTGCTGATGATGGCACCTGCCTCCTCAATCATTTTTAATATGGTCCCTCCATGGACGTTCCCAGCAATGTTGGCATCATCAGGGCGCATAATCCTACAGAGAGAAAAGAGGATAAAGAGGCAGATAAAGAGGCAGTCAGCTCTAGCTCAGGCTGAAGAGACAGAACATGTGTCAACAACATGGCCCCTTACAGATGATGTTGGACTGCAGTGTTCAAAATTAGCCAGGGGCCAGGTGCATTTTGCACCTGGCTATCAGTCACTTGCGACCAAGTGAAGAAGCTTGGGCACCAGAATGGCGCCTGACATCTCCATCATCTGGTGTGCATGCCTGGGTATCATTGGATCTTCACTGTTTTCACACACTAATACCACATCCTGTACAATACTATCAGTTATATTTTATCTGCACAATCAGAATGAATTTCAGGAACCAAAATGTTTTGTCTGTGCAGCCTGAGCAGAAGCAGTGAAGAACATTAAAATTAATTGTTGCAGCTTGTCTTCACTTACCCCATCCCATTGCCCTGCTCACAGTTGTGAAGAATATAATGTTATTAATGATCTGTGTCACCATTAAGAAAAAGAGGTAGGAATAGGCTGTTATTCCAATGGAGGACAAAACAGAGCCAACCTCCACAGGTAACCCAAGTGCGTAGACAGGTTCACAGGTGCAAAGACCAGCAGAAGGCACCTGCTACAGGGATCAGAAAGCTGCATGAGACATTGCCAGTACTTACTACTCCAGTTTTGAACAAATCTTCCTCTCATTTCTAACCTGGACCACCCTCAAGAGTGACACCCTATAATCCTATAATATCTAATTGTGGATTAACTTCCTGCCAGATTTAGGAGGGGGGAAGGATTAGGTCAGGGAAGAACTGGACCAAGCAGCTGCTGCTCCCCAATTTGGGTCACCGGTTGAGCCATGGAAAGAGAGAAGGCATAGGTATGTTTCCCCAGAGGTGCTCTGGTAGTCCTTGAATTACTGAAATTCTCAAAGAGTAACAGGAAGAAGTAATAGAAAACTGAATGGTTGAAGCTGCATCTTGAAACATGAGATAAGGACAGGTTCTGAGCCAGGAACAAAAGACACAGCAGCGGCTATAGGGAACTGTAGGGCAGAATCCATCTCTTACAGGCCAGTCTATCATGATGGCCCTTGGGTCTCTCGTCGAGTCAGAACCTCTCTCATGTCTGATGTTGGGCTGAATTCTGGAGCAAGGCATTTTGGGGCAGGACACTTTTAACAACAACTGTCTGCTTTCAAGGATAGCAGTCTAATATTCTCAATGGCCAAGGTTGGGGGCTGCTGCAAACTGTAAAATTATATCTCATGATTGAAATGTAAACCATTTTTGCCACAAAACCATGATGTGAAGTCAGTTACCAAGCCATAGTTTGGAAGCAAATTAATTGCTCATGCTAAACATAAGTCATCTGATTCAGACATCATGGTAAAGAACGGTCAGGCCAAACTGGAAATGTACAAGCAAATCAGCCACACGGTCTGGAAGATCACTAAAGTGATGTTCAGAATGAGCCAGGATGAAGCACACCATTTTCTTCCCAGGAAGAAGTCTCTGAACCAGGAAAAAATCCAGGCAACAGGTTGCCAAGGAGCTTGAAAAGGTGTCAACAACTCCTAGGAATATGAAATTTTCCCACCTCTGTTGTCTGGCCAGTCACCTTCTATTCTGTAGCTCTTCCTCCTCCCTTAGCCCCAACCATGGGAGAGGAAAACCCTTGCAAAAGTCTTTGCTCCCAAAGTCATTCTCCCTCCCCATTCCACCTGCTGTAATTGCAGTGTAAATGTAATTAGAGCCCCCAATTCACCCTTCCCAACTACCTGTCTTCTTGTATATACAGGATTTAAGTCAAATCCTTTTCAATCATGGCATAATCGGTGATTCATATTCCTCCTTTTGAAGTCCCAGCCACTCTTGCAAGCCAACTAACTGCTCTGCTTTCTCCTATATCTACTGTCTGGCACTGTGCCTGACTGGGACCTAGAGAAGCAACTGATCACAAAGGAGGGTCAATCCACAGATTTCAACCACACAGCACCTACAAAAAAAGTATGAAGGTTGTCATACCAGATAAGTCGATCTTGCATCCCGAGGAGGAGACAGAGAGAGTCCTCATCTCTGTTAGAAAGCACTCTGAACTGGTATTTTCATGGCAGTATCTGCACTAGGCTTGGCACACACACACACCCGCCTCCCCCCTCAGAGGATTTCCTGCCTTGGTCCCCAACATAGTTGCAGAATGAGTCACCCTAGACACCCTGCAGTCTCATACAAAGGGGAAAGGAAGAAACCCAGCTACATGACTGACAGTATTCACATACAGCAGCCTTAACTCAACTTGGTATCCCCCTCCAGATGTTTTGGAGTACAACTCCCATCAGCCCCACCCAGAAAAGTGTTTGTAGCCTAAAACATCTGGAGGGCACCAGCTTGGGAAAGGCTGCTGTAGAGGTGGTTTTTCTAAAACACTGCAACAGCGCTGAGAGATGAACCCATGGAAAAAATGCTGCAGGAAGATAAGCAGACTTTTGCCTTCATCAAGCTAGTAGAAGTTCTACTTTGGTCCTCTGCAGGGACAAATTGTTCACATACTTTTTAGCAAGAGGACAAAGAGAAATTCCCACCCACAAGTAAGTAAAAGCTTGAACTCCCCTCACCTTAAATTCTTAAGGATCTACATTCTTCAGGTTGCTTGGCGAGGAAGGGGAGGCTAAAAATATTCTTAAAAATAAAAACCACTGCTGCACCAGCTCTACAATTCTGAGATTCTATGATTAGGAACAGGTACAGCAGAAAGAAGAAAAGGAGGAGATGTTTGTGGGGGGCTGATTGCTCTCCCACCGGGAAGACTGAGAAATGAAGGACAGAGAGTTTTCCTCCCTTCATGATCCAAACTGGCACGCCATCAGCCATCAATTGAAAAAGGAGTGGGAGCAAGGGAGGAGGCCTGAAAGAGGGCCATCAAGAAGTGGTGCAGTTCTTCCCTTCTGACTGGAGAACTTGCTCTCTAGGGCAAAGGTACCCATGCCATAAAAATGCCTCTTGCAATTGGGAAACTGGCTTGAACAGGTTAAGGGCTCAACAGACTGGACAATTCATAAAACATCACACCTTTTGAGCTCCTCCTTATGCAGGCCATCCAGAGGGGAATGGCATCACACTCTACTTTTACTATTACAATTTTCACCCTACGTAAAGTTGGTATGGGAGCCAGATCTTAAGGAACAATTTGAGGTATCTCAATGGATGAAGATCTGGTCTACCCATGACTGTCTCTGCCAGCATTGGGGGTGGAGGGAGGAAAGTCTTCCATCAGTAGTATTTTACCCTAGAATGTTTGGCTCACATGTATGTATTTTTCCTATTTTTGATAAAGGTAATGCAGATCCTATATGTAAACAGTAAACTGTATAGGAAAGACACTGGTTCTTCTGATTTCACCTCTGCTTGTGGGTTATTTTTAATCAATATTTGTTTATTTTATTAAATTTATATATGACAATGCAGTCACACAGGCAAATCCCTTCAGAATACAATTTTATTTGACCATATCTATAAACAGGCAAGACATTTTTTCTCATCATTGCACAGTATAAGTTGTGTTTTATACCCCATTTATAATTATATTTGTGTCCATTTCATTCACTCCTGATTTTTTTTCTTTTGACTATATTATCAAGAGCTCCTTGCACTGAACTTACATTATTTTGTTATTATTGATTGTTTCTCTCTCTGTGTGTAACATTGTTCAATATTTTTTAATTAAAAAATGTATCCTGTCAAACTGTATCCAACTCAGCTTTACATGGAGTAGGTCCACAGAAATCAATAGATCTAAGTTAGTCATGTCCATTAATTTCAATAGGTCTACTTTCTCAAAAGTTGTAAAACAATGAAGTCGACTTAGCTTAAGTACTGATTAAATTTTATCTTTCCTGTTCTAATAATTGTAATGATTCAAATATAGCTGTGTTATTATTCAAAAACATTTGAACAATCAAGTGACAGAATATTTTTTTGGACATCCTTCCCACAAATAATCCTGGGAACTATAGTTTACCCATCACAGAGCCGTGGTTCCCAAAACCCTTTTAAAAAACTACAGTTCCCTTTTCTTTGTGGCAGCTTGAGGCTAGTGTACTCCCCCAGTCTCAGACTTTGAGGGAAGGGGAATCTCTACCTATGACTTGCATATGGGACTCCCCCGTGGTGGGATGGGCTCTTCCATTTTACATATGTAAATCTAACACTACAAGATCTATAACCCACCAACCCACAAAGCTGTGGGCAGGCAGTGCTATTCACTTCCTTGGTCTCCCAGGCTAGATACCCAATTCCAAAAAATTGTGAATATTTCCCTAAAGGCCACCTGATGAATGTGCATCTAAGATGCAAGTTCTAACTGGCTAGCCCAAGGCCAACCCACTACCCAAGACAGCACCCAGCCTTACTCCCATACCAGGGCAGCTTAAATTGCAGGATACTCACATCTGATCACTTACCTCCCGAGATTCGCATTCAGCTGGAAGAGCTTTGCTCCCACCTCCCGCCACATCTTCAGCATGGCTGCTCTAAAACTTGTGACCGCTCAGGTACAGAAAGTGGTGCCCAGGTGATGTCTCTGCTCCCTTCGAACACATAACTATATTGCTCTTTATATAGCTGTCTGGAAATTTGGAAATTTCCTACACAAACATCGTCAGTGCCACAAGCCATGAATTTAAAGAACAAACTGATCTTGCGCTATTGACAGAAGAACATACACACACAAAAAGAATTCCTCTGAATCCAGACAACAACAGACTCTAAAAACAACCATCAAAGAGGCTTGACCTCCCCCTAGGAAACAGGAGATGGTTGACAATTCATATGGCTGGTCTCCCTGGTTCAGGGAACTGCTTTAACATCTAACCAGAAGCTCTGGAGAAATAAATCTTCAACAGCAAACTGTTTAGCAAGTGGAAGTGTCATGTACCTCCCTTTAATTGGAAGCCAACTACCAATTAAAATACTATTATCAGATGACTTAGCCTATTGCTTCAGTTGCTAAAGCAGGTTTTCAAGTAACTTACAAATACAATGACAAAAATGGGAGGCAGAATCTCCTCGCCTCAAAAAGGATGCTGCAGAGCTGGGAAAGGTTTGAAAAAGGGCAACCAGAATGATCACAAGGATGGATCAAAGCTCACAGCACTTGGAGTTTTCCAGTTTGGATAAAAGCCAAGAAAGAGGAGAACATGGTGGAGGTGCATAAAATTACACAACTTGTGGGGAAAGGGAATAGAGAAACGTTTGTCTCCCTCCTTCACAATACTAGAACTCAGGGCCATCCAACGAAGCTGACTGTTGGAAGATTCACGATAGACAAAAGAAAGTGCATCTTCACACAGAACACAATGGAATTCACTTCATGGAGGATAAGGCTATCAATAGCTACTAGCCACTATGGCTAAGTTCCAGTGTCAGAAATCAGCCATGTGTGTTTTTTTTCCGACTAACATGGGTCAATTGTGAGAACATGGAGATCTCTGGATGCCAGGTTGGTGACTGGGAAAAGCAAAATGTCACTTACAGAAACATCTGAAATATTTTCCTGGAAGCTTGAATTAGTTTTATTCTGGATTGTTTTATTTGATGTTTTAATGTGCTATAAAGCAGTATAGAAATCATCATCATCATTATTATTATTCTATTATTATCATTATTTTCCCAGTAGTGATGTATGGAAGTGAGAGCTGGGCCATAAAGAAGGCTGATCGCCGAAGAATTGATGCTTTTGAATTATGGTGCTGGAGGAGACTCTTGAGAGTCCCATGGAATGCAAGAAGATCAAACCTATCCATTCTGAAGGAAATCAGCCCTGAGTGCTCACTGGAAGGACAGATCGTGAAGCTGAGGCTCCAATACTTTGGCCGCCTCATGAGAAGATCGGACTCCATGAAAAAGACCCCGATGTTGGGAAAGATTGAGAGCACAAGAAAAAGGGGACTACAGAAGATGAGATGGTCGGACAGTGTTCTCGAAGCTACCAGCATGAGTTTGACCAAACTGCGGGAGGCAGTGGAAGACAGGAGTGCCTGGCGTGCTCTGGTCCATGGGGGTCACGAAGAGTCGGACACGACTAAATGACTAAACAACAACAACTGGGGGGAATGGTGCCTAGACATTCCATTGTGGTGACTGTAACCTAGGTTTAATGTGCCATTTGGTGATTAGATTATATATCTGAGTTTCTAACACTGCTATGTTCTCTCTCCACTGTCAGAAGCAATATGCCTTCTGAACACTAGCCGCTGGGAATCTCAATGGCTTCTCAATGGGGCATCTGTTTGGACTCTGTGAGAACAGGATGCTGGGCTAGATGGGTCTTTCACCTGATTCCGCTACAGGGCTCTTGCATTCTAAAATGGTGACGTAAAGTTCAACTCCTTCTGTGAGCCAAAGAAGACATACTAAAACGTAGGCTGAAGAGAAAAGCGGAATGCTGCTAGATAGCAGGTAATGAGCACAGTGCCTATTCCTATAAGGAACTTTACGGAATGTGGGACAACGGAGAAAGGGGTCAAAAAATATGAAAGAAGGTGGAATTAAGGGAACGTGTAGGCTGGCCAGTGATAAGTTACAGTAGGGGAGGTGGAGTGAAAAATGTAGAAATAGGGAGAACTGCTGAGCCATGAACAAACAAAATCAGAGGAATGAAGTATCTATCTAATGAAGGACGCTTGGTACCATTAATTAGTTGTTATTGGGTTCATTATGTGGCTTCAAATACCCACATGCATGAGTCATCACTTAGTTTCACCTCATTGTTGGGTTCACCATCAGCATTAGGTCATGAAATGCAGGAGGGAGGTGTCTGAGAAGGAGATATTCAAGTTAAGCAAGCTCATGAAACTCTTAAATGAAAGTCCAGGGAGGGAAAGCCACAAAAGAAGCACTGTAAACATTCTCTCTCAGGCCACAATCCTAGGCACACTGATAAAGGAGCAAGTGGCACTGAACTAAATGGACAGCTTAATTTCCACATTGATGTGTGCAGGATCAGGCTGCCAGGAGCCACCTTGGCCTGCAATGTAGAAAACTTCCCATTTCCCCCCATCCCAATAAGAGAGCCTTCCCCAAAGCCACTCTGTCCGGGAGGTTCCAGAGAAGGAAGGGTTTTGCCAATCCACCCATCCCAAACCTGAAAGGATCCAGAATCTGAGATGAGGAAGAAATCTTGCTTTTAAAATGCTATTTTAAAGAGTTTCAAGCCACCACTGGGAAATGGGAGGGAAAGCGAGGAGAAGTGGAAGAGAAGAATCCATGAAACTACATAAACAGCTGTCCATATAATACAAGCATTGTGCTTTCCAGAACCCTGACACCCAACCATATAGAAATCTGCTCCTAGCATTCAGAAAGACAGTAAAGATGCAAAAGCAGAGGAAGACTGAGAGCTCATTCACTTGAATGAGTTCCACCACAACCAGTACTTTTTCTGTTTGAAAAGACCATATCCAAAATAAAAATGTGAAACAAACAAGAAGGCAGCATAGCTCGACAATTAACTAATCCTCACTTGCCTAGAAGTAGAAACATTTTATGGAAAAGTGGCTCAGAAAACCAATTCAAGCACCCTGTGGCAAACAAATAAATGGGAAGCGGTTGTAGCAGTTTAGTGGCAGAGCATCTGCTTTACACGAAACCCTAAAGAGCCACTGCCAGTCAATGTAGGTAACACTGAACTAAGCAGGCCAAAGGTTTGACGATTACTTCTTGCGTGCAATTAACTTGCAAAATTACAGACTTGAGCAGCTGAAATTCCACAATTTAACTGCACACAAGGTAGAGAACTTAAAACCTCCTTTAGAGCAGGGCTTTCCTGGTGCGGAATAAGCTCTCAGACTCGCTTACAGAGCTCGCAAAATCTTGCAGGAACTTGAACAGTCCCATGAGATCTTGTGAGAGCATCCCAGAGCCTGGTAAGCAAGTCAGTCTTGCTTGGAAGGTAAGGATGGCTGTGCAGGGGCATTTCTTGTATATACGTACCATTGCCAAAACATAACCCCCACGCAAGACATGGTCATGCTGCATAAGGCAGCTTCCTTTAAAAAAACAGCAGCCTGCCTCCAGCTCTTGAACATTTCCCAAAAATGTCCTGTAGAGGGCAGAGCCTGCTCACCTTCTGCCAGACAACACTACAATAGGCACTTGGTCCAGGGTGACCTTTTCTGCAGACTCCAGAACAAATTACAACAGCTTGCAGGATTAGAAGAGGCAACCTGTTTGTTTGTTTTTGTTTTGGCTACTTATTCCACACCTGAACCTTTATGAAGGCAGTTTCCCCACATACATCTTCGGAGCAACCAATTTGGTCAGACCCTGCATTACAAAAAAGAAATCCAAGCCAACAATTTTTTGTCCCACTGAAGGATGCCAAGTAACACTATTTCTGCACTCACCCAATCTCTGTTTTTGAACAGTCAAAAAAAGAATTTGATCAACTCACCAGTGGCTTACATGGTTCTCCTCCTCCTAATTTAATTCTCACAGCAACCCTATGAGGTAGGTTAGGCTGAGAGGCAGTGACTGGCCAAGGTCACCCAGCGAGCTTCATGGGCAAGTGGGGATTTCAACACTGGTCTCCCAGGTGATAGTCCAACATACTAACCACTACACCACACTGGGTCTTTATCAGAATAAATATATTGTCCCCGCCCTAGGCATTTAATCTGTGTCAGCTTTAAGATGTTTTCATTCTGCGTCCTGTGTTAAGCTGAATCTAAACTTCTATTGTTAGCAAATGTTAAATTGCATTACTGTACGTATTGTTGGAGGAGACTCTTGAGAGTCTCATGGACTGCAAGAAGATCAAACCTATCCATTCTGAAGGAAATCAGCCCTGAGTGCTCACTGGAAGGACACATCCTGAAGCTGAGACTCCAATACTTTGGCCACCTCATGAGAAGAGAAGACTCCCTGGAAAAGACCTGATGTTGGGAAAGATTGAGAGCACAAGAAGAAGGGGACTACAGAAGATGAGATGGTCGGACAGTGTTCTTGAAGCTGCCAGCATGAGTTTGACCAAACTGCGGGAGGCAGTGGAAGACAGGAGTGCCTGGCGTGCTCTGGTCCATGGGGTCACGAAGAGTCGGACACAACTAAACGACTAAACAACAACAATTGTTGGGAAGCGCCCTGAGCAACAAACATTTAGGCCAATCCAGTGCAGAGATAAGACAAAAAGTCAAAACACCACAGACACCTGGATTTTTTAAAGGCACTATCATTTGCATTTTACTGATGGATAACTGAGTGTCCACACATTACATAGGAGCAAATGTGGATTTTCTATTTAGTCATCAAGGATCTGCAGCTAATCTCGGCTCTCTCTGATATGCATACCTGTTCTATATGTCTTCATTGAATTCACACTTTCTCATTTTTTCAGAAGACATTTATAGATTAAAACTGAAGGCGCCTGCTGAATCTCTATGGGCAGAGTGTGCCACAAGACTGGGCCAATGACACCAACATTACTTGTTTTTGTCAAATGAGCCTTGCCAACTCAGGGAACAACCAAGAATGATCCTGCAAATGACATAAGGGTTTAGGCACTCCCTGAGGTACCCTGGACCTAGGATGTTCAGGGCTTTGTCAATTAATACAAGAACCTTGAACCTGGCTCTGTAGTAGATGGGCAGGCAGGCCTGATGCTTCAGCAATGGTGTCCCATGTTCTCAACCAGATGCCCCCATCAGCAATCTGGCCACCACATTCTCTACCAGTTGGAGCTTCTGAACTAGGACCAAGGGCAGCCCCACAGAGAATGCATTGCAGTATTTCAGCCTCAAGGTAACCAACACATGTACTGCAGTGGTCAGGCTATGAACTGGGCTGGTGGCTTTGACAAGGCTATGCAACTGCGTTGCCCTTGAGAAAGTCAGGAATTAAAGCCAGATTGTTCAAACCCAGCTGTCCACTCTGTTTCTATTTATTGGAATACCACAGTGTCAAAGCAGATTTTACCATCAAACCAACAGCTGAATTTTAACTGCAAATATAGTGATTTGCAAAGGGATGCCAGAGGTAGAGAGGACTGGGCTTGGTCAGGAAATGGTACGTTTAAAACAAAAAAGCCATAATAAAAATAAAGAAATAATTAAAAAAGAAGCTTCCAGAGGATATAAATTAAAATGTCAACAGCCCAAGGGAGATGTTTATGAATGCAATTCCCAATGCACTTATTTTAAACTTAGTCTGCAAATGCACAAAGCTGAGTGAAAACCCAGCAAGTCAGCACAACTGAGAAAAGCAGATATACAGAGAGCAGCAAACTTCTCTCCTAGATCTCTTAAGTGCCTTTGGTGTAAACCCCACCCCAGAGAGTAAGGAGATTAGAAAACCTCACAGGTGGCAGCAGCCTGGTTAGCGTAATTATTCTCATATGCCTACTGCTAATATGACACCAAGGGAAGGCGAAAACTGGAGCCCTTTAAGTGATTTCCCAGTGTAGGTTCCATTGATCAGAGCACAAATATTGCATTGAGAGGATACACAAAGACAATAGTTTGAATCCAGTAGGAGAAATGTAACTTTGCAGCCACCACATCTTGTTAATGGCACAGCAGCTCAATAAAAGCTGACCATCACACTGAAAATTCAGCAGGCCTGACTTTCTCCATTTTCAGGAGAGCTCAGGATGGTAGTAGAGAGAAACCAAACTACAGTACATCACAAATCTGCACAGCATCAATTTGTAGATTAACACTCAGGAACATGTGTGTTTCTTTAACCCAACCCTGAAGAAATAGGTTAGTCCCCACCCAGAGCAAACACAATTTATACCTCCAGGTCATAAAATACTGAGTAAAATATTTACCATCTAAGTGACAATAAGCACTGTTCAAGCAGCAATACCCAGGCTACATTCACACCATGCACTATGATACCACTTTAACAAGTCATAGAGACCTGTATTTTTTTAAGATGTTGAGAGTTGTTAGGAGGACCCTATTCCCCTCTGAGAGATATAGTTCCGTGAGTTCCCTGAGAAGAGGAAGTGATTGTGAAATCACACCGAGAACCATAGGTCTTTGAGGAGAATAGGGGTTCCTAACAACTTTCATCATCCTCAACGAAATACAGCTCCCATAACTTTGGGAGGGGGCATAACTATTTAAAGTGGCATCATAGTGCTTTAAATGTATGGTGTGAATGTGGCCAGTATGAAGTGAGGCTCAGGGGGATTGGGGGGGGGACAAATAAAATAATAATTAAATTACCTGTTTGATTAGACTGTCTATAATAACCCTCCCCACTCACTGAAAGATTCTCCAGCAAAGGTACTGAACCACAAGCTAACACAAATAAAACAGGGAATACAGAAACAGCATTAAAACCCACAACCATTAAAAGCAAATAAGAAGAGCAAAATCTTTCCCAGTAAGCTGAAAACCAACAGCAAAGGCCCTGGCAACCAAATAAGGAGAGGGAGTTGTAGAGAGGAACGTCCATAAATCCCCCCCCCTTTTGGCCTCCACTACACCTGATGGTGAGCCAGTAATTGGGCAGGTGGTCCACCAAGCCTCCACTTCCCAGAGCCTCTTTAATTTAAAGATTTTTAGGGTAAAACCAACACTTTTGAATTGACCCATAAACGGTTTGAGCATCCACTGCGCAATTCTCAAAGGAGATGTGAGCCTCATACCAGCACTAGGCAACAGCCTTGCTGTTGCATTATGAACCAACTAAGGTTCCAGATACCCTTCAGAGGTAGTGTATTACGGTAATGTGATCTGCAGGTTATCAAGATGTGGATGACTGTGGACAAGTTCCTTCCCTTCAGTTGACACACCAGGTGAAATAAACAAGAAGGGGCTGCAAGCCATACAAAGTACCTGAGCATCCACCACTGAGGGCTGGATCTAACAGCAGGTCCTAAACATCTGATCTGTTAGTGGGTGAACAATCCCAGAAATAAATTGATCAACAGATCTTTCCCCTAGACCCCACAAACAATACCTTGGTCTTAGCTTAACTCCCATCCATCACATTTGGAGAACAAAAGCTGCATTACATCAAGCCAGACTCCTTGCACTGAGACATGGGCTCTCTAGAGTTTACAAAAAGCCTGCTAGATCAGGCCAGTTGTCCATCTAGTCCAGCATCCTTTCCTCACAGTGGCCAACCAGACGCATGTAGGAAACCCGCAAGCAGGATCCAAGCACAAGGGCATTCTCTCCTCCTATGGTTTCCAGCAACTGGTTATAAGAGGCAATGACTGGCCCAAGGTTACTCAGTGAGCTTCATCATGGCTCAGTGGGGATCTGAAGCCTGGTCTCCCAGGTCCTAGTAGTCCAACACTCTAATTACTACACCACACTGTCTCTCTGTTCTTGTCCTGCCAATCCCCATCAGGCTCAGGTGTTTACATAATTTACACAATAATAACTTTTTTTTAACTGATTTATAATGTTGGCACTTTAGAGTGAATTCTGAAATGTGGCATACACTAGCATCTTGGAAGTCCCATGCAAAGCGTTAGCATTCATTGCATACTAGTGGCAAAATATTTTTCTATTTCTGGATGTTCACAAAAGTAATCTGGGATTGTCAGCATTCATAGTGACAACTGACTTTACCATGCCAGCAACTTAACCCCTATATCCCGCCACCATTCTTCTGCCCCATTTACTTCCAATTTGATCTCCATGAATCCTTTCCTTTTCCAACACTGATAGATAGCAAGAGAGGGTGGATGAATAAGGATGTACCCTCTGAACAGCCACACCTTGAAGACAAGACAACCTTTGAGCATACAAGTGCCACTTCCCTCACTACATATATTAACAGCAATCTAAGTGGGTTCACTCTCAAAGCAACCAAACTTTGACTGGCATAGTATCACTGCCATGGAGTGCCCTTCCCAGAGAGACTCCCCAAACTTCCTTGTAGTGCTGTAATGTCGGGTGGAAATAAAACCTAAGAATAAGTTGGACATGTGGGTTAGGCCAAACAGAGCCCATTGAGTCCAGTATTCTGGTCTCACAGTGGCCAACCAGATGCTCCAGAAGCCCACAAGCTTGAGTCTAACAGCAGCCTCTCCACACAATCCCCAGCAGTTGGAATTCAGAGCTACACTGCCTCCAAGCCCAGATGTTTTAATCTAGCCACCATATGTAGTAGCCATTGATAGACTCACAAGAACCTAAGAAGAGCCTACTGGATCAGATCAGCAGATTATCTAGGCAGCAATGTTTCTGAATACCAGTTGCTAGAAACCACAGGAGGGGAGAGTGCTTTTGTGCTTGGGTCCTGCTAGTGAGTTTTCCACATGCATTTGGTTGGCCACTGTGAGAACAGGACAGTGGACTAGGTGGCCACCTCTGGCCTGATCCAGCAGGCTCTTTTTATGTTCTATTCGCAGAGTGGCCACTCAATTGCCCCAGCAGGAAGCTCACAAACAGGATTTGACTGCACAGCAATACTCTCCCAGTTTGTGATTCCCAGCAGCTGCTATTCAGTCACATTGCTTCAGACAGTGGAGGTAAAACCCAACAATCATGTCTAGTCATCATGGATAGCCTTCTCCTCCATGAATCTGTCGAAATCCCCTTTAATGCTCTTCAAGCTGGTCGCCAATATATCTGTTCTGCAAGGCCTCACTGGCTGAAGTGTTACTGAGGGTTGCAGCCAACAAAGTTCCACTTAGCATAGATCCATTGAAATTAATGACTCTAAGTCATGTCCATCAACCTCAATGCATCTGCTCCAAGTAGGATTAGCATCGGACACAACCCCGAACCTGCTCTTGGTCTTAAGCAACTCGTGGGTCGGTTGTTCCTGTTGATTTTGGTCCTGCTGATTTCTTATATTTCAAGAAGAGGTGATGCTCTATTTCAGCTCCTTTGGTATTTTAGGGTATTACATCATTTTAACGGGGCAAATCCAAAATAAGCCCAAGTCAGGATGCGCTCACTGAAATTAATGGGGAAAGGGCCAATTGAGGCCCATAAACATCCATGGTTCTACTCTGAGTAACGACCCAATATAGCATATCACTAAGCCGTATTTGTGGTGTCAATTGGCTACAAAGGGTGGGGGGATGAAGTTTAGAAACAGATGTACTGAGTACCCCCGATGAGGGAAGAGGCCCTCTCCCTCCCCCAATTTAGGCTCATAAACTTCCATGGGTCTACTCTGAGTAAAGCTTAGATGGGTACAGTCCAATATCGCATCTCACTAGAAGGTATCTGTGGTGTGACATCTGGCAGAAACGATGGGGATCTAATGGCGGTATTGAGTCCTCCTTTCCCCAGGCCCTCTGCACATGCCCAGAGGCGCCCTCTCCCCCCATCCGCCCTTTTATTCTCTCTACACCTTCCACAGCAAAGCCCCCCCCGGGGGGAGGCGGCGTTTTCCTGATAGGACGAGCCCAGTGGCTCTTGGCGGCGGTACCTGCTGATCTGGATGGCGGCCGGGCCGGAGATTGGCGAGGCGGCGGCGGCTTCCCCGCTGGCGGGGCCCCTGGCGAGCTGCATGAGGGAAGCAAGGATGGCGGGAGAGACAACGAGAACCGCAGCAAGAAAAACCGGCCGGCCGACTCAATGACTGACAGGCGGACCGAGGGAAGGCAACGGAGGGGCGGTGCCTCCCGAAGTAGGACACGCCTTCCCACTCCGCCATTGGCTCTCAGCTCCGGGCACCTCTTCCCTGCCCGCCGCCCGCCCGCCCCCAACTCCCTCCTCATTGGCCAGGCTCTCGCCTCATTTCAAACCGCCGAGCGACCACCTCCCTTGCCCACGTGACGGCAACAAAAGAGCGAAAGGAGGGGGAAGTGGGAGAGGTCGCGGTCTCCAGGGAAGTCGACGGTCGCTTCTTCCGGCTCCGAACGGAACACGCGAGGAGAAGCGTTGCCAAGCGACGGAGGCGCCATAGAGGTGCGCAGGGGTAGAGTGCCCCCTAAAAGAAACTCTGGCGTGATTAGGCGGCTAATGCCCTGTGCGTAATATAAGATGTGATATCCTCACCATTACAATTATGTTGTGTTTTTATTATTTATTGTATTTTCAAGTGCTATATGATTTATTGAGTGTGCGGTTATAAACCATAATTTATAAGATTATGAATTTTTCATGTTTCTCAATTATTAATATTATATTTATTTAAGTCATTAATTAAAAGCCAAAGGCATGGCAGAAAATAAATGTTTCTCTGTAGCACCTAAAGCTATGGTGCCAGATGAGCCTCCCAAGGGAGAGCATTTCAGGAGTAGGGAGCCACCACTAAAAAGTCCCTGTTTGAATGTTGCCACCCCTTGGACGTCCAAAGGAAGACTTCAGATGACAGTTGCAGGGTCTGGGTTGGGGAGAGCTGGTCCTTGAGGTATCAAGGTCCTAAGAGTTTAGGGGTCAAAACCACATTGAATTGAGCCTGGAAACTCATTGGCAGCCAATGCAGTCAGGCCAGGACTAGTGCTATGTATGGGCTAAAACTGACATGCCGTAGGGAACAACTTGGCAGCAGAATTCTGTGCCAGTTGCGATTTCCAAACCACCTTCAAAGGCAGCCCCACATATCATGCATTGCAGTAATATAACCTAGAGGTTACCAGAGCACAGGCAATAGAAGTTAGGCCTATCTCTGTTCAGATAGCGGCTTAGCTGGGCCACCAGCTGAAACTGATGGAAGTCACTTTGTGCCACTGAGGCCACTTGAGCCCCAAAAGAAAGTGATGACTCCAGAAATACCTCCAAGCTACATACCCACTTCTTCAGAGGGAGTGTAGCCCCATCAAGAGCAGGCAACCTCCCATCGATCAGGTCTAGTGAATGGCCCACTAACAGTGCCTCCGTCTTGTCTGAACTGAACTTCAGTTTATTGGCTCTCATCAAGTCCATTAGCTAGACAAGACATCAGTCCAGTATTTCCACTGTCACCTCAGTAAATGTAAAGAAGTAGAGCTGTGTGTCATCAGCATCCAAAACTCTGGATGACACCACTCAGCGGTTTCATGTAGGTGTTAAAGAGCATGGGGATAATATTGCACACTGCGGAACCTCACATTGAAGGCTCCATCAGGCTAAACAGCACTCCCCAAACACCAGTCTCTGAAAGCAACCATTTATGTAGAAATGGAACCACCACAAAGCGGAGTGACCCACCCTCAATTTGGACAGCCGCTCCAGAAGGATATCATGGTCAATGTTATGGAAAGTCACTGAGAGACCAAGGAGAATTAACAGGGACTCATTCCCTCTGTCTCTCTCCTGACAGAAGTCATCTTATGGGGTGACCAAAGCAGTTTCCATGCCAAAACGTAAACCCCAATTAATATGGATCTAGAAAATCAGTTTCATCCAAAAGAGCTGTAAAAAAAAAGAGGGGGGGGAAACCACCTCAATGATCAAGACTCAAAAATCATAAACCTTTATTGTCGTCAACATCTTTATGGGGATGAAGAAGGGAGGGAACCCTTAAAAATAACCCAAACTCCACCCAGTTTCCAAAGAGGGTAGCCCCAATTGTGTTGTTTGCCAACCTTCCCTAGCCCCCTGCCAACCCCACCATCACTTCTCTTTACCCTTCACTCAATCCCCGCATTCCCTCAGTTCCTTCAAGCACCCCTGTATCCATAGGATATGCTTTAAATGTATGGTGTGAGCAGGAGTGTTGCAGGTGCAAATCCTTCTGTTTTTCTGAAGATACAGTATTTTCCCTCCCAGTCCCATCTCACCCAAGCAATAAACTGCTGTCTGCTATAATGAACTGTATGTACCGATTACCCCCATTTCACAGATTTTTTAAAAATGCTAACCATTATTTTAAAGTGGGGAGAGATCAGGCTAATAGGCCTGGCATGACTCAGCAACTTGCCTCCATCTTGCCTTCCAGCTGGTTTTCCTCTCTAAGTGCTATTTTTAGACTTTTAGAGGCAAATTAATTATTTAATGCCTCAAAGGAGTTCTTTCAGGGGATTATTTTTCCAGTGTGCCTTTTCCTTTTGTTTATTTGCTTTTTTAAAAACAAAAAAACAAAAATTCTGCTGCAGAGTTTCCTTGTGTTAATTTTCACTCTGTCTAAGTTTGACAGCCTGATTCAAAGCATCTTCACTGAGAAGTGAATCCCTTGCTCCTAACCATGTAACCTTAATGACATTTGGTGGCTGAGAATGTTTTAGAGGGATTGGAACAAAATCAGAGACATCCAAGCACAAGTCGCTGGGTCAAATTCATGACTGCCGCATGACCCAAATTCACTTACGCTATCTGCACATTAGCAGCTGAAAATGCAGAGGCTCCAGGAGTGCTTGAGTTTATCTGGGGTTTGGTTTCCTTGGAATGGAGGGCAATGGAGATTGTGGTGTCTTTAGGATACAGTATATGGTTCTATTTGCACATACATGCACTGTGAGCATATGATGAAGGGGTGCACAGCATTAGCTCCCCGACGAATCATGCTTTCCCCGTAGGCTTACAAGGAAGCCCCACACCACAGCTCTTGGGTGCAGCTCAGAGAAAGACAAGCCTCTGTTTCTCTAGCTTCCAGAAGCGGCCATGTATTATTGGGGGAACTGTGAATTAGGTGGGCTTCCATTAAAATGAAAAGCAAAACAAATAACCCATCTGTCCCTAGGCAAGACCTCACAACTGACCAGCTGTGGAGCAGCACCTCTCAGTTTCTTGCCTTCTATTACATCCAGTAAACAAAAGCTAAGGGGACTTGGAGTTACTGCACTCACTCCTACTGGTTCCACTAGATGGCAGGAAAGTGCAAAATAAATAAAGCGGCCCTTCTTTAACTTCTATAGTAGGGTTGCCATATTCCCAAAAGTGAAAACCAGGAGAAAGTTGTTGAACTTTTCTTTTGGAACATCTCCCCTCTAAAAAAACCAAACCACACTTCTGTAATTCATTCAGGTCCTATTGATTAAAATCTTCAGTGCTGGTTGGAGTTAATCAGACGGCATTGGGTTTTTGGGTAATACCCATTACCCCCATTGTTGAGCGCTGCAAAATGTGGGGTTTTCACTGCAAAACGCTGCAAAACTTTTACCCAAGTTTGGCGCCTGTTTGGAGCAAACTGGACAACGTTGGGTTTGGGGGCATTAACTATGACCCCCTTTTTGATGTATCAGTTACTCTGTGAGGTGCACAAAATGTGGAGTTTTCGCTGCGAAACGCTTGTGAAACTTTGGCGCCGGTTTTGAGGGATCCCAGATTTTGGGGTTCATAGTTAATGAAGCCCTTTTATGGCAAGGTTCCAGAGTTCTGAGTTAGAGGCCTGAGCCTCCATCTGCTCATGCTCAGGGGCCCAATACTTAAGTATTTAAAAGATCAGAGTCAATAGATGCATATTTTAATAGTATGCATTTAAATAAATCTTGTACATAAATCTTGTACATAAATGCAAATTGTGGTGCAGCGATAAAACTGCTAGCACATTTGCAAAGCTAAGCAGGGTCCAGTTTTGTTTCATACTGGATGGGCTTATATTGAGATTCCTGCCTTGTAGGGGGTTGAAATAGAAGTCCCTTCCAATTCTACAATTTGATCATTCTGTGCTAAACAACAACTAACGGTAGTTACATTTTACAGAGGGCAAGCCAATGAACTGCCTAGCCAAAATTACCTCAAATATATTTTTTTCACCAGAACCCAGATTTCCCAAATCAGGTTTTTTAATACACATCTTTATTGGTTTAAAATAATAATTAATTAATTAATTTTATAATGAATGATTTTAGAGTGTTGTTTGTGCTGTACTTTTGTACTGTTTTATTGTTGTTAGCCGCCCTGAGCCCGGCTTCGGCTGGGGAGGGCGGGATATAAATAAAATTTATTATTATTATTATTATTACAACAAAGTTAAACACAAAAAGAAAAAAGAAAAGAAAAAAGAAAAGAAAGAATTCTCCACATCAAAAAGTACAAAAAGAAGTTTAAAAGTAACAAGAAAAGAAAAAGGAAGTAACAATTAAAAGTACCAGATATTTATACAACATCATGTCTTATCCAATAAAGTCTTCTGCGAAAAACTTCCAATTGTTCTCATTATACTTTTTCTATTCTCTTGATTTCATCACACAGTTTGTTTTATATCTTCTTCCATATATTCCTCCAAGTTGTTTATTCCACTGATTTATTATACACAAGTATAATTCAATTCTGCTAGGATGATATAATTTTTACAATATAGTCATATATTCCTTAAAGATTTTCCATTCTCCATATACATTTTGATTTAAGATTCTCCTGACTTTTCCAGTCAACTTTGCTAATTGGAAATACTCTATCATGAGTGTTTGCCATTCTGTTATTGTTGGTGTTGTTTCGCATTTCCAACTTCTGGCCATCAGTATTCTTGCAGCCGTGATTGTGTACATAAACAGTGGTCTTGTGTTTTGCTTAATTTCTATTGGCAATATTCCTAATAGGAAAATCTCCAGCCTTTTTTTAATGGTAAATTTAAATAATTTCTTAAATTCGTCATATATGTTATTCCAAAATTTGCTTATTAATATGCAGGTTCACCACATGTGATAGTAAGACCCTATCTCCTTTTTGCATCGCCAACATGTTGGTGAACTACCTTTGTAAATTTTAGCGAGTTTTAACGGGGTGTGATGCCATCTGTAAAGCATCTTCATGGTATTCTCCCTCAAGTTATAACATGATGTAAATTTGATATCTTGCTGCCACAGTCTTTCCCACTGCTCCATATAGATATTATATCCAAAGTCTTGCGCCCACCTTATCATTGATGTTTTTACTTGCTCCTCTTTCACTTCCCACTCTAAAAGATATTCATACATTCTTGATATATACTGTCTGTAATGGTTATAGGGGCTGCTCGTGCGTAAATCGGCGCCACACCTGGCTGGGTTGCCTGAGTGAACCCTTTCTGTCCGGACAGCCACTCGCCCGTGGCTGTATCAATCGCTGGCAGAATCCGTCAGTGGGCGTTTCTTAAACTTCTTCCAGCATAGAAGTTCTTTCACGCCCAGTCGCCTCCTACTTTCCCTGCGCGGAAGCCTTCTGCGCAGGGAGGGTGTGGGCAGCGGAGGACCCGTGCTCTCCCCGCTGGTCCCCAGCGAGGAGTCATGGAGCCACCTCGCCGATTCCCCCATCTCCCCCCCTTCTCCTCTGGTGCTATGCTGATTTCCTTCCCCAGAAGATGTGCTGCTTCTCTCCCTCCCGGGACGCTCTCCGGAATCCCTCTGGAGCCCTCCCTCTCCCCCTGGCTCCGATGGCAGTTCCCTGACACTGTCCTTTATTATATATTAATTCTCTTTCAAAAATGGAAGTTTCTTTGGCAAGACCTTATTTCTTATCTGTACACAATTTTTTATTTAGTTGGAAATACTGTATCCAATCAGACAGGTGGCATCTAATTTCATCGTATTTTTTAAAAGTTGGCTTATCTTTATCTGATTCTAGTACTATCCGGTAGGTGGGCCACTCTCCCTTCATGTTTTTCCTTTTAACTACTATTGCTTCCGCTGGAGATGCCCACAAAGGTATCTTTGGTTCCAAAATTCCTCTATATTTACTCCATATCTTATAAAGTGATCTCCTTATTACATGGCTTAAGAAACCTTTGTGGACCTTCACCTTTTCGTATATTAGATAGGCGTGCCACCCAAACCAGTTGTCATGCCCCTCAAGATCCAACACGTCTGTGTCTTTTCATGTGATCCATTTTTTAGCCATACTAATCCGGCTGCAGCATGATATAATTCCAGATCTGGTAGTCCAAATCCTCCTCTTTCCCTTTTGTCTATCAATACCTGATGTTTAATTCTCAGGTTATTTCCGTTCCAGACAAATTTGGCTAATTCCTTTTTCCAATCCTGGAAGCATTTCATTCCTCCCAGAATTCGTAGGGTTTGAAACAAAAAAATCATTTTTGGGAGGATGTTCATTTTTACTACCGAGATTCTTCCCCAAAGGGAGAGGTGTAATTTAGTCCAGTTTTCCATATCCTTTTTAATGTCTTTTCATGTTTTAATATAGTTATCTTCGTAGAGATTTATATTTTTATTTGAAATGATGTATGGAAGTGAGAGCTGGACCATAAAGAAGGCTGATCGCTGAAGAATTGATGCTTTTGAATTATGGTGCTGAAGGAGACTCTTGAGAGTCCCATGGACTACAAGAAGATCAAACCTATCCATTCTTAAGGAAATCAGCCCTGAGTGCTCACTGGAAGGACAGGTCGTGAAGCTGAGGCTCCAATACTTTGGCCACCTCATGAGAAGAGAAAACTCCCTGGAAAAGACTCTGATGTTGGGAAAGATTGAGGGCACAAGGAGAAGGGGACGAAAGAGGATGAGATGGTTGGACAGTGTTCTCGAAGCTACCAGCATGAATTTGACCAAACTGCGGGAGGCAGTGGAAGACAGGAGTGCCTGGCGTGCTCTGGTCCATGGGGTCACGAAGAGTCGGACACGACTAAACGACTAAACAACAATAACATTCTCTGGCTGGCCTCTATTATTTTCTCCTACCCATAGGGAACCTACGTAAGGACTCTATATGGACTCTTGGATACCCCATAAGTGAAAAAGGGCAGATTTTTGTTTACAACAGAATGCAGAGTTCCTGGGCAGAGAGAATAAAAGCATCATCTCTTATACCTAAATTTGGGCTTGAAAATTAGCATATAAACAGAGACTGGAAATCCTGCCTTCCTAACAATGAACTGATGTTAAATGTTTTAAGATGATGCCAACCACCAACTAAAAAAAAGTTTGTGAGATGGCTTCTGATAAAATCTTGTTCTGCTGTCCAGGTGAGATGAGGAAAAGAGATTAGCATATCTTTGATACTCTGCTGGCAAGAGCCTTGAGGCTATTGAAACTTCTCCATTAGGTACTGTGAAGAAGGTGGACTGAGTGGCCAAAAAGTGACCCTGTCTTGCCTGGACATTCCTAATAGGAACCTGATGCTCTTTTCCATTTGCAAATGATAAGGGAAGAATGATAGTGATTGACAAAAGGAATAAGACAATGAATTGACCTGCTGATATTGCACCTCAGTTGGCTTGGAGCATGCAAACCTGGCTTTCTGTAACGGAATCTCTCTTGAGACTCCACCCCACCAGGCCACAATCTGAGGTGCAGGCTATCGTAGCCCAAACTGGATATTTTTAGGGGTGCTTAAGAACACCCTGGCAGATGAGACTGAAGGACCATCAAGCCCAATGTCCTGTTCCATCAGTGAGCAGAAGGCAACCACACTCTGCTGTCACCCTAGCAAGTGTGCCATGCAATGCTATCACCAGGATTTGTGGGGCTCTTGGGCAAGATATGCTTGGTGGGTGCCCTTTCTTCCTTGCTGCCATGGTCACACACTTCCTCACTTTCCCTTTTCTGAGCCTGGTTCAATACCTGTTGCTCCTCCCTCTCCACAGAGAGCTGGTAGCACAAGTGGCAAGGAGGGAGAGGGGCAGCCGGAAGGTGGTAGGGAGACCATCTGAGGCAGCAGACTGGTCCTTGCCTCAGAGCCACACAGACTGGAAGCCCTGCAAATATTTCTCCTAGAAAATAGCGCCCCCAGTGGCGTGGATGTACCATTTTAGGTCTGGCCAAAGTCTAATGTGGAGTACCTAATATTATTTGCATTTATATCCCACCCTTTTCTCCAATGAGCTCAAAGTGGTGTACATGGTTTTCTCCCTCCTCCGTCTTTCTTCTTCTTCTTCTTCTTCTTCTTCGGTGATCACTTTAATCCCTACAACAACCCTGTGAGGTAGGCTAGGCTGAGAGATTGTGACTGGGCCATGGTTGACTCAATGGCCAAGTGGGAATTTGAACCCTGGTCTCCTGGTTATAGGCGTGCATGAATAAGCACAAAACAATGGAGCCAAGAGGGGGAGTGAAGGGAAGTCAAGGGATTTATGAAATCCCAGGGTATGGTGATGTTATGATTTGTATATACAGTTGAGTTAAGAATTATGGTTTGAATTTTTGTTTGTGATATTTTTGTTATTAGAAAATTAATAAATTCTATTCAAAAAAAGGAGAAAAAAGAACCCTGGTCTCCCAGATTCTAGTCCATCACTCTTAACCATTAGACCACACTGACTCTCCCCAGTTCTTTTTACTGTTATGTATATTGGCAAGTATTTGCTTGATTGAAGTGTGCCTGGTTATGTCTTGGGTTCGACCCAATGCTATAGTGCCCAATAAAGGACATGTTTGTATGAATGAAAGTGAAATTTGGGATACCCCAGAACTGATTCGTTTATGCCTACCTGGCAATTATGTACACATTGGCCCTGGGACTGGAAAGCTGAAGAGAACCGCACACTTTGCCTCTGCCATCAGCCAGTGACACCCAGGACCCCTGGGAGGTTGCACCCCTGCCTCCCAGAGAGAAAGGTAAGGCCAACCTGACCCCATCCAAAGAAGGAGCTCCCAGCCTGCCTGCCTGGGGGCACTTCAAGATGGCCTATTTATCAAGCATTCGTTCTGATTCATTCTCAGGGAGATTATATGTCTCTTGCATCAAAGCAAATGTTACCTGGTGCATTTCCTGGTCACTTTCCTTATCACACAAAAATCTGATCTCTGGGGGGAAGCGGGTTTGTTACAAAATACCTTCTAATCAACATATGATGTCAGAAGAGCCTGCTGGATCAGGCCAATGGTACACCTAGTCCAGCGACCTGTTCTCACAATGGCCAACCAGGTGTCTGTGGGAAACCAGAAAGCAGAACCAGAGCGCAAGAGCCCAACTCACTTCTGTGGTTCCCAGAAGCATTGCTGCCTCTGATCATGGAGGCAGAGCATAGCCATTGTGCCTGGTAGCCATTGGCATTCATTCATGAATCAGTCCATGCCTCTTTTAAAGTCAGTCATGTTAGTGGCCATCACTGTGTCCTGTGGCAGTGAGTTCCACAGTTTAACTACACACTGTGTGAAGGACTTTCTTTTATCTGTTCCGAATCTTCCAACAGTCAGCTTTATCGGATATCCATGAGTTCTAAGTTTTATGAAAGAAGAGGAAAACCTTTATTTGCTTTGTCCGTGTCATGCAAAGTTTTATAAACTTCTATCATGTCACCTCTGGCTTGCCTTTTTAGTAAAGGAAAAAGTCCCAGACGCTATAACCTTTCTTGATAGGGCAATTGGCAACCTGAATTGGCTGGGATGTGGTTGAATCCCACCTAGAAATAACAACCACCTGGAAGTGGCGCGCGTGAGTCCTTGGCAGAAGAGCGGTGCGTCCACGTGGGGAGGAAGAGCGGAGGGTGCTGCGCTTAGAAGAGAGTCATGTCGTATCGAGGAAGAGGCGGTGGTGGAAGCTTCAATCGTGGCGGTGGCAGCTTCAATAGAGGTGGTGGCAGCGACGGCTTCAGTCGAGGTGGCGGTGGCTTCAATAGAGGTGGACGGGGTGGTGGAAGAGGTGGATTTGGCCGTGGAGGTGGTGGACGAGGAGGTTTCAACAGATCATATGACCAAGGACCTCCAGAAAGTGTAGTCATCCTGGGAGAGTTTATGCACCCCTGTGAAGATGACATTGTTTGCAAATGTGTGACTCAGGAGAGCAAAGTACCTTATTTCAATGCACCTGTCTATTTAGAAAATAAGGAACAGATTGGGAAAGTGGATGAAATCTTTGGGCAGCTCAGAGACTTTTATTTTTCAGTCAAATTGTCGGAAAACATGAAAGCTGCTTCCTTCAAAAAGTTGCAAAAGTTTTATATCGATCCAGCAAAATTGCTCCCTCTGCAGAGATTTTTGCCAAGGCCTCCAGGTGAAAAAGGACCTCCGAGAGGTGGAAGAGGAGGCCGTGGTGGAAGAGGAGGTGGCAGAGGGGGAGGTGGTTTCAGGGGTGGCAGAGGTGGTGGAGGGTTCAGAGGAGGACGAGGTGGTGGAGGTGGCCGAGGATTTAGAGGCAGAGGACGTTAAGTGAAGAAGTCTGGGAAATTCCAAGTTAATGGTTTCATCTTCAGAATATGAGAGATCTTTTATGAACTTGAATGCCGTAAAGTGGACTTTTAGTACGTTATTGTCTAAAGGAGCAAAGTACTCCCACACATGTTCCTGGATTTCTGCTGAGATGAACCAATTTCAGATCTACAGATACTTCTCTTGAAATCCCCTTGGACCTCTTGTGCTCTTGACATTAAATAGAATGTTGTTTTTAAACACTTTTTATGAGCTATATTTTTTTAGTCAAAAACTCATCTTGAAGTTGGGAAACCAGTGACTTCCTAAACAATAACAGAAGATGGTCTGCTCAATATATTTTTTATTTTTCATTATCCGTCTTTGTATTTTGGTTTTTGTCAATCTTCAAATAGTGTTTCACGGATTCATACAAAATGGTATCAAAACAACTTGAATATGCTTTCGTAGTTATATTTAACTTGGCTGTCTAATGAATGATATGTCTAAATGACAAAAGTTTTCTTGTTTTTTAAAAATAAAATTGGTAATAACTTAAAAAAAAAAAAAAACCAACAGCCTGGAAGTGCCCTGAAATAACCTGTATATAAGAACTTTGTTGCTGAGAATTTGTGCCTTGATTTGCTTTTTGACTCCTCCCTCCTCCTCCCTTTTCGTGTGCGTGTTGGGTCTTTGAGGTTGAAAGTCTCAGGGCAAGGATTGCCTTATTACTGATTTTTGTAAGCTACCCTGGAAACCTTTTCTAATTGAAGCATGGGGTTAAAATGCCCTAAATAATTTTCCCATGGGGCCGGCGGCGTGTTTGAGGGTGGTGGCCTTGAAAACAAAGCAAATAAGGAACTGGAAATTGGGAACCAAATTCCACCTCATAGTTTATGCATCTGGCTGAGGTTAGTTTGAGCAGGCAAATGGGGTCCAGAAACCAAGGAGGTGCTTAATTGCACAGGCAAAATATCTTGGGGGAAGAAGAAGGCGTTCTTAAAGGGAGCAACAGCAATCCATTGCCTAGGGAAGGAGTTTGAGTCAAGGAGACCTAGCAAAGAAAGCAGACCTAAGAGAATGGGGATCTTCTGAATGATTGCCAGTTGCTGGAAAACACAGGAGGGGAGATTGTTCTTGGGCTCAGATCCTGCTTGAAGGTTTCCCATTGCTACATCCAGGGTAGGATCCTGCACTAGGTGGGCCTGATGCAAGCAGACTCTCCTTGCATCTCGGCTTGAGAGCAAAAGCCACGCCCGACTTTCCTGCCACCACCGTCGTCTCTGTTCTCTCCCCAGGCCTGGGAAACTGTTGCTGCAAGGCAGCTCAAACCTGGCGCTCCTTGCAATTTTCCCACGTCTTGTCTTCGGAAGCGTGATTGCATAGCTCTTGAGCGCTGGGAGGGAGGGAGGCGGGGGGAGACAGATGCTGACATGTGCTCCAGCTTGTTGCGGTTTGAGCTCCTATAGAAAACTCCTCCGTCAAGCAGCTCCTTCCTGGTGATTCATAGCGACGCTTCCGGGCAGCAGCCAGAGCGAAACTAGGAGACTGCCTGCCTGTGCCTGCAGGCCTAGGAGGCTGTTCTCGGGCTCCAGGGGTCAGACCTGCTGCCTCCAGGTAGATCCATCTCCGACTGATGCCAGTTATTATGGGCGGAGGTTTCCACGGGTTGGCACATCCTTCCTGCCCTCGGGCACATCAGGTGACAAGACCGAGGATGTGGGAAAAGGTCATGGCGGAGACAAAGGCGCAGTCAATTTACTCCTTCCTTGTTTGCATGGCGCTTAGACACACAGCTCATTTGGAAAGCTCTGAAAAGTGGAGAGAGAAATTTTTTCCTCCCTCTCTCATTCAATGAAGACATGAACGTGGTCAGGATATTTGTTAGGGGGTCAGAACTTTTGGGGCAGAACCAATGTGATTGGTCAGTTAGTTGAGTATCTCTATTGTTTTACTTGATGGAGGAGGCAGGTGCCCACCCCCCTCTTGACTACGCCCATGAATGAATGAAGATGAATGTTGCAAGATGCAGGGCAGATAAAAGAAAGGACTTCTTCATGCAGTGCATAGTTAAACTGTGGAACTCCCTCCCACTGGAGGCAGGGATGACCACCAACCTGGATGGCTTTAAAAGAGTATTAGACAAATTCGTGGAGGAGGAGAGGGCTATCAGTAGCTACTAGTCATGATGACTATGCTTTGCCTCCACAGTAAAGGTAAAGGGACCCCTGACCATTAGGTCCAGTCGCGGACGACTCTGGGGTTGCAGGGCTCATCTTGCGTTATTCGCTGAGGGAGCAGGCATACAGCTTCCGGGTCATGTGGCCAGCATGACTAAGCTGCTTCTGGCGAACCAGAGCAGCGCACGGAAACACTGTTTACCTTCCCGCCAGAGTGGTACCTATTTATCTACTTGCACTTTGACGTGCTTTCGAACTGCTTGGTTGGCAGGAGCAGGGACCGAGCAACAGGAGTTCACCCCGTTGCGGGGATTTGAACCGCTGACCTTCTGATCGGCAAGCCCTAGGCTCTGTGGTTTAGACCACAGTGCCACCTGTGTCCCTTTTTCTTTGCCTCCACAGTCATACGCAATAAATGGTTTTGAATGCCAGTTACTGGGAATCGCAGGTTAGGAGAGTGCTCTTGCACTCAGGTCCTGCTTGTGGGCTTCCCTTTGGGGCATCTAGGATGCTGGACTAGATGGGTCATTGGGCTGATCCAGCAGGTTCTTCTTTTGTTCTTAAAATAATTGATATGTCCCTAAACCTTGGAAGGAATGGAGGAGGGGACCATCTCCTTTGAGATGCATATTGTACGCGCGCGCACACACACACCGTAACAAAGCTGTTGTGTTTGCAGAGTGCTCAGGCACATATGCGATGGCCCCATGTGACAAAAACAAATAAGGAACTGGGAGTGGGTGTGCCCTCAACAATAACTTTCAGAGGGAAAGCTGCCACATCAGCAAAGTTAAAAATATTAAATAAATAAAAAGCAGAAAGGGCAGGAGAGCTGTATCGTGGCCTCTGGCTGGCTTGTTGGCTGAGACCCTTCAATGTGAACTGGTTCATGAGGAGCTGGGCCTTAAACCTACACAGGAAAAGGACCTGCACACACAAATAAAGGATTTTAAATGGTATGCACTATGGTCATCTAAACCACATAGACCACTCTCAATGGAAGTGAGAGAGTGTTGTATGAAAAATTTTCAAAGATGGCACAACACAATTGCCTATATGACATCATAATCTTCTCAGAACTGTTGGAGGGGTTGTGGAAAAAGAGGTACCAATTTCCACCTATGGTGGAACTGCACAGTTTGTTTGTTTTTTTTCAAATTCTGGAATATGGTTTGTCAAGAATGACCAAAATACTCAAACATCGCATTCCTACTTCACCACAGCTTTGTTTACTAAATTTGTGGGACAATCAGCAGAAGGGTTTCAGTGCTCAGGAACTCTAGACCCGGATGCAGGCGGCTGCCAGGAGCTTGGTTGCGCGAAAACTTTACAGAACTTGCGACTTCTGCTTTGGTGTAAAAATATGTGGAGTTTAGCATCCGCTGAAAAAATAACTCCTAAAGTGCATGTTGTCAAAGGCTTGTAGGACCCTTGAGAAATTCTGCGCTGCTTGACGTTATTTTATCTTATACACAACAAACAAACACACAGGACTCCCTCTCCACAATGCAATGTGAAATTTGGCTTTCCTAATGGTCTTAGATACCTTCCCAACCAAATATCAGGTCTCTTCTGGATTGGCTAAAGTGTGTTGCTTTCTCTGACACACCTTAGCCCAAGCAGCCCAGAGTGCAGTAGCTGCCCGAGGCTGCAAGGCAGACAGGCATGCACAGCTAGCCACGTGGGTTGAGCAGGGGCAAGGCGGGCTGCTGCTTTCCCACGGTGCTCAAATCAGTCCAGGGCTTGCCATTTGGATGCCGATCCCCTGGGGGCATGGAGGCCTCACCTGGTTCCTTGGAACTGCCGAGCGAAACTGCTGAGTCACGCGCTCCCTGCGAGCCCTGTGGGTGGCTGGCTGAGCGGCCTGTCTCCCCAGAACATGCCCGGGCAGCTCTGCCTGAGCACCGCAGACACCTCCAGCAAATCTCTCCCATCAAGGAAAGCACTCGGGGAGGGAGCTGCATGCATCCTCAGGGATGGCCTTCCTCAAGCAGGTGCCCTCCAGTTGTTGCTGTGTAGCCCAGCTCCCAACATCCTGGACTATTGGCTGTGCCAGCTGCAGGGGCTGATGGGAGTTTATTTGATTTACTCATTCATTACATTTATATGAGAGGTGGCCATCCAACCGCTGCTTAAAAACCTTTCTTTCCTTGGAGGTTTCTAAGCAGAGGTTGGGTGGCCATCTGCCAGGGAGCCTTCAGTTCTGATTCTTGAATTGCAGGGAGTTGGCCTAGATGACCCTTGGGGTCCCTTCCAACTCTACAGTTCTGTGGTTCTATATCCCATCTTTCCTCCAAGGAGCTCAAAGTAGTGTAACTCTCCTCCTCCCTGTTTATTCTCCCAACTATCCTATGAAGTAGGTTAGGCTGAGAGGGCATCAGACCCGTGTTATAAGAATATATATATATATATATATATATATATATATATATATATATATATTCATAACTGCATATGTAAACCACATGTCTGAAACCCCACAGAAAAAGTCCTGAAACCATTTTGTCCCTCCCAAATTGACCTCAAATATTTCTCTACAAGGTCAAAGGAAACCGGAAAAGCCTCCCCATTGTCTTTTCCTTCACAAATCCCGTCTTAAGGGTATGTCTGTGTATGAATAGGATGAGCCTGTGTCCTGACTCAGGAACTAAGTATTTATCATTACAAAAGACTGGCCAGGCTTCCAAGGTTAAGCCAGTGAAGTGACCATTAACAGGTAACCTGCCAGATAGGAGATAAACAACACACTCAGATTTCTGTTGTAGACCACCTCTTCTGTGATGTATGTACAGTGGTACGTCGGGTTAAGTACTTAATTCGTTCCAGAGGTCCGTTCTTCAC